GTAGTTGGCAGGAAAGGCAGCCGAAACATCAGTCAGAGGCTCTAATTTGAGACAACAGTCGAGGTAAGGGGCGATATGGCCGCTTGCTAATGCTCAGAGTTGGGGCACGCATCGCCTGGGAAGAGCAGCTGTGCCCCTGCCAGGGCGAAGGGCAGCGCCACCGCACACCGGGCGAGCCACAGCTGGCCGACAGCGAAGCCCACAGCTGACACCGACAGACCTCGGTGCATCGCAGAGAAGGCGTCGACATCAACCGCAACCCGTGGATTATGGTTTAGGGTTTAGGGTTTAGGGTTTGAGGGTATTCGACTGCATAGGGTCACCCGGCCTGCCTCTCTGCAGCCGAGATACAGACAAAACAGCAACTTTGCAAGTCATTCACCTGCAGGGTTGTGAATGATCAGAATGAAAGTTCTGACACTGAGCGGTGTCGTGGACAGTCCCGCGGTTCAAGAGATGTCGAGCCAGAAAACGCTGAGGAGGTTGCTAAGGCTTTTGTGTGACAATGCGGCTGTCTAGTACGATAGCTGCCGCAGAGCCGTGGCCCAAACAAGCCACGGCTTGCGGCCCATCTTAATCCGTGATTAAAGAGTGACGCGCGGTGGTTTAGGGAACGAGATCGGGCAAGGCATGCTTGAGCCTCTTGCCTGGTGCTGCCGGTACGGCTTCTGGTAGCCAAGGAGGATGGCTGTGCCCACAGTGAACAGCAGCGTCATCATTAGGGATTTGATGGCCACCTAAGCATGCAGACTTAGGTTGTATGACATGGGCGTCCACGCTCTAGTATCACAATACACAACCCTCTTCTGTGGGATTGAGCTTAATCTCGATTTGATTCCGGACACAGCTGTTCCAGCTCCCACCTGCTCTTTGCTGCCCAAGAGCCACAACGACCACCGCACCAGAAATCAGCTTCATGGCAACTTCCAGCCATACGTTCTCACACGCGGCCTGAGTTCGAGAATCCAAGCGGCTTAGATTCGCGGAAAGGCTGAATGTCTGCAGCGATCTCAGTGAGCGGAAGGTTTCCAGGACACGCATACCAAGCTCGTGAGCGCAGCAACCTGACTAGTCCACACATTGCACAGCCTACTTTGTGGAAGTCTGCATAGCCAGGTTGCATACTTGAAGAAAACCTCCTTAGCGCCCATCAAGATTCCTGAGTTCAAATGTTCACAACATATTGATATTGTATTTCTCTATAAGAAGAATGCTTGTCATCACTGTTACAACTCCCACAGGCAGCTTCATCAAGGCGCTGGCTGCCACGAGCCAAGAGCTCGAAGCTCGTCTCCAGCAACATCTGGAAGCTACGAGTACCCTTCACGCCATGCTTGCAATGAAACCCGGCTCTCGAGTTTAAGTATGGATCCTATGAATGCCCTCGGCGATCGCGCTCAACTGCGTGGACTGGCCTCTCTCCAGTACCAGAAACAATCGCTCAAACAATGCTAACCCCCGAAAGAGGCATTGTCAATCATGAAACGAAACCAACACTACCGGCTGAAGCAGAAATGATCCAAGCGTCGGTCAGACTCCTCTTGCTCCAAGATCTGCCTCTCGGCCAGCATCCTCGCAGGCGCTGCAGAAAGGCCGATGATCTGCCAACTCAACTCATTCAACTCGGCGGGTCTATCATGTCCCGGATGCAAGGTCAAAGCTAGAGAAACGGAAGCTGCCCGCCCGTCCCGCATGGTTCATGACCATTTAGACATCCACCGAAACCTACTGCGCAGGGGAGGGCGACTCGCTTAGGTCGGGAACCTAAGAGCTAAAGAGATTCCTGTCTGGGCTGAGCCAGGAGAAGATAATGACATCATTAAGGTATTGAAAAGGGGACTATGTTCAAGAATCTGAAGGAAAAACTAACCACAGCCCTAAAGAAATCCGTCTCTGCCATGAAACGCCAACTAATCGACTTTATTCGACTACGTGAACCCCTACCCGACACCCGAGTGACCTTCAAACCCTGAATCATTTCATCTTCAACACCCTTGAAACCCTTCCTGCATTTCATGCTAAAGCCTCCATCTGTTCAGCTCCGCGGCGAGTATCGCTTCTGGGGCATGAAGCCCTAAACCCAAAGCCGCCCCCTAAGCCCAGAAACCAGACCGGCCTCGTGAGGGCTCGGCAGCGACTCTTCTGCGCGTCGCCCTGGTCCAGTGCTGACATCATGCTGGTCACCTGGCATGAACTGCGCTCTTGCCTAGACCCCCCAAAGTAGGTAAAATAATGGCCCAAAACCTATAAAAAGGCCCAATAAAAGGCTATTATTCAACATACTTTTGGGGTTCAGGTGGGGGTCACACAGGGCGCGCAACACCAAAGCACAGCCAAGCGGCGTCTAGCTGAGATCCATCCGTGGCTTCACCCTGAGACCCGATCTAAATAGTAGGATCCTTATTATAAGGACCCCTAAATAGGGTACCCCTAATTTTCGGAAAATCCCATGTGAACTCGGAACCCGCTGTGCCACCGAAACTGCCCAAGTATATGAGCTGAGGGGCACAGCATCTGCAGTCCGCTGTAGACGGATTCGGCCGTGTAAGTAGATGGCACTGTGGCCCAGGGCTGCTGCCATGAGGTACTGGGAAAACATGGCTTCCTCCGCATCCTTCGTGTCCTGCTAGCGGTGGCACTTAGGGTAAGATGCGCGCTAGGCCAGCCTTAAGGCTGTGAGACATTTTGAAACGCATATGTAAGCCGGTAAACCGTGGAGAGTGTGTGCAAGGAACATGGACGGATGCTGCAGCATGTAATTGTCTTCCAGGTTTAGCTGAAGAACCGCTGCTGAGCGGCGCCCGAGTTTGGAGAACGGTTGGTGGTGGTATCAAGCCTTCTGCGCTTGCATGCGCGGGGTTGCATGTGCGGGGCTTTGCCCCTAGAAGGTGCGTACCGGTGGATATGCTTGGTGTTCGGAGAGTACGAGGCACCAACAGACACAAGCCCTGGCTGCACGATGACGCTCAGGTCCTTCGTGCCAACATGTCAAAAACGGCAGAAAAGATTAAAAACACTTGGCGTTGTGATGGGGAAACACCGGCAGGAAGATGTATTTAAAGAGGTGTTGCTTTTCGGAAGATTTCAAACATCACAGCAGGATTTGGGAGAAGCGACAGATCCTGTCCTCCATGGCTGCCCGAGTTCTGTCACCTTCTTCCAGCAACGGACGTACGCTGACCTCGAAATTCGTCTTTGCTCGGTCTGCTGTGGCGGAATACACGAAGTGGTCAATGGCGGTCATGACCTTCCTCTGTCTGACGATCAAGTAGACGAGGAAGCTGGGGATTAGCAAGCTGTAGGAGACGAAGCAGCCCCACCCGATGCAGTTGGCCTGCGCGGTGCCGGTCTGAATCATGTGCCAGAATCTCTTACACGGGGTGCGCGTGCATTTCGGGGATGCATTGAAAGCATCAGCTCTGCGCAGTTTGTGGGTATACATGGCACATGCATGTCGACATGCCATGCAGCAAAGCACGGGAATCCATACCAAGCGAGAGTGGCTCCGCGTGCGTTGGTTGCTGAGACCCCGGCCCAGAGCGCTTCCTCGTGAGAATCCGAACACCTCAGACGCACGGAGAGGTATCAGACGCGCAGGAGTGTAAGTCCTCCTTAAACCTCAAATCTCGAACTTGACATCTGGATGCGGGGTTTAGGTTAGGAGGTTACTAGGGGTTCGTAATGCCTCGCCCAAGCTCCAAAGTCTCATCACATTAGCTGCACATCAATACGGCGAGAGATCCGGCCTCAAGTGAGGCAGCGCCGACCGGAAGGCAAAGCCACCCAAAGGAGCGCCGCCTGCTCCATGAGCACGCACGCGACCGCTCCACACGTACATGAGGCAGGTCTGCTTAAGCCTACTTCTTTTTTCGCAGTTCCAGCGGATCTGTTGCCAAGGAATATTCCTGGCAAAATGGATTTGTTTAACGAAGCACTTCCCATCGGCGAAATAGTCAGGTCCTGCCTCGAGTAGGTACTGCCACATGAGGCTTTGCAGTGCATCGCCACTGCTGCTAGGAGTAAGCAACGGTCACCGACGTCTTACTAAGCTGTCGCACTTAGGCACACTACGACCCTCTGAAACCAAGAGCCTCCGTCCACCCTCTGGCATTGGAGGAGTTTCGCACAGCTCGCGGCGCCGCCGATGAAGAGCACGGACAGGACCTTCAGCGCCAGACTGACACCTGGGCTATCTTGGGAGACTGCCACCTGTCGCACACCTCTCTGTGTCCGAGTGTACATCCCGTCCAGTAACTACTATAGGGGCCTATTAGAAAGGGGTTTTGCGGCTCATTATACTATATTTATAATCTATAATCGACAATAAGGAACCCACAATAGTATTGGTAATTGCTTACTTGGAGGATCATGGGACTTAGTAAGTAAGGTTATAAGTACCTTAATGGGGGTTATAAGTAGTTATATGTATAGTTACCCCAATTATAACCCTTGTTACTAAGTCCCATGATCCTTTAAGTAGGCCCTAAACCCTAAACCCCATACATCCCGTTGAGGAACCCTATAGATCCCTTTAAAGAGCCCTCTAAGTATTGGTAGTTGTTTAGGCCCCAATATTAGGCAAACCCTTGTCCGGTCTCCCACCTCGGCCCCGAAGCAGGGCTTCCACGAGTCCACAGAGCGCCAGCAGCAGCAGAGGAAGGCAGGGCGAAGCAAAGGCGCTCACCCTTCGGGCCATGCTGGCAGGGTTTAGGGTTTAGGGTTTAGGGTTTAGGGGTTAGGGGTTTAGGGTTTAGGGTTTAGGGTTTAGGGTTTAGGGTTTAGGGGTTTAGGGTTTAGGGTTTAGGGTTTAGGGCCATCCTGGCGTACGGCATACCTAGACCCCCCAAAGGTAGGTAAAATCATGGCCCAAAACATATATAAAAGGCTACTATTCTACATACTTTTGGGGTACCGCATACTCACTTGATGCTCTGCTCTGTTGCCACACGCAACTCGGCATTAGGTAAGCTAAGTAGCTACGATGCAATCTCACCCACCATTTACGGGCTGTCCAGGTGAAGCTCGAGGCAGTCCACGCAAGAGCCCCGGAAAAGGGCAGTATGCGCTTCGCACATGCATCTGGGCTTGCCGTGATCATCGTCGAAGATCCTGCAAAGGTTTTGAACAGCAGCTATCTCGCTTTTCTGTTGCTCTCCCTCGCTCTCACTGTCTTTCAATGTTTGTCTAGTTTTGTCTTTCCGCTGGTTCAGAGGCTGAGGAGCCCCTCTCGGCATGCGGACCTGTTAGCCGCCTGCTTCAGCAGCTTCGAAACGCAGGCGACATCTACCAGCCTGCTCTTCGAACCCCTGAACATAAAAAGCACTCACTGCTGTGCGCACACTCTTTCTTTCTCTGGGGCCTACAGGTCAAGTAAAGGATCGAACTGCAGGAATTGCTGCGAACGCCAGCTTTTTGGCACGTTCTAATTCTAAGGAGTGCTTTAGCTTTGCGTCCGAAGCAATATCACCATGCAGACGCTAGAACATCAACTAACTCGGCAATCTCTAACAATTCGATGTAAACCCAGACTCAACGCTCCTTCACCCCTCTCGCAAGCTCAATTTCACCCTTCCTCCAGGCCAAAACTCAATTCAAACAGCCCCAACCATGAACCCTTTACACTCAGCTTTGCGGGTTTACGGAGCTAAACCTCAGATACACGTACCGAGTGGCACCCAAGATCCACGTGCGGACGGAACGTTCGGTGCAGACGACAGGGAGTTCAAACATGTAGGCGAATTGAAATTACGCCGCTGCGGCCGATCAAGAAGCAGCAGCAGGAGCAGGAGCAGTGGCAGCAGCAGCCGTCGTCGTTGTCGTCCTCGTCGGCGTCGTCGTCCTTTCTATTGTCGTCTTCGTAGTAGTAGCAGGTATCACATTATTGGTCAATAAGATGCTAAATTCCTGACATTTCCGCGATACCATCGCGATACCTTGGGATTCAACAGGAAGACCAAGCCCATTTTGAAAACCATGAAGATCTTTGTTATACTTACAAGATATGAGCACGTGCATGTGCGTAAGCTTGAGTGTGAGTGTACGCACACATGTCCGGAAGTGGAGGTGGGTGGGCGTGTCTCCACCGGCGATCAAGGCGACGGAGAGGGTTTCTCATAACAAAGAGCTTAGAAACAAGACGACCACGAAAACGACTACGTGCGCCCAACAGGCCTGGGAGGTTGTGCACTTTGCAAATATGGATACATCCGGCACCATGCACCGAAACAGCAGCCTCCCAATAAACACCCGATTCCACAAGCTACCGCTCAAGAAGCACATCAATGGCATCACAACAAATCAGAACCAGCCATTCCCGATGTGGACGCTCGATTCCATAAGCACCTGCTCGAGACACAAATCAGTGGCATCACAACACATCAAAACCAACCATTCCCGTGCAGACGCTCGATCTCGCAAGCACCAGCTCAACAAACACATCAGTGGCATCGCAGCAGAAAGCCAATCAACGACAGCAATTCCCCAAGTAGACGCGCGACACATACCAATGCTGGTAAAAAAAGACTGACAAGCACTCGCCGCTCCCCAACATGTATCAACCCCATGTAGACGCTGTCTAAACGGCAAAGGAACCAACTCAGCTGCAACATCCGGTATGCGCTGAGAACTGCATGTCCCCATCTTGAATGCTGATTGACGTGTAAAAAGCCATGCGGCGACAGGAGAACACTGACGGACTCGGAATTGCCTACGAGTTCTGCAGCTTCCGGGTTCATGCTTAAACTCTAAACCCGCTCGCAGGGCAAAACACCGAAAATACCTGTGGATTGTGCATCCTCGCAAAAGGAATGGGCGCTTGCGACTGGCATATCTTCCTCGAGAAACTTCAGTGCCTTCGTGTGCCATTGATGTCAAGTAAAGTAACAATGCCGTAGATACAGTACCCGTGCTTCGAGCATGTTGGCAATGTGCCAGTGTGAGCGGGGGTTAACGCCCCGCCTCCCCAAACCCTGAAAAGCGCAACACATTGCAGCACCAGGCCCCCAACAACACCAAAAATAAATCCAGAATGAGACCCAAACAAAAAAGGGCACGACGCAAATCTCTCCTCCCAACGTCGCAGCGGCAACTCTGCATGGTCACGGCTCCGTAGTCTGTGTGGCTGCTGTTCGCAGGGCAGGCAGTGCACTCGGACCGGTTGAAGTCGGGGTTGAAACTGCCTGGCGATGGCTCCGGGGAAAGGCCTAGACCCTGAACACGTCAAATCATAGGGACCCTCAGGGTGGTAGGGGAGTCTAGGGTATATGGAGTTTAGGGTTTAGGTAGTTTCAGGTTTGGGAGGGGGGTAGGGGACTATATCACCTTACTTGTTTGGTCCTTATTATGGGCATTAAGGCCCCCTACCCCCCTCCCCCTACCCCCCTATGGGTCCCTCTGATTAAATCTCTTCAGGCTGCCAGCGCTGCATTTCGCGCAGGCGATCTGATTCCCTTGCCACCCGGGCAGGCACCCACATAGTTCGGGAAGGAACAAGGAAGGAGTGACGTCCAGCGGTCCATCCTCCAAGCCATAGCAGCTGAAGCCGTGGTCTTCGTCATCTGCCACTCGTTTTGGCGTTGGTCTCACCTTCCCCTGCCTGAGGAGCTCCCGTGCTTCCTCCTTGTCGGCAAGGTCTACGTTCGTGAGGTCCAACCGGATCCCGCGATCGAAGGCTTGCGTCAGAACCCCTCTTTTGAAACTCAAGGGCAGCTCGTTCTCGGCGAGGGATAAGAGGCTACCAGCGGGAACGTCCATGACTTCCTCGATGCGGTTTCTGGACAGGTCCAGCAGCTGGAGCGCCCCACTGAAATGGGAACGCAAGTTGCCCGTGAGGTTGCAGCCTGCCGCGTCCACTCGGGCCAAGCTATACATGTCCCCCAACAGCATCAAGAAATCCTCTGCCGGCCGGTCCAAGGGGCAGCCTGAGACCTCGGCTGTGAACGAAAAACTTTTGGCTAGTGACCCCGGGGATTGGAGTTGCAAAGTGAGCCTGGGCATGGATCTCCGTAAGGTATGCCATGATACAACCTTTTGACCTTTTGGCAGCATGGAACCCACTGCGCCTTGCACTGTTGAAGCCAAGCAGCGCTGAGGATCGTCAAAGCTTTCAGATCGGCCTCTGCATTAGGAACAAAGGCGGCCTTGCTGCCCTCGGCGCATCACACAAGGTTTCTGTGCCCTGGAGGGGCGTGGCAAAGCGAGCGCGGCTTGGATTGCTGCCTCAGGTCCCGGCCGTCAGGTCCAGGATTTTCAGGTTGTACAGCAATTTCGACTCAATGCGCCCGGTCACCTTGGTGCGGGCCAGGTGGACCTGCTCGAGCTTTCGGCTGTGTAACGCGCGAAGATCTCCGGAGACATCTGTCCCGGTCAGATGCAGGTCCATTAATGGTGTCAGAGCCTCTCAGGGAACTCACGCCAGGCTCGGTCCTTCGGTGTACCCCACGACTACCTCATGTCACTGCATATTTCATTGACATATCCCTGAAGACGCAGGAGCCAGGCATCCCTCCATGCAGGTATTGCAGGCGGGCTTCGGAGAGAGTGAAGGGGGGGTGAGGGATCAAAAAAAAGTAAATAAGGGTCAAGAAAAATTAAATCATTTAAAATACAGCCATTCCTGGGGCAGAGGCATCAAAAAATAATTAAAAATAAGCATCAAAAAATTAAAGTATTTTAAATACAGCAATTCCTGAATTTTTCCTAGGGAAGACATGATTTTCCTACTGATTCTCTTTCATTTCCTTTAGGATTTGCTAGGTTTTTCCTCGGGAAAACGCGATTTCCTACGGATTCCGTGTTATGTCCATAAGCTTTCCTTGGTTTTTCCAATGAAAAACACTATTTCCTATTACCTATGGCGAAGGAAAAACATACGTTACCTTGGTTATTCCTCGGGAAAATCAGACTTTCCTCACAATTTCGCATTTAGGACGGATTTCGTGTTGTAGTTGTTGCTGGTAGCGTTGTTGTTGATGTCGTTGTGGTTGTAGTTGTAGTATGTTGTAGTTGTAGTTGTAGCAGTAGTAGTAGTAGCAGCAGCAGCAGTAGTAGTGGTAATGATAGTAGTAGTAAGAAATGGAAGCAGTAGTAGTAGTAGTAGTAGTAGTAGTAGTAGTAGTAGTAGTAGTAGTACTAGTAGTAGTAGTAGTAGTAGTAGTAGTAGTAGTAGTAGTAGTAGTAGTAGTAGTAGTAGTAATAGTGGCAGTAGTAGTGGTGATAGTAGTAGTAGTAGTAGCAGTAGTAGTAGTAGTAGTAGTAGTAGTAGTAGTAGTGATAGTAGTAGTAGTAGTAGTAGTAGTAGTAGTAGTAGCAGTAATAGTAGTAGTGGTCCCTCATATGTCTAGAACACGCCTTCTCATTTATCGTTTCCTGTTCCTAATATTTCTTAAACACGCTCCTTCATCTGGCGATTCCGGTTCCTCATATATCTTAAACACGCCCCGTCGTTTGGCGATTCCGGCTCATCCTATATCTTAAGCACGCCCCCTCAGAGGCGATTCCGCTTCATCATCTATCTTAAACATGCCCCCTCATTTGGCGATTCTGGTTCAGCATGTATCTTTATGATCTCCAATCCCTGTAAAAGCCCTGAGTCCCAAAATGCACAACCTAAGCGAAAAAAACGTTTCCAGAAAGCGCAAATTTGCGTCCTAAATGCACCCTGTGTAAGACGAAGAAGCCTAAAAGCCAATCGCAAAGCAGGCCTCACTAACAGCCACAATAATCATATCCAACACATGCTTCATTGATTAACTATATTGGACGGCGTTGACAAGGAGCTAAAACCAGCTAGGACCTAGACAGATGTGAGCCGGTAGAAGTCCGACTCCTGTCAACGGGGCTTTAGGGGTTAAGGCTCCGGGTTTAAGGCTTAGGGCTGCAAGTCTCTGGTTCACGGCTTACGGGTTCAGGGGATCAGGGTTCTGGATTTGAAATTTAGGGTTCAAGGTGCAAGGTTTCGGGATGTTTCTTCCTAAAAATCTAAGCGCTTAAGAGTTTGTGGCTGGGGGCTTGGCGCTAGGGCATTGGAGGAATCAAGGGTTCAGGGGATAAGGTATTATGGGGCATATGCCTCACGGCGCGATACTCCATCAACTCCTGGGCGCCAAGTTCAGGTTTGTAGAGCACAGGTCTTGGAACGTGGACTCGGGTCCCAATTCTAATACTACCTGGACCGGGGTCTGTGGTATGTCGTGGCACTTGTTTTCAGTCTCATCAACGTGTTGGGTGTCGGCGTCGTCATGACTGCCCAGCTGCAGCGAAAGTGACCTGGGGGAGGGCAGGAAACAGGTGTGAAGTCACTTCTAGATTCTTACATTCCCAACAGCTCATTCGGGGCAACAAGTACACCAGCAGTCACACAACAGCGGTCTGCGCCGCAGCCCCCAGAAGGCAACATCTGCATGCTGAGAGCAGCATGATCGAAGAAAGCTGCGTTCGGTTCCGCACACCTAGAATCTAGATGACACGGCTCCGGTGGCATAAGACATGTGAGAAATGTGCGCTATATGAGCTAAAGGGGTGAGTAAGCCGAGAGGCCTAGAGTCTAGAGAAGAATCGGAGCTATGATGCGGAACAGGCCAACGAGTCACCTTCGACTTTGCTGGCAGAGGATTACCCTAGCAATCCATAGGATGCTTTCAGCAACGCAGGAAGAATGTCGATCTCAGAGATATTGTCCGTGCCGGCCGTGATCACTGAGACCTGGTCCTTGAGGAGGGCCTCAGCCTGTGCAACACTGTCTCCGCCCTTCTGATGCATCTGCCAACCTTTGATGAGGAGGCCCTCGACCACCAAAGCACGACCACATCGCCAGGTTTTGGTCAAGTCGTCCACGCAAGTGAGCAACGCAACAAGCTCGATCTGGGCAGCATCATCGCCATTGGTGTCCTGGAGTTGGCTTTCCTGTGTTGTCGCACGAAAGACATTGGCAGCCTCCGTCCCCCCCCCCCGGATTTAAATTATTTAATTCCGGGGGGGGTCCCGGACCCCCCCCGGGGCCCTCCCCCAGGATTTAAAATATTTAAATTATTTAAATTAAAGGCTCGGTCGCAGCTCACTTCCGTCAGATGTTGCCAACAGGTGTGTGAAATCCCTAGCCCTTTGTTTAATGCGGTATTTACAGGCTTTTTGCTCGATCGCGGCTTACTTCCTAATGTCCGCCAGATTTTGCCAGCAGATGTGTGGAATCTCTAGCCCTTGTTTTAACGCGATATTTACCTGCTTTCTGCTCGGTCGGAAGGCTGGGCGCGTGGAAGCAGGCAGGCGCCTCCACTACACACCTTTCTCCCTTCCTCCACCCACCCACCCACCCACCCACCCACCCACCCGTGGATTCTGCGCGAAACCCTGCCCGGGGACACCGCTTGCGATTTGATGATTTTGGTACCTGTTGGGGACACCCCTTGCGATCTGCGAGTTTTTTAAAGCCTTAAGGGGAACCTTAGGGGGACAGCCCTTGTGTTAACGCGGTATTTACAGGCTTTCTGCTCTGTGGCGGCTCACTTCCGCCAGATTTTGCCAACACATGTGGTGATGGGCTGGGCTGGGGGCTGGGGCGCGCAATGGGTGTTCCATTAGGTTTTGAAGAAACGAGATCCCAAAATCACGGATCGCAAAGAGTGTCTCCCTACAGGTCTGTGTTAAAAATGAGTGCCCAAATCATAAACCGCAAGGGCTAGGTGCCGCATGACTTTGCCGCAAGCACGCTGCTTGCAAGCAACACGAAGAACCTCGCTTTCGGATGCAATGCCACTGCACCCAGACACGACTGAGATTGGGAAGAACAGCTGTGCTACTTGTGGCGTCATTGGATCTGCGAAACCTGCTTTTCGCGTGAGACGCTTCAGCGCCTGAGCCCACCACGATGTCGTCCTCATATTTACAGACGGAGGGGATCTGACCAAGATGTCTGCGACACTTGCATGTTCAGCATCAGCAGCTGCTGGGAAAGCCGAGAAGGACGAAGGGGTGCAACTGCGGATGTCGTCCGCACTCCTAGCCCGTGCTTGCAGCCTGCTGGATGGCCCGCTAGTGAGCTGCACCAACATCCCCCAGTCGTCATGGCTGTCTTCGGACCCAATGGCTACGGCCTTCTGTTGGCCTTGAGCCTGCCTTCGCGAGACCGGACCTTCTCTCATGCAGATGTGCAAGCTTGCTGGGACTTTAGTTACATCTGGCGGTCGTGCACACCTCGACGACAGTGATTAACAGGACACCAAGCATCCCGCACTTGATTCGCAAAAGGAGGTGCAAAAAAACGCATTTGCTAAACGCATTTATTTGCTTTATTTTCGCGTTTTGCCAAATTACATGGATATATCTAATTTGCAGGACTTGGCGATCATAAATGTATCTACAACGGCGGAGCCCCCCCCCATTTGCAAGCACAATGCTCGTGTGATGGGTTTCAATAAAAAGGCCATATGCTTCAAAGCAACCCTGCACGGCTTAAATCAGCGCGGGGCTGGGGGGGCGCAGCCTCCCCCATTTGCAGACACAACGCTCGCATGATGGGCTTCGAAAACACTCTTTGAATCAAGCTTGCACGGCTCGAAAAGCGCGGCGGTGGGTCTTTCGTTCTTCCGTGCCTGTTCGTGTCTCTTCTTCCGTTGCACTCTAACATAATATAACATAGTACACCATGAGAACGACATAAGATGGTTCGACATTGCAAACAATAGCGTGACATTTCCTGACATAACATAACATTGCTTCTTATAGCAGACATAACATAACATTGCTTCTTATAGCATGTAACAACATAACAAACATACAACAATACAATATAACAGAATATACCTAGAACAAAACAACATCTTAGTTTATAGTGTGTACATTGTAACAGAGTACAATATAGTGTGCATATATACAACATAATGTTCAATATATTATATAACATCAGGTTACATTATGTTATATTCTGTTATGGTATATTACTATATCACGCTATATTCGATTCGACTATTGCGTGTATCTTTCTTTCTGTGATTATTTCATGTTCTTTCTCTTTCGTCCTCTCCGATTTGCATGTGTCTTCTGGATTTCTTTCTTTGCTTCGCTCGTTCATTCCTTTTCTTTCTTTCTGTGGTCCTTTCTTTATTCATTTCATACTCCCTTCCTTCCTTTCTTTCTTGCTTGCTTTCTTTCTTTTTCAGTTATTTCGTTCTTTCTTTGGTTCGTTCTTTCTTTCGGTATTGCTTTCGTTCTTTCTTTCGTTTTTCTTTCGTCCGTTCGTTCTCTCTTTCGTTCTTTTTTTCTTTCTGTCTTCCTTTCTTTCTTTCTCTCGCTCTCTCTCTCACTCTCTGCCGGGCGCAGGGGCGGATCGGCACCCCCGGGCGCTCTCTCTCTTGCTTGCTTGCTTGCGGGGCGGCCCTGCTTCCTTCCTGCTGCCTTCCTGCCCTTTCTGTTGCTTCTTTTTTTCCTGCCTTCCTGCTGTCTCTGGTGCTTTAATTTTTGATCCTTATTTAATTTTGTTTGATCCTTATTCAATTTGTTTTTGATCCTTCTTTATTCTTTTTGTTACCCCTATCCCGTGAAACAAGCCCAGAGCTCGAAACGTCCGCAGCATTGCTTGGCATGCGACTGCACGGCGGGAAGCACGCAAGGCGAGGCAGCGGGAGGGCGACAGGAGGCAGCGGGAGGTGGCGAGAGGCGGTGGGAGGGGCCCCTGTCTCAACGCGCCTGCAGGTCCTCGAGCTTCCCAGTGATTGCAGTGTGATCAAGATACAACCACCGCAAGCCAGTCATATTCTGCAGGCCCTCGAGCTTCCCGGTGATTGCAGTGTGACCCAGGTTCAAGCGGCGCAGGCCAGTCATATTCTGCAGGTCCTCGAGCTTCCCATTGATTGCGGTGTGGTCCAGTTCCAGATATCCCAGGCCAGTCATGTTTTGCAGGTCCTCGAGCTTCCCAGTGATTGCAGTGTGATCCAGATACAACCACAGCAGGCCAGTCATATTCTGCAGGTCCTCGAGCTTCCCGGTGATTGCAGTGTGACCCAGATTCAAGCTTTGCAGGCCAGTCATATTCTGCAGGTCCTCGAGCTTCCCGGTGATTGCGGTGTGGTCCAGTTCCAGATGTTCCAGGTCAGTCATGTTTTGCAGGTCCTCGAGCTTCCCGGTGATTGCAGAGTGACCCAGATTCAGGATCTGCAAGTGTCTCAGGTGTTGGAAATCATGCAAGCTCCCTGCGAGCTGTGGGTTGTAGTTTAAGTATAGCTTTTTCAGTCCACGCAGCTTCTCCAGCTGTTGGGGCACCTGGCCGTCCAGGCCTTGGCCCGACAGGCGGATGCCCCTTACGCAGCCTCGGCCGCAGACGATAACATCCCAACCAACACAGTACTCTTCCGGCACCTCCGACGCGTGGCCGAGCTTCGACAGGACTTCCTGGAGGGACGCCCTCTCCTGTGCAGGATCGCCTCGGCCGCCGCGGGACAGGGGCCCGCAACGAAACAGTGCATCATGGTTACGGGACTGTTAAGGCAACCGAGATTTGGGGTTTGGGTCTTGCTTGTTCCGTTTGTAGGGATGCGCTCACGATGGACCGATCGATGTGATGCTGTATGGGCCTCCTGCCGTGCCTCCACCTGAAGTTGCCAGGCAGTGCGCCGAAACTTCCGGATCACGTAAACCGCCGAGCTGCAATCCATGCCCAAAGCGCTGAATGCTAGCAAGCTGGATGACGCCTTTGGTAAGATTGAGTTTGGGGGGTGGGGGAGGAGGGGCTCTGATCGAAAGAGGAAGGAAGTTCTGAAGCAGTGTCAAAAAGAGAGAGAGAGAGAGAGAGAGAGAGAGAGAGAGAGAGAGAGAGAGAGAGAGAGAGAGTGCGCGCAAATGCGGTGAGGGGCATGGCCTTCACCTGACACTGGCAAAAACTCTCAACCCTCTCAACCCTAATCTCCAGACATTCACCCGGCCTCACATGCCTTCTGCAAACAGTTCCCGGAAACCCCAAGCCGGCAGCCCTGGCCTTGGTCTTGCTGTCGGCTGCCTGTCCCGACATTTGAACTCGCGCTTGGAAGCGATCAGAGATTCAGAAACGTTGCAACAAATTGCAGCGGCTGAGCACCCGCAGCTTGCGCGTCCTTCGAGGATGCGCATCTGCAGGCTTCAGAACTAGGATCGCGGCTACTTCAAGGGTCATGGGACATAGTAACTAGGGTTATAATTAGGGTAACTATACTTATATCTACTTATAAGCCCTATTAAGGTACTTATAACCCTATAGTTATCTACTAAGTCATCCTCCAAGTAGGCATGTCATACAGAAACCTACGCAGCCGTACAACCTATAAGCAACACGGCCTCGTCCAGCAACAGCGTCCGGTCGGAGACCTGCCCATCCCATCTCCCAACAAAGCACTTAGCTTCCTGGAAAGGCTCAGCATGGGAAGGGATCTCGAACTTCATGCGGTAATTCTTACCTTTGGTTTGTAGGGAATGGAGGAATGGGGGTACAAGTGTAACTAGTATTACTACCATTCTTCCATTCCCTGCTAACCACAGGTAAGAATATGGTAAGAATTGCGTCGTGGCAAGGGCCAGCAGTTTGAGACCCTCAGCTCTCCTTCGATGCTCAGAGCTTCCGTCGGCCTGCAGGTCACGCACAGCGCCCAGCAGAGACGGACTGCACAGCGCCAGAAAAACGCGAGCCATGTTGAGCATGGCTGGTTCACTAATCCACTTTCCTTCACAGAAGCTGGCCAAAATCACGAAAACCCTTATACTAACCTACATTGATTAGCTTCCTCTACGTCATGGCGGCTCATAGCATGGCCCTTGCTGGGCCTATGGCCCGGAAATACTGCCCTTCCTCAGAATAAGCATGCACGGAGCAATGCAGATAGTTTGTCAGACTGCGAGCGGCTGCAGAAGGCGCACAGTGCTTCTCAGTTCCCCAACTCTCAACACTATGTTCGCTCTCAACCGTACGATGAAAACGAAGCGCTAAACTCTAAACGACGAACCTTACAAGCTCAAACATCGTAACCTGAAAAACCTCCTCTCTATGCACATCATGCCCTAGACCAAAACTGTCAAACCTGGACACCGAACCCCAAATAGGAGAACGAAAAGAATTGAAACTATATCTTCAATGTGCCGTGATAGCGAAGCAACCTCCGAGGACCCTGCAAAACACACGCACCGATTGGCGAGTACCTCAAACGCAGCCAGAGGCACCCCGCACAGGCCTGCAGCTCCTTTCTTTCGAAGGTCGGGGAGGTCTGCCTCCTCCGCAGCACGATGCTGCTCTTCGGGCCACGGCCCAACACTCCTGGAAGCAACTCTCTCGTTCATTGCAGGATTTCAAGACCCCCCACAAAGCCCATACGCTAAGCTTCTAAACCCCATACCGCCGAACCCCGAAGATGCTGTAACCCCTGAAAGCCCCTGAGCCTAAAGCATCCTCCCCCAGCCGCAAAACCCCTTCTTCAAGAACCTTAATCTGCAAGTATACTACACCCTCAACTCCCTTTATACCAACCCCTAAACCCTAAACCCTAAACCCTGAACCCTAAACCCTAAACGAAGACCCCAAACAAGATACACGAGAGACTAAGGCGCTTGGGGCTAGGGTTTACGCTCTCACCGGATGGGATGTCTTGATGTTTTGGCGTACACTGAAGCTGTTATCACTTGTTGGAGAAGTCGTTCCATTTCTGATTCTTAATTTTCCCTGTTCTCTCACTCCCCTGCAGAGTTTTCGTGTGGCTTCCCATATTTCATGTAGCTGTAGTGGTTGAAGCAAACAAGCGGCCGCTTGGTTCATAGGTGACTTGTCCGTCCGCGATGCCGGTTCGAAGTACCCCTGAACCCTGATCTACTAGGACTAGGAGGCTGCTAGAATGCTAGAAAGGCTGATCACCGAAACGGCATCTGGGTTCGGGGGTTGTTGCTAAGATTCCAGTGGTCGGAGCTTCAGACTTGCGGCTTTTGAGCTCGGGGTTATGGCTGACCAGTACATCCCGACATCCCCAAACCAGAGATGCTGAAGGCCTCTGGGAACTCAACACACCCAAGGTCGATTACAAAACCCCAACCCCATGTGCTCTGAACCCCAAAACCACACGAATGAGCTAAATTCGTCAATCCCTTCCCCGAGAAAACAGCTTTTAAGCCATCCACCTCCAGCTGAATGGATCACATCCGCAAGCTCGTCCTTTTTTAGCTCATCCTTACGATTCAAGGCGGAACAAAAGGGCTTCTGCCGTGAAAGATGAGCACCTGAAGGCTTGACTAGATGAGCTAGACAATCACGAAAGCACGCCGCGATTCACCCCTTCATGTTCCACCTGGCTCAACCAAATAAGAGTCCCTTTTCCCTTTGGCAGAACTACAACCGAACCCTTCTCTGATACTAACCTCTACCAAGTGAAAGAGGTCGCCCAGAGCAGCCAAGGCACTGGTATTCGGGATTCCTTGGTTTCCAATGCTGGGTGAAAGACCGAAAACCCCTAAACCCTAAACCCTAAACCCTAAAGAAACTGAAGTCGCCCCATGGCTACGGCTATAAGAGCTTGTCACTTTACACACGGGAGCTCTTACACAAGCTACACTCAAGAAAGCAGGCAAAAATGACTAAAGCTTGAAGAACCTGCACCGACAGGACTCGTCTAATTAGCCTCGGGGCCGTATGCAGTGGCGTTTCGCCAACATGTCTGGCTCTTCAAACATCCCGCGCTTGCGGCCTCACGACCGCAGGTGCTGCGGAACACTGCAAGAGCACGAGTGGCTGATGCTAAGCACGTCCAGTCCGTTTCAGTGCGGCTCAAACCTCATGGAAAATGTACACAGTACACAGATTGGCTTTCAAACACCGGAGAGACGTCATAGAAGCAAGCACTGCCCAGTACCCAGACTCTGCATCTTGAAGCTAAACAGCAGGAATCTGATGCCAGAAAGCTCCAGGCCTACCGAAGCCCGTAAGCCGACACAAGCACAAGGGACATGCGAGAATGCAATCGTCACTTAGGCAGCTGCTTGCCCCTGTCATCGAGGCAAGCATGGAAGCCACAAAGCCCACCTCGAACGGGGAGGCATTGAAGTGCGACGAATTGTAAGCCTTGTTGGGGTCTGCCTTCCTCGTTGGGGCATTCAACTCTGCTCCGCTCGCTTCAAGCTTTAAACGGCCCAGTCCGCACTGCATCTATGGATTCACTTCGGTGGATGATATAAGTCCTGCATTACCAATAATAAGGATCATACCATACTTGGAGGGTCGGGGGACTTAGTGTCCCTAAAATAACCAGTTACTAAATCCCCCGACCCTCCAAGTAATTCCCAAAGTTTAGGATCCTTCTTGGCCGCTCCGCAAAGCCGTGGAGGGTCCAACAACAGCAAGAGCGGTGAGACGAACAAGGATCATGATCTTCAGGGTTTAGGGTTTAGGGATCTTCAGGGTTTAGGGTTTAGGGATCTTCAGGGTTTAGGGTTTAGGGATCTTCAGGGTTCAGGGTTTAGGGATCTTCAGGGTTTAGGGTTTAGGGATCTTCAGGGTTTAGGGTTTAGGGTTTAGGGATCTTCAGGGTTTAGGGTTTAGGGATCTTCAGGGTTTAGGGTTTAGGGATCTTCAGGGTTTAGGGTTTAGGGATCTTCAGGGTTTAGGGTTTAGGGATCTTCAGGGTTTCAGGGTTTAGGGATCTTCAGGGTTTAGGGTTTAGGGATCTTCAGGGTTTAGGGTTTAGGGATCTTCAGGGTTTAGGGTTTAGGGATCTTCAGGGTTTAGGGTTTAGGGATCTTCAGGGTTTAGGGTTTAGGGATCTTCAGGGTTTCAGGGTTTAGGGATCTTCAGGGTTTAGGGTTTAGGGATCTTCAGGGTTTAGGGTTTAGGGATCTTCAGGGTTTAGGGTTTAGGGATCTTCAGGGTTTAGGGTTTAGGGATCTTCAGGGTTTAGGGTTTAGGGATCTTCAGGGTTTAGGGTTTAGGGATCTCAGGGTTTAGGGTTTAGGGATCTTCAGGGTTTAGGGTTTAGGGATCTTCAGGGTTTAGGGTTTAGGGATCTTCAGGGTTTAGGGTTTAGGGATCTTCAGGGTTTAGGGTTTAGGGATCTTCAGGGTTTAGGGTTTAGGGATCTTCAGGGTTTAGGGTTTAGGGATCTTCAGGGTTTAGGGTTTAGGGATCTTCAGGGTTTAGGGTTTAGGGATCTTCAGGGTTTAGGGTTTAGGGATCTTCAGGGTTTAGGGTTTAGGGATCTTCTTCAGGGTTTAGGGTTTAGGGATCTTCAGGGTTTAGGGTTTAGGGATCTTCAGGGTTTAGGGTTTAGGGATCTTCAGGGTTTAGGGTTTAGGGATCTTCAGGGTTTAGGGTTTAGGGATCTTCAGGGTTTAGGGTTTAGGGATCTTCAGGGTTTAGGGTTTAGGGATTATCTTCAGGGTTTAGGGTTTAGGGATTATCCTCAGGCTTTAGGACTTTAGGGTTTAGGGATTATCTTCAGGGTTTAGGGATGGAAATCAACAGTAGATACAACCACCAACATCAAGAGCATGCGAGTACTGCCACTGGATGGCCCGTTCTGAAACGAATCCTGAACACTTTCATGCTGGATATGCTGAATCGTCTTAGACCGCCAACAACACTCCCACCCCCCTGCCGGCCTGAGGAGGCCTGTTGGAAGCAGAGGCGGTGCAGCTGGCCACGGTCTCCGCTCGGCAAAAGTGGCGAGTCGACAAGATGTGATCCCAGGGTGTCATGATACAGTGACACATTTTAGCATGGGGAATGTTTGGCACAAAGCTGCCTACAACTCTGCGTCTGGAGCCCGACTGCATGGCTTTCATGCATCTAGAGTCCAAAAAGCCCGAAAACCCAGAGCCTAAAGCCCTGAAGATGTAAAGCCCAAAATCCCGAAAGGGACCCCCCCCCAGACCCTACACTCCGACTCTACAATCCCAATCCCCACACCCCTAACTCGAAACTTGTACAACTCCTCAACCCTACTTAAAGGATCATGGGACTCAGTAACTCGGGTTATACTTACCCTATATAACCGCTTTTATACTTAATCATAGTTACCTGTATAAGCCCCAATTAAGGGACTTATAAACCCTAAACCCTGATCTCTAAACCCTTGCTTACTAAGTCCTGCAGTCTCTTTCTTTCCTCCATGTAGACCCCGAACTCCCGAAACTCTCGACCCTGAACTCTGAAACTTGAAATGCCCTGAAACATTTGGTTTAGGGTTTAGGGGTTTAGGGCTTCAGGCATGATGAAGCCTACAGTTTCGAAGCCCTGAAACAAACAGCTCGAAAAGCAAGCTCCTAAGCCCAAAGAAACCCGTAAACCCCTAAACCCTAAACCCTAAAACACTAAACCTTTGTAAGAACTTCCAGGTTCATCAAAACAGACCCCAAACTCTAATCCAATGGTTAAGGCCCCTTTGTTCCGTTTCCGTAAACCTAAACCTTAAACCCTACACCCTGAACCCTACACCCTGAACCTTCAAGCAAGCTTTACAACTGGGTGGTTGTCAAAATGAGGGTCCCTTTTTGGGTCCTTAATGTACTCCGGCACCTAATAACTTATATTTAGGGTACCCAAAAAGGGACCCTCATTTTGACAACCACCCAACTGCGGCCCAAAGACTGACTCCCAGGTGGGATGCCGCTTTGGTCGCCAGTGCCGCTGCCTGCGGGCGGCAGCCCGACTTGGAAGATCTGGGGACTTAGTGGGTAAGGTGACGGTTTAGGGTTTAGGGTTCCTTTAAAAGGGATCTATAAGGGTTCCTTAAAGGGATCTATAAGGGTTTAGGGTCTACTTGGAGGATCATGGGACTTAGTAAGCAAGGTTATAAGTACCTTAATTGGGGTTATAAGTAGTTATAAGCATAGTTACCCTATTTATAACCCAAGTTACTAAGTCCCATGATCCTTGAAGTAAGCTCTCTTTGGTTCCATGGCTTCTTTCGACTTAGGGCTTAGGCAATATACTTGGTAGGGGCTATAAGAAATTATGATAGGTATAGTCACCTTGCTTGTAACCCGAGTTGCTAAGTCGCATGATCCTCGAAGTGGGGTTGGGGTTAGGGTTTTCCGTTGAGGGCTTAATGCTGCGGGTTTAGGGTTTAGGATTTGCGGCTCCTTTCTTGGCCTAGGTCAGATTGCGAGGTGCACCAAGGCTTGAAAGGGTACGTAGAGGCGCTGAAACTTCCAGCCCCAAATCCAAAACCCTACACCCTAAACTCCTCAACCAAACCCGCAACCCGGAGCCTGAAACCAAATCGCAAGCCCCAAACCTCATAAACTCCTCAACTAAACCCTCAAGCCTACATTTCCTGAGCCCGCAACCTGCAACCCCGAGCCTCAGAACCCAAACCCTCAGCTCTAAACATTCGACCCCTTCCCTAAACCTCGACCACAAACCCTAAACCCATGAAAGAAACACAAGCTTCATGAGACTTTAAAGAAACCCGAGCATAACAAGGCGCTGTAAAACCCAAGAATAACACGATCAACATCCTAAAACCTATACCCTGTCCCTAAACCCTAAACCGTGCTCCTAAAACCCTAAACCCTAAACCCCCAATGCCCCTAAACTCCAAAATAGCCTAAGACGACGCGTCTTTGCCTCGGCCGGCAGCGGGTCACCACCTAACGCAGCGGCCTCGTAGAAGCCAAGAGGATCCGAGAGCCTTCGCACTTTCGGTGCCCTACAAAGGAGGGGTGTAGGGTTTAGGGGTTTAGGGTTTAGGGGTTTAGGGCTTAGGGGTTAGGGTTTAGGGTTTAGGGTTTAGGGGTTTAGGGTTTAGGGGTTTAAGGGTTTAAGAAGCGGAGAGGAGGTTCTTGGGGTTTTAGAGGTTTAAAGTTTTTGGGTTTTGGGCTTAGGGGTTTAGGGGCCCCAACAAGGAGGGGTTTGTGGTTTGAGGGCTTCAGGGTTTTATGGTTTTGGCGTTTTAGGGTTTTTCTGGTTTGGGGTGCAGGGTTTCAGGAAAAAAAGAAAGGGTTTAGGGTCCCGAAAAAAGGATGGGTTTAGGGTTTAGGGTGGAGGAGCCCTAGAAGGGGGTTTGGGTTAAAGAGCCCTAAAAAGGATGGGTTTACGGCTTAGGGTTTAGGGTTTAGGGTCCCCAAAATGGGAGCCTTCACTAGACTAGCGTTTTGGGGTACATTATACTATAATCATAATTACTTAGGGACCCCTATAAGGAAGGGTTTAGGGTTTAGGGGTTTAGGGTTTTATGGTTTTGGTGTTTTTTTCGGACCTTGAACCGAAACCCATAAACCAAAGCACTGATTCACACCCCCTAAACCCTAAACCCTAAACCCTAAACCCTAAACCTAAACCCTAAATTTGGAACTGACTCACACCTGCTCCGCAGCTGGACGTCGGTAAAAATCTCCTCCGCCTCCTCGAGGCTCGCATCGCCCAGCCTGAGCGACGGTTCTTTTGAGGGCTCCTTTAAGGGCGCCTTTAAGGGTTCCTTTAAAGCCAAAAAGGGCTCCTTTAAGGGTTCCTTTAAAGCCAAAAAAAGGGCTCCTTTAAGGGTTCCCAAAAAAGGCTCCTTGAAGGGTTTCTTTACCGGTTCCTTCAAGGGTTCCTTTGAGAGATCCTTAATTGGTTCCCTTTAGGGCTCCGTTAAGGGATTCCTTTGACGAGTTTTCACAGAGTCTGTAAGCGTGATCAGACTTTTGTATCAGCTCATGGAAGGATTGAAGTTTCCTGTAAAGAACCCATTGAACCTGTGAAGGTTCCTTTAAAGCTTCTTCTTTTCTTTATTTTAAAGGTTCCTTTAGGGGTTCCTGTACGGGTTCTGCTAGGGTTCTTAAAAATGTCAAAAATGGCTCCTTCATACTAGGGTTGGGATAGGATTAAAAATTTGTATGTTTATTCCTTATTGGGTTTAAGTACCCACATAAATGTAAAATGTTACCCAACTATGACAAAGTATAAGTGTTTCTTGAGGGTTTGCGGGGATTCGGCTCGTAAGGCTGAGAGCGGAAAGCTTAAGCTTTGGGGGTTCCACGAAGGCTCCTTCAAGGGATCTCTACGCGCTCATTCAACCCTAGACCACAAGCCCCCGTGCAGAAACGACCCAAAACCCCCAAAACCCATAAACCCCTAAACCGCACACCCCTACCCATGCTGTAGGAACCCTTAACCGAACCCCTACAAGAATCCTTCAAGGAACCCCTACAAGAACGCCTTCAAGGAACCCTCACAAGGACCCTTAAAGAATATAAACCCTAAACCCTATAACCCCTAAAACCCCAAACCCTAACCCCTACTATAGGAGCGCTTAAACGAGCCCCTACAAGAACCCTTAAAGGGACCCTAAACCCCAAACCTCAAAAAAGGAAGCCCTTAAAGGACCCGCAAACTTAAAAGAAACCCCACTCCCCCCAGATTCCGCTCTCAACCCTAAACCTCAAAGGAACCCTTAAAGGAACCCTAAACCCTAAACCTCGAAGGAACCCCTTTTGAAGGAACCCCCCAGATTCCGCCCTCCGCGTGATGGCCGCCCAGTGGCTCCAGCCAGGCGCGGAGTTCCCGAGCTCGGCGCCGGAGGCGCTCGCCCTGGAGTTCTTAGAGAAAGGGCTCCGAAAAGGGGTTAGGGCTTCTTAAAGAAAGGGCTCCTTTAAGGGCTCTAGGGTTTTTGCTAGGGTTCCTTTAATGGTTTAGGGGTTCAGGGTTTAGGAATATGACGGGGTTCCTTTAAGGGTTTTCTTGAGGGTTTTTAAACGGGCTCCATTAGCAAGGGCTCCTTTAAAGGGAGCCCAGTAATAAACCTCGTTAAAGGAACCCTGTTATAGAACCCTTTCGTACATTTAAGGATTCTTAAAGAAAGGGCTCATTTAATGATGTTTAAAGAAAGGGCTCCTTGCAGGGTTTCTACAAGGGCTCTATGGTTACTGTAAGGGTAAAAGGTTCCTTTAAGGGTTCCTGAACTTTAGGGTTTAGCGCTTGCAGGCTTTAGGGTGTTAAGGTTTAAGGTTTCTGGCTTGAGGGTTTCGGCGTAAGCTTCTGGAAATCCAGATGGGGGCAGAGGGCCAGGGCCCCTTTGGGACGTGCGGTGTTTTGTGAAGCTCGATGGCCGTAGCTATGGCCGCTGTTGGAAACCCTCCTTTGGGTTCATGGTTTCTGCTTGGAGGGTCGGGGGACTTAGTAAGTAGGTAGTAAGTAGACTTACAAGTACCCTAAAAGGGACCCTAATTGGGGTTATGGTACTTATAAGTCCCTAAAATAACCAGGTACTAAGTCCCCTGACATTATAGTACCATTATAGATCCCTTTTTGTAGCAGCCCCTATAGACCCCATTTAAAAGGGTCCCTTTAAAGGGAACCCTAGGGCCCCTAACCAGTTACTAGGTCCCCTAAGGACCCTCCAAGTGGGTGCTGGATTGAAGGTGTCGCATTCAGGATTCGGGTCTTCGGGTCCGGGCTGATCACATACAGGGCAGTTTCCGAAAATAGGGGTACCTTAGGGTTCCTTTAAAGGGTTACTATAAGGGTACTATAAGGGTTTCTTTAAGGGGCTCTATAAGGGTTTGGAGTTTCCGAAAATTGGGGGTACCTTATTTTGGGGGTCCCTATAATAAGGATCCTACTATTTAGGGTACTATATTGGGGTCCCCTATTTTCGGAAACTCCCATATGAGTTCAGATGATGATGGCGAGAAAGACTGAGATGATGATCATCATCATCACCATGATCATCGGTATCGGCATCCAAAGCGAACAGTGCACGGGGGGAATGAGGACATTAAGGAGATACCGACCGCGCCTTTGAGGGCATGTCGGCGGCAAGCCACGGCTACGCATCGGCGCGAGATCACGTTCAAGCTTACTTGCTATGCTGGGTTGAGGGTTTGGGGTTGGGGTTTGGGTTTTGGGTTGGAGGTATTGGCCTGGAAACTTCGATCGTAGACTAGAGTTTGAGCCTGTCTTGGGCGGAGGTCTTGGGTTTACTGTGATTGGGCTTCAGGCTTTGGGGCTTCGGGTTAGGAGGCTTCGTGCTGAGAAGTGGTGGTGGGGGCTAGGCCACAGTTTGCCGTTGAGAGGGTTTGCACTGGCCATGTTGGGAATCTATGTGGCTGCCCTGAGCAGCTGCAGAGTCCGTCAACAAATGTCTCGGGTTTTCGAGCGAAGGGTCAAGACTTTTGGGACTTTCCAACAGAAAAGGACCTTGCGCGGACGACACGCATTACTCCACGTGCCAAATGTAAGATTGCCGGCACAGATAATGACTAGTAGACAGGAATGACTGCTAACATAGTCCATCCGATTTGATCGTGATTACCCTGATGGCCCCAAAACCCTAAAACTTCAACCATAAGCCCATGGAAACTCGGCACAAGATTTCTTGGAGACTGTGCAGCTCATCCCAAGCCCTGCGACAGCTCCAAGGCTCTAGAGTTAGGGTTCATGACACCCCCACTATACGGGTTTAGGGTTCAAGGTTTGGGATCCAGTTTTTAGGGTCTGCGGGTTTAGGGTTTGGGGTTGACGGTTTAGGCTTTAGGGTAGACCTTCAAACACTGACATAACCGAAGACAAGTACCGGTAGATCTTTTAGCCACTCCACTGACCTGGAAGTCTGTGAAAATCGGTCGCAGGGGTGCTCTGCGACCTGCTAAGCTCCACATCACAAGCCGTCGCAACCCTGCAGCAAGACACCCGTTTACGACGCTCTGATTCTCGTTTGCGGCATGGTAGAGTTTAGTGCTTAAGGCTTGTAGGTTTCATGTCATGGGCTTCTCTCAGTGGCATCGACTGCACGGCTCAGGCACAGGTCGTGGCATCACCTGCAGGAAGGAGCGCGCAATCCCGCACCCAAATATCAGCTTGGAATGACACAGGCACCTCGGTATCCTTAAGGGCTATACGGAGTGATGGCAAGAGGGCAGGATGATCTGATATGTGCTATCATGGACTCGAACCCAGTCCCTGATGGCACGATGCTAAGAATGCTCTTTTTTGCACGTCTCCCTGCTAGTCTCGTGCAAGGTGTCCGAGACCATCTGTAGGTCGCCAGCAAGCGCAGAATAGCGGGGTTGCCAGCAGCTGCCGAAAGAATGGACTTTCCATGTTTGTCCCTTATGCTCGGCTTGGCAGAGGCCCTCAACAAGCGGCCAACGACCTCCAGACGTTGGTTGTTACAGGCGGCCCAGAGAGGTGTTCGGCCGTAGCAGTCGCGCACTTCCTTGTCAGCGCCCGCTTTCCTGACAAATGGGAATGAAGGCGGCCTGGAGGAACTCTTCCAAATCTATGGGGACCATAATGTGTGCGACCTTAAGCCTTAGCCCTGCGCGCACACACACACACAAAAAAAAAAGGCCTGTATAACCTAAGTATAAGCATAAGTATACGCCCGAAACACCCTGAATGTAAGCCCGACCATCACTGCACACCCCCCTTTCTCATCTCGGGGCCTATGAAACCCTAAACCCTAAAACCCTAAGCCGGAAAGCCCTAAAAGCCCAGCTTCAGGAGCATCGCCACAATCTGGGCGTGCCCCTTGGCGCAAGCCGTCCAAAGAGGTGTTCTGCCCAGCAGGTCCTTCAAAGAGGAAGTTTCGGGCTTGGTTCAAAGGCCCAAACCCTCAAACCTTGGAAGTCGATCTCTTAACGCCACTACCTAGAGCCGAGAACCTCGGCGCCAAACCTCCAAAAGCTTAAAGTTACCAAGCCCAAACACTACCTTAACCTACCAAAACCGACTTTTTTGTAGGGTGCCCAGAAGTTCCATTTTGGGGCTTATAATAGGAACCTACCAAAAAGTAAGGTTGGGTTGTTCAAAGCAGGTTTCTGAGCAGCCGCTTTATAATAAGGGTACCCTTTTCCCCACTATTCGGTTTTGGATACAGGGACCCCACACTAAAAGGGCAAAACGGTACTTCTCAGGACCCTAGAACACAACCCTCAACCGGCAAGCTCTTTTCCCTACGTTCTTTTAAATCTTTGAGCACCAATTTTTTGAAGCCCTAGAATCCTTGGGGTCCGTGTCAGCACGCGACCCAAGAAGCAGTCGCACGACTTCCAAGTGGCCCACCTCGGGTTCTTGAAAAGGGAAATGGAACGCGTTCGTTGAGTAGGTCATGGGGTTTAGGGTTACAGACATTCATTAGGTGGTGAGGTTCTTGTAACGGGTGGTTGTAGCATTAATATATACAGTCTCAGGGCATCATGTTCTTTACCGGGTTTGTTGAGCCCCCTAAACCCGAATGCCAAAACCCTAAAACCCTAAAACGCTAAAACCCTAAACCCCTAAACCCCCTAAACCCCTAAACCTTAAACTCTAAACCCTTAAACCCTAAACCCCTAAACCCCTGAAACCTAACCCCTATCGAGTTTAGTGTTCCATCGTGCATGTTTGATGGACGCTGAGGGTTTTATAGGGACTCGAAGGTTGAGAGTGTAGTGCTTAGGATGTGAAGTGCTACTGTTGACGATACAAATCCTAGGGTTCCTTCAAGGGGATCTATTCTATAGGGTTTTAGGGTTTAGGGATTCGGGTTTATGATACTCTTCCTTATTATGGGTCATGCAGGATTTATATCATCAACCGTATAGCTAGAATTGCACTCCGAGTACGGTTGAAGCTAGACGGCTTAGGATTGAGGGTGTAGGGTTTGTTGTGATAGTACGGGTTCGGGATGGAGCGTTTGAGGTGGGAAGAAAGACAATGTTTTCTACTATGCTGTAGTCCTTCAGGAAACCCAACTTATACTTACAACAAAATGCAGCATCTGAAATGCCACACTGGATAAACCACAAACTTCAAAACGAACCTATTCCCTGGATCCTTACAACCTATGAATCCAACAACCCAAAACTTATGGTCAAACCCCACAACACCCCTTGAAGAATCCTTCTTCGACCTCATGACACCCCTTAAACACCTCGATGGGGCCGAAATAACTACCAATACTAGTTTGGTGGTTCCTTATTAAATTCTACTACAAAAGTGTATACCCTTATAGCACTCCTAATGGACCCTTTCAAAAGGAACCCTAAAAAGAACCCTACCGACATTAAACCCAAGCAAAACAGCATTTGCCCATAAGAGCCCTGTATAGTAGCCCTTATAGTGGCCCTTCTAAACCCCTTTAAAGGAACCCTTTAAAGGAACCCTATTCTAATTATTAAGGCCCCCGATATTATAGTTCCCTTATAGATCCCTTATAGACCTCTTTGAAGAAAACCTTTAAAGGAACCCTACCTACATTAAACCCTAAACTCTGAACCCCAAACCCACATTACACCCAAGCAAAGCCGCATTGGCTGCCACGAAGAGCGAGGAGACGTTCTCCTCGCAGCACCTGTCCGGGCTGGCCCCGGCCTCCAACAGGAAGCGTAGGACCTGGGAAGAGCTTCAACTCAAGGATTCAAGGGGTGACTTAGAAATTTCGTACTTTCTGAATCTGACGGATTCGGGATTTGGGGCTGTAGGGCTGTCGGACGTAAGATTTCTAGTCGGGTAGAGCGTTGTACTGGCTTCGTTTTGCCCTCCCCCCCCTCCCCCCGGGGTGATTCGGATGGTTTGGGAACCCTAAACCCTAAACCTTAAACCCTAAACCCTAAACCCTTAACCCTAAAACCCTAAACCTTAAACCCTAAACCCTAAACCCTTTGCCCCCACCCCCGGTTTGGGGGAGGCCCGGGTTCCAGGTTACTTGGAGGGTCCTTAGGGGACTTCGTAACTGGTTAGGGGCCCTAGGGTTCCCTTTAAAGGGATCCCTTTAAAAGGGGTCTATAGGGGCTACTATAAGGGATCTATAATGCTACTATAATGTCAGGGGACTTAGTAACTGATTTATTTTTAGGGACTTGTAAGTACCATAACCCCAATTAGGGTCCCTTTTAGGGTACTTATAAGTCTACTTACTACCTACTTACTAAGTCCCCCGACCCTCCAAGTACTCTCCCTATACCCTTATAGAATCCCTCTAGATCCCTTTAAAGGGGCCCTTAAGGAACCCATTATGTTATATACTAAGTCCCCCGACCCTCCAAGTATCGGGTCTGGGGATTTAGGGTTTGGACGAGAACTCAAAGGCTCAAGTTTTGGACCTCGAGCCCGAAGCTCCGTTTCTTAAGGTGTTTGTACTTAAAGCGGCTTAGGGGGTTTAAGGGTAGTGGGGTAGAAATCATGTAACCAACGCTGAACTCTGAACCCTGACCCGTACAGCTAAGTCCCCGGGTCCTCCAAGCAGCCCCCATGTACAATGTCTCAACAAACACTCTTCATTGTGAAATCCACAAACCTTTAGGGCTGGTGTTGGTACTACTAGCAATGACCGCTCTGCTTGCTCACTGAATTCCCACCTCGATTCTGCCGGAAAAGCACGCAAGCATCAGAGGCGTCGGATCACCTATAGTTTTGGGGTCAGGTTCTGCGTTGAGTTTGGGCTTCCGGCTTAGGATTTTGTGATTTAGGATTCAGGAACTAAGGTTTACGATCGGCAAGAGGGATTTCTCAGTGAGGGCCAGGTTGAGTGCGGAAGAGGGTGCACGACCGGGTTAAGGTTTTCATTTTACCCGGGGCGGGCGGGTCGGGTTCGGGGATAAGCCGCAACAGGAAGCCTTAAGAAAAAGTCGTCTGGAACAATCAGGTCCGATCATATATTATATACAGCGCCTACACACGCATAGGCTAGTTGCTGATTAGTTGGGTAAATGGGCTCATTTCCCTAGCCCTGAGCAAAAACCCCTAGAGCCTCTGAGTTCAAAAATGAAGTTATATATATTTATACATACATACATACATACATACATACATACATACATATATAGATATTGTGTATATATATATATATACCTGTACTGTAATGTGCCACAAAATCCGACTCTAATCACTAAGGCCCCTATATTTAGCCCCCCGAGCCTCTGAAAACCCTAAATCCCCAACCAACAAAAACCTAGACCCCTAAACACTTAAACCCTAAACTCTAAACCCTTAAACTCCGCTTAAACCCTAAACCTTAAACCCTAAACCCGATAGATCCTTATTGTAGAACCCTTTTAGATCCCTTTAAAGGAACCCTAAACCCTTGTAGATCCCTTTAAAGGAACCCTAAACCCTGAACAAACCCCGGTTGAGTCTTTCGGAGTCACCCGCGATGCGCTTCTCCTGGGCATCCGGCTCGGCCTTCGCCTTCCACACTTGAGGTCTACTCTGAGCGTTTAAGGTTTGGGGTTTACGGGTTTAGGGTTTAGGGTTCCACAGGCACTTGAGGTCTACTATAGGGGCGTTAATAATCAGAATAAGGTTTTGGGGTTCCTCTAAGAGATACTATAAGGGGTACTATGGGTGTTTAGTATAGGGGCCTTAATAATTAGACTAAGGTTTTAGGCTCCTGCATAGTGTAGTATAGTTCTAGTAAGGAACCCCAAGAAACAATACTGGTAATGTATGCTTCTATAGTTCTCTGAGCGTTTAGGGTTTGGGGTTTAGGGGTTTGGGGTTTAGGGTGTTTGGGTTTAAGGGTTAGAGGGATTTAGGGTTGAAAGGTTGAGGGGTCTTGGGGTTTAGGGATTTGGAGCTTAATAGTTGTGGGCTTGGGGTCTGAAGAATTAGGCTGGTGATCCCTGAAAGAGTTCCTTTAGAAGGCTCGGTAATGGTTACCATAAGGGTTTAATCTATGCAGGCCTTGACAACTAGTATATGAATCATGAGCGATGCAGTTCCTGAGGTTTTCTCCTTATCGTTTCTCTACGTTTACACCCACAAAATTTGTTGAAATCTTGTAGGCCGCGTGTTAGAGGCCTAAACCCAAAACCCTAAACCTTAGAGCCCTGAACCCTGAACCCTTACTTCAAGGATCACGGGACTTAGTAACTAGGCTTATAATTAAGGAAACTGTATGTACATCTTCTTATCACCCCACTTATGGGACTTATAACCTCACTTACTAAGTCCCATGATCCTCCATGTATAAGGTTAGGAAGCCCTCGGGCGGCTTTTGCTGGAAGGCTTTTGCCTCTAGGGTTCAGGAGCAGTTGGAGGATCAAGGCCGGACGATCTGGGGCTCAAATTGCTTGGGTAGTTCGGGGCTCGGTAGAGCTTGGACTTGTAGCGTAGGGCTTAGGCTGAATCGGCTTTACAATTGAAGATACAATGCCTCCGATAGACAGTCTCGTGTTTGAGCTCTCCTGTTTGGACTTTCGGTTTGGGACTTAGGGCCCTGTACTTGTTACAGCCTAATAACAGGTTTTTCCGACCCCTATGTTAAACCGCGTGCTGTTTGTCCGGCCTCCTCAACTTTTGCGAGGTGTAGGTGATGTTTCCTCTCCCGTCATGGGATATCGTTTGATTCTGAAGCACAGCCGACAGAAATCAAGCCCTACCTAACTTGACTTTGCAGGAAAGCCCAGTATCTCTGCCTTTTGTCTTATGTATATTGGAGCCACAGGAGTATACATGTAGTTATCTTCGAAATAATGGGCTTTCAAGTGAGCCCCATACAAAGCCTCTACCAGCAGGCGCGCAATCTCTAGGTGGCCCCCGGCTGCTGCCTTTCAAGGTGTTTTAAGGTTTAGGGGAGTGACACAGGTGTTTGCAGGATTTTCTTCAGCACAGTGTGAGTAGCGTTGGTTTTGAGGTCGATAACGGTCTGAACATGAACACGAACTCTGCGGTGACACTTTGCGAATTTTTCAGACCACCTCAGCCTTCTGGAAGAAATTTCGGGGCTCAGGGTTGAAAAGCTAAGAAGGAAGGGTTTGCAGTTTGACATCTAGGGATTAGGACGAAAGAATTGGGCTCCGCAAGGCTCTGCGATGAAACTACAGATGTACATTCGTTTAATATTTAAGTTGAAGAGTTTCATAATTTAGGGTGCCTTGTAGAAGGGCCGAAGCCGTGAACTTTGGAACCTATCCAAGAATTCCCCTGATACTCTCAAACCCCCAGCCCCTAGAAACCTGATAAACACGACCACCCTACAACCTGAAGCCCCGAGAACCCTCAAAAACTCCGCTTGAGACCCTCGTTACATACGTTGTGTACAACTGAGGGAACCCTTCGTTCAAACTTGTCAACAGAGCCCTATACACTAACACAGGAACCCTTTCAAAACCTCTCCCACCTAGAAACCCCTAACCCTAAACCCTAAACCCCAATCCCTAAACCCCGAAACCCCTAAACCAGCCTAGAAACCCCTACAGTAGCAGCTAGCACACTAAACCCGGCCCTGCCCTAAACCCTAAACCGATCTTGTCCAACCCTTTGGGCCGCCTTGCACGGAGAAGCCCTAGAGAAACCTTCTAAAGCAACCCATATTTAAACAAATCTAAGAACTCCATAAAACACTCCAGAGGCCCTACAAACCTTTGTGAAAAAAAGTAGAAATCTAATGAAACTTGTTATAACAAACCAAAAAAAGCCTTGTAGAACTGCTCTACCAAACCCAAGACATCCTTTAAAGCAAAACCTTATGAAGCCCTTTATACCCTAAACCCTAAACCCTAAACCGCAAACCCCTATGAAGCCCTTTATACCCTAAACCCTAAACCCTAAACCGCAAACCCTTATGAAGCCCTTGAAAGGCGCCTTGCAGAGCGGCATGTTCCGACCCTCGCAGGAGCCCGGATCCTGGCGGCTGTTTCCTCTGTCTGGTTCTTAGTACTGTTGGTGATAGAATCCTACAGTAGGGTCCCTTTAAAGGGATCTATAAGGGTACCTTTAAGGGGCTCTTTTAAGGGATCTCTAGGGTTTAGGGTTTAGGTTGATGATAGAAATCCTGCACTACCTTCAGGACCATAGACTATGGGAATTATGATATATTCCTTATTATGGGTAATGCAGGATTTATATCAACAACAGTATGGAATGGGAGAATGGATCCCTATGATAGTCCCCTAAGGGTCCCTTCTAGTAGTCCCTTTTACCCATCCCCCATTCCCTACTAAGAACCAAACAGTCATAATGCAAGTTGCCATAGTAAGGACCTCTCGTAAAAAAACAAAATATAATGGTTCCTTACCAGTGTAGCTTAACCTGAAACCCCAAAACCCCAAAAGCCCTAACACCTAAACCCCAAAAATCCCTAAACCCCAAAAAGTCGTAAACCCTAAACCCAAAAAAAACCCTAAATCCTAAATTCTCAACCCTTAACCCAACAAAAACCTTGAATTCCTGAGCAAGAACTGAGATCCTGAGGCCGCTGGAGGATCGCTTCGACTTGCGCAGCGGAGCCTGGACCGTCAGAGCTTTCGGGTTTCGGGCTTAGGGGGCTTTAATGGTTAGAATAGGAATAGGGTTCCTCCAGAGGGTCCCCTTAGAGGGTTCCTTTGGGGGATACTAATTATAAGGGGCTTAAGGGGCTGAAGGTCTAAGGTCTAGGGGTTCACGGTTTAGGGGTCGAGGTTTAGGGTAACGAGTTTGAGGTTTGGAGCTTAGGGTCTCGGGTTCAGTGTTTAGGGCATAGGGCTTTGGGTTCGAGGTTTGCGGCTTAACGTTTAGGGCATTTTGAGCATTTAAGGAGCTCAGGGTTGAGAGGTTGGGGTTTGGGGGCTATGGTTAGAGGTCAGGGTTTGGGGTGACTGCGACACAAACCACTGCTCCACGACCCCCGAAAAAGGTCCCATACAACCTAAGAAAGCCTATAAACAGAAACCCGGAAGTACCACGCATCACCCGCAAGGAACCCCCCTAGCGCCTACGAAAACCCGGAAGTCCCACCTATAAACAGGACGCGGAAGTCCACACCCGGATCCAAGGAACCAAAGCTGATGGCATCCTCCAACTCCCCTTGCTGGAAGTCCTGGGTCCCAGGGACTCCGAAGTTAACTCGGGTTTATTAGGGCTTAGGGGTTTAGGGCTTGGGGTTTAGGGGTTTAGAGTTTAGGGGTTTAGGGTTTAGGGGATTAGGGTTTAGGGGATGATTAGGGTTTAGGGGTTTAGGGTTTAGAGTTTAGGGGTTTAGGGCTTGGGGTTTGGGGTTTAGGGCTTAGGATTTTGGTGTTTGTGGTTTAGGGGTTCGGGTCAAGAAGGTCATTAACCTGTATAATAGAGCTTTTCCACAGTTCTAGAAACAGATGTATCAGGATTTACACGTGTTCTATAAGACCCTGGACCTTTAAGTGCATCCCAAGCTTCGGAAGCATCGATGAGGCTGAGCAGCACCAGCTGCAGATCCAAGGGCGACTCCAGGCCCACGCTGTCATCCAGATCTCGCCCGCCATGCAGGAGCCGTTGCCTCGGGTCTCGGGGTAAACCCTAAACCCTGGGGTTGAGAGCTCAGGGTTTCGGGTTTTTGGGGTTTCGGGTTTTTGGGTTTAGGGTTTAGGCTTTAGGGTTTTTGGGCTTAGGGTTTTTGGGTTTAGGGTTTAAGGTCTTAAGATTTTTGGGCTTAAGGTTTAGGGTTTAGGGTTTAGGGTTTTTGGGTTTAGGGTTTAGGGTTTCGGGTTTTTGGGTTTTGAGTTTAGGGTTTAGGGTTTAGGGTTTTTGGGTTTAGGGTTTAAGGTCTTAGGGTTTGTGGTTTCGGGGAGCCTTTGGCAAGCCGAGCCCGGAAACTTTTGGAAACTGCGCAGTCGACGATGATAGGCGGACACAGAAACGGTAGACACATACATGTGTGCTCGCACGCATACAGACCTTTCAGCAAACCATACCCAGAGGATCAACGGGGGGCAGCATGTAGCTAGCTGGAAACACAATAATACTCAACTTATGATTTATGGCCCTTATACCTTGCACAGCCGCAAACAATTATTTAAACATCCTCTAGCTCGACTTTTTCGCTAAGTAACTTATGTAGCGTAAAAGTCGGGTTACAGGATGTTTTTGGCTATACGTTAAATAACTATAACATAACTCGGCTTCTACCCTATTCATTATACTACGGTTGATGATATGAATCCTGCGTTACCCATCACAAGAAATATAGCATAATTCCCATAGTTTAGGGTCCTTAAGGTAATGCAGGGTTTATATCATCAACCCGAAACCCCAAAACACCATAGATCCCTTAAAGGAATCCCTTAAAGGTACCCCGCAGATCATTATTCAAAGGGGAAAAGGAGGGACCCTTAATAAGGAGCCCTAGGTATATACACTTAATATAGCTATGGTATACCCATTATATAGCACATTATAGGGTAGGGGTCCCCATTAAGGGTCCCTCCTTTTCCCCCTTGAATTATACTATCTCCAACCCGGGCGGTCGAGCTTCCGAAATCGGGGAAGGCCGCAGAGGCTCTGGAGGCGCCGCTTCAGGGCCCTCACGGTGCTGAGCTCCTCCACGGATGGCGAGGGTTTAGGGTATAGGGTTTAGGGTTTAAGGTTTAGGGTTTAGGGGTGTAGGGCTTAGGGTTTAGGGTGCAGGGTTTAGGGTGCGGGGTTTGGAGATCGGGGTTTAAACACTTTAGGGTTTAGCCAGTTTTGGGTGGGCACTACAATGGTCCCCAGAATAACAGGGCTGCTATACGTGTTACCAAGTTCTCCTCCACGGGGATACCTGCCACCTGCTCCCCCGATGCCCGCCAAACCCGCAGCATCGGCGCCCAGGCTGTTCTTGCGGCGCAGGCTCCGGGACCAGGTCTAAGTGGATCAACTGGCAAGTTCAAGACATGGGCTTGAAGTGCTTCAGTTGTTGTTGGTTCGGGATTAACCTGAGACCCTCAAATGCCAAACCCCATGCAGGCCCTCGGAGGCCCTACGTCATGAAAGCTCAATGACTAGGCTTTCGCTCGGCAGAGTTCTATGCCTGCCTGCAAACGTAAGCGAAAATGGCTGCTCGGCACACGCAGGCACGAATCGCGGAAGTCTAGATTCAGGGGATGCTGATCTTTCCCACACTTTCGGCTGAAGTGCTCAATTGTTTCAAGGGTTTGCATGGGGGCAGCTGACATCTAAGGACTTGAAGGGTGCACTCTCATACATACGTACATACCTGCATGCATGTGCCAATACTGTGCCTACATAATGACGTACATTCAGCTACTGCACTCAAGATGTAATACCTATACCCCACCCGGATTCACGTGAACGTACAGAAAACCTTGCCTCGCAGACCGCCCCATGCAAGAGCCTCTGCAAGACGGAGGGCAGCGCTGAAGGGCACCGGGAGTCCAAGCTCAAGGTTTCAGTGTGCCGGGGCTGTTCTAAGCTATCGATTTTTTGGTATTGCCTACAACTTATCCAGGAGTACACCATGAGCGGAAGCCAGGAGGAGGGACCATGTTGTGTAACAAGCTCCACATGAACGTTCTCGCGTGTACCCTCTCGACCCCGCCGCCGAAACAATTCTGGCAAAGAACCACCACTTGCGTAAACTAGCCGTGTAAAGGCACTAAACCCTAAACCCGCCCAAGGATGTAACATGTATGCCGTTTTCGTGGACTACCTAGGTCGACGGTGGCAGAGCAGCAGAAAACAGCGGTGGTCAAGGCTTGCGTACATACACGTCCCAGGACAAAGTGGCAAGTCAACCTGCCCAAACCCTGGACCTCCGAACCACGAAGAGGGAAGATTCGGGGGTTATTTAACCTTGGGGCTGAAGGCTTTTGAGGCTCAGGCAACTCTGAGACACGAAACCGCCTCACCCTCCCCGATACCAGTAGCATCAACAAGGCCCCCGCATTCGGAGACCCATGGCCGACGGTTCGGAAGACTGGGTGCTTCCTAGCTTTCAAAAAAATTTCGGCTTCGAGCTGAAGATGCAATTGGAGTGCAGGATCCTACACAACTTTAGGGCTCAGAGCTTTGGGTTCAGGGTTTAGGGTTTAGGGCTTAAGGCTTCGGGTTTAGGCCATAGTTTTCGCTCAGGGCTGAGATTTTCTTGTGCAGGTTCTGGTCTTAGGGACCTCTTGCAGCGGAAGCTTTGCCGGATTTTGAGGCATGATGAGGCATGCCTGAGCCAGGAGGCTCAGCGGTGGTGGGAGGCAGGGTGGCGGAGCTTGCCAGAGTCACAACACGACAGATCAGACGGCTTTAGGGTTCAGGGTTTCAGGGTAGGTTCAGGCTGCTTTCGCAAGAAGGCCTTTGCCCATGCCTGTCTGCGCAGTGCTTGGTGCTGAACTCCCTTTCTGTTTCTCTGCCGGCATGCTGCACGCAGTACCTCTGCCAACCAGGAAACGGGAGGCTGCCTAGTACACGGGCATTTGCAAGAGTCACAATATCAACGGCAGGGAAGCTTACATGTAAAACACGGCCTTCAAGCCCAAGAGAACCTGTAGCAAGATGTGCAAACACTCTCATCGATCGCCAAGCCCCTGAGCAGCACTGCTAAGAAGGGCGATCGATGGTACCAGCCTCCAGGTTGGCTCGGTCCCCCAAGCACCACTGGCATGCACGACATATACGAAACAGTGTGGCTCATAACAGACCCCGGCTCTCCAGATTGAAGTCTCAACCGAAATCTCCTGAAGATCTCCTACGAAAGCACTCTGCGCCAGGGGTGTAGAAAAATGTGGACAGCAGCAACTGCTTCGCAGAGCATAACCTTGCCGTATGTCACACGGTGTCGTCGAAGAGCAGCTGCCGGCCCACATCTTGAAGGGCAGATGCCAGCAGAAAAGGTCCATCAACGATGTGGGTTTCATTTAGCAAACGTGAAGCCAGGACAGGCATGTTGAGGTGCAGTAGGACTTTCTGAGTGTATTTGGCAACAACTTTACAACCATGTCAGGAAAGGGAAGCTAAAACCGTGCCGCCTGTCCACGCTCGGAAGGGCCTTGCCTCTGAGGGATTCCACCGAGGCGGCCAGATGAATGCAAGTCTACATCACATAGACTGACTGTTGTCTAATTACATGATGCGATCGACAGTCCAGCCTGTCTGCAGTCGGCAACACAAGCATGTTGCATCCTGTAAAGCTGTGAAGTGACTCATCCGCTGAAACACTGCAGGCGATGGTGAACTCGTCACAGCGTACACTGCCGTCGGCTAGCATGTGCAAGGGCTCACATATATACCCTATATAAACCTACTTCAATGAGTACACCAGCTTACTCTGTAGACTATCGTGTGTTTTGTAGGCCCTTCGCTTACCTGGGGTTCGAATGCCTCGTGGCACTTCGGGTGTCGGTCGTGGACACCGTTGTGGGCACGACGCTGGGCTCAGGCTCCATGTTGACAAAGGTCCTCACGCTTTGTAGTTCCCTATCTACGAGGCTCAACAGCAACTATAGTCTCTTTTAACCGGCCAGACATGATCTGCATGATGATAGAGATGGCTCGGGCTCACGGGCTCATCAAGGTCCTCCGCTGCACGAGCCTCTCACCAGGCATGTCGCGCTCTGGTTGGAAGAATTGGCACACCTCCACGATACTCTTGCACCAAGTCACCTGTCGAGGGGGAAACATCTCCGAATGGCTGTTTGCAGGCAGCTGAGCAGTTCATCGTTGAAGCTTCAGTCGGCTCAGGTTCGGGGGATTCACACTGCAGTAGTTTGCGCATCTAGCAGAGGCTAGCAGGCTAGCGGCTAGCACTTTGGGATATTTGGGGTATTGCACACGGTGGCCGCATCCTCCAGAATCATGGTCCTAGGACGCAAAGCAAAATCTACACAGCACCCAGGCTCGAAGGGTGCAGGCTTTGGGGCCTCCCCAAATGCCACTAACTTGGGAATGAAGCACGGAAGCTGCCCACCTGGACCTTGTGCTTACGAGGCAGGCTGCGCACCAGTCGCTGAATCTCCTCCTTGTGGCACGAGAAGCGACATGCATCAGATTGGGGGCGTCAGTTTAGGATTCAAGGTGCATGGTCCAGGGTCTGCAGCAGGGATTACAAGGTTCAGCGTTCAAGGTTCAAGAATTGCGGCTGCGCCGGCCAGCACAGAAAACACGCATTGCTCCCCTCTGTCCTTGTATTCGGCGCTCAGGATAATGTGACGGCCCTTGAGCAAGCTTCTAAGCCTTCAGAAAGGAGGACTGACGGTGCCACTGTCTCGGTTTTCGGACTGTTCCGGACTAGGCCTTTGTCGCAGGATTACCGCAGCACAGGATTTGGTAGGGCTTGACACGTGCGTGGTGGTCGTTTTGAAAAAACACTCAGTTCGAGGTAAGTGTGATCACACATTCAATGATACACTCAGGAGCCTGAAACAAAGCCACGCCCACTCTCTGAGGCCAGGTGCCTCCCCACATCCAGCAGATTGCGGACGATCTGCAAGTGGTGCGGCACCAGAAACAGAAATGTCCCGCTTTCCAGCTCGGCTTCTCCTGCAAGAGACCGACCTCAAGCACTCAGGAGGCTTAATTCGAGGCCGAACGACGAGCGTTGGCCGAGGGCAATAAGAAGCTGCCTCATTGAAGCCTAGGCACATGCTTGGAGACATTCGCTTTCTTGGAAGACTTCCGGCAAGGCAGCGGGGAGGCGGGACAACTCCATGACCATAATAGTGTCGAAACAGGAATTGCATGGCTGCTTTCCGAAGACCGTCACGAAAGGCCCCTGCGGGGACATGCTGGAAGCGAGCAGTGTGCTTGCCGGGAAAGCCATCTCGATCTCAATCACATCCTGAACAGCCTGGTACACTTTGCATTGAATAACCTCCGCCAAGCGCAAGTAAGACGAGGCGAGTGTAGCAGGGGCCGGAGCAGGAACAACGAGCAATTGATGCTCGTAAGGCCTCACACGGCGGGCTTCCTTCGTTTCCCAAGCCGAATCTGCACATGATTTGACCAGCAACGAGTGGTCGGCTGTGACACAAAACTCACCGTCGCTCCACTTGAGCTCAACCAGCTCAGTTTGGACTTCCCGAATTCGGCATGCACTTGTCATCTTGCCCCCGCTCACGCGGGGGACAAGCCGTTTTTTGACTCCTGTGCCTCCTCCCACTGGGCATCGTCGGCATCATCTTCCCCAGCTGTCTCCAGCATCACAGACTTGACGTCTGTATCCTGGTGATGTGAACCGGCACTCTGCGCACCGGCGGGTGTCAGCACGAAGGACTCCGGCGTCAGGCAGTGTCCAGCAGTCGGCTTCACCAGTTGGAAGCCTTCACTGGTCTTGCCAGCCAGCGAAACTTGTGTGCTTGGGTGGGCATCGGCATCGGATGGCACTGGGGCATGCCGAAGCCCCTCCGCCTCCGAAGGCAAGGAGGTCGTCTCGTGGCTGTATCCCAGGACCCGCGACTCCTGGATGCTCTGCAGACCTCCGCGCTTGTTAATGAGGCACTTTTTCAACGTCAGCCTTAAGACCCCATGCTCTAAGTTGCACTCATCCTCGGCGATCTCGAAAGGCCCATCTGCGAATCGGAAGTTCCTCTCGAAGATGCCAGACTGCTGCCGCATGCCCGAGATGGCTGTGACCTTTCCCTCGTCGATCAACTTCCTCTTCTCTATGCGGATCGTGAGCCCCTCGCCTGTCTGGTCCCAAGTCACGTCTTTGGGCAGCACACCTGGACACTCGAAAAGGATGGTACGAATCCGATACTCGTCGGACGTTTGGTCAAAGATCATAGGCTCCGGGCTGAAGGACTTGTCATGCGAGATCACCTCGCCCAAGTCAGAGATCACGCCCTCCTTCTTGATGACATCCATCTCGCAGCTAACATGGAAGGCGCCATCCTCTCATTTGTCGGAAAATCCTTTTTATCTGTTCGAAATCTGTCGCCACTTCCTCTTGCCCGCCACTGGCCTCACAATACTCCACCTTCCGTCCACCAGCATCGCCCGAGCCCATCATGAGAAACCGGGGCAGTAGACCATCCAACTTATCCCGGATGAGGCCTTTCAGCACGACTCTCTCGGGAAGCTTCTTTGCATGCTCTAGGTGATCTAGAAGGAGGCGGATATTGTTCGGGTTGAATTTGGCCCCTGCTCGAGTACCATCCTTGCAGATGGCGAAGTGATGTACGGGAGGATTGCGTCTGGCCGTATAGAAGAGATTGCCCAAGTGGCTCTCCACTCCATCGTACTTCGACGTGATTTGCTGGTTGAAGAGGTGTTCTGCTTCGCCGGGGTCCTGCGTAGTTGCCAGGTTATGTACGACGACGAGCTCCCGCACAGGCTTGTCGCGAGCGCGACTTTCTTCTTTCCGCTCAAAGATCTGGATGTTCTTCTGCTCGAACGAGGTGAAATCGTTCACCACGAAAATGATGTGATCAGATAGCTGCGACACCAGCTCGAACAGGAAAGCTTCCGTAGTTTGGGCGTCCACAACCCGGTCGATGCTGTCCGATTTGTGATTCACGGTGGACTGCACACCGGGGGAGTCGATCAGTAGCATACGCCGCTCTTTCAGATACACACACGACAAGCCTTGGGTCACCTGAGTCTTGCCAGAAGGCAGGCGGAGTCCAAAGAGCTTGTTGAGGAGAAAAGTTTTCCCCTTGTTGAACAGCCCCACTACCGAGATGATGCGCACGTCCTGGCACTGTTGGGGAGCAAAGTCGGAGCACAAGGACCGCAGGAGCCAAATGCGCTTCTCCTTTGCGAAGTCCGCGAGGGAGCGCACCAGGATGATGCAGTCGTAATCCGTGGGATTGTTGAGGGCCGCCTCATGTTGCTCCGGCTTCTGCTACCTCGCCACCTGGCAGAGACCCTGAGCCCACAAGCCGACAGCTCTAAATGGTGTCGCTGTTTGGGGAGATGGTTCGCATGCCGACGCTTCCAAAGTCGCAGGAGGCTTGCTGCAATTGACACCCATCGCACCGGAGCGCCGTGAGTTGCCGACCAACGGTTCCTACCTGACGACTGCAGAGTTCGAAAGCCTGCGCAAGGCAATTTGCTGACAAAGTACGGAGCACAAGCAGCGAGACAGTGCTAGGGAAACATGGCATCCGACACAGCGATGTGGCAGCAGAAGGGATGTGCAGGCATTTTTTTCTCTCGGCAACTAGAATCAAAGTCGGCACAGCACATCGTTGGCTTTTGCCACACCGTATATCTATAAACTTTAACGCCCCGAAGACCCAAAATCCTGAAGCCCCAAATCCTCGAGACCCTTTGTACAAGGCGATTTCGGCTCGAGGGCAAAAGACCGTCCTCACGGCTTGCCTCTTTGACAGTTCAGGGGAGTACGGTTTAGGCTGAGCAGGGTGTCATATCAAAAGGTTCAACGGGCTCATCGGATCTACTACGAATTCTGAATGGCCTAATGCTGGGCTGTTTCTCTCTCTCTCTCTCTCTCTCTGAGACAGCTTTTTTGTCTTAGGGTTGAGGCCTTGGGGCTTGAGGGCTTTAGGGTTTTGGGTGCCTACTGGTTTGAGGACTCTTTTCTAGTGCAGGATTTAAGCTTAGGTTCAGGGGCTTTCACAGTCAGGCCACTGGTTTGCAGGGTCTTTGGAGTGGTGCGTACGTACTAAGAGCCCACTAGCCACTAGCCAAGTGCGGTGACGAAACTTGTACTGCACGGCGTACAGTGTAGAACTCAGGGTTGAGGCTGACTCCATAGAGCTTTGGCTGTAGGATGATGGTCTTTAGTGAAGGAATTCGGGTTAGGTTTAAGAGTGCTCTGAAACAGGAACTCTATCAGACTCTATCAGCAGTCCTGATCTTGTTGCAGGGCTTTGAGGGGTTTGATAATCACCAATACAGGACCAAGAGGCTGCAGCCTTCAGCTTCAGGGCAGGGGAACAGCAGCTTAGGGTAGGCAGGAATATCTTGTCGTCCATACGGTATCCATCCTCATCATCAACCTGAGCATGGCCGTCAACCCCAAGGGCCCACTCCAAACCCCAGACCCAAGAGTTCGAGGTGGCGAGAAGCCCCCATTCAACCACAACCTCCCGACCTGACACATTAAACGAAGTTCAGCTCAGCTACCACACCGGCATGCAACCAATACCCAGAATTTAGAATAATACGTGAACAAGAGCAGCACGACTGGTAGCCAGTAGGGCGCCTGTTTCAAAGACGACCCCCAACTCTTAGCAACAAAATGAAGGATGCCTCGTTTCGAAAATGCCAGCGTAGATTTCCAAATAGAGAGAGAGAGAGAGAGAGAGAGAGAGAGAGAGAGAGAGAGAGAGAGAGAGAGAGAGAGAGAGTGAGTGAGAGAGAGAGAGAGAGCGAGCGAGCGAGCGAGCGAGCGAGCGAGCACCACGACCACCATGACGACACCGACAACTAGGACCAGCAAGACTCGAAGTCACCAGCAGACCACCAGGAGATAAAGGGCATACTGCTGTCCCCCCCCATGCACTGGCGCGATTCAGCTGCACGCCCTGGCCAGCATGCTTTCGCCGAGATACTGGCGGAACTCAGGAGGATTCCGGAGCACCGGAAAAACACTTCCCCCAAGTACGAGCGGGATTCAAAAGCGCTGCCATTGCCCTGGAGATACAATAGTTTGGGGGCCAACAGGTGGCCCATGTATTGGATTTTACAATGGATCTGTGCTTATGGAGACCCGTATGCGAGCGCTAAAGATGCCCCTTCCGAAACCCCGCTGTGGAACTCCAGGGAGGGTCCTTACAAAGCTGAAACGATCAATATGCTGCACTGTAACATCCCTGTAGAAACCCCTTATGTCATCGAGGAAAACAAACGATGATCTTTGGCCGTTATAAACCCCAGTACACTGAAAGAACCCAGAAAGAATCCTTATGACTTATAGATGAAAAAACACAAAAGAAACATGTCCAAAAGACTGCAAAACACCGAAACCCTAAACTGTAAGCCCTGAAACTTTGTGCAACCACTGCAACCATGGCAAAACCCGCAAAACCTTAATAACCTTAGAGTCCTGTGAAATCCCGTACTATAGGGGCATTAATAATTATAATAGGGTCTTGGCTCCTTTATGATATATTTACAATAAGGATCCCCCCAAATAGTATAGGTAATTATTCCCTAAACCCTAAACCCTAATCATTGAGGCCCCTATATTAAAACCCTAAGACCCGAGTCGCCTCCTCCCGCTGCTCGGTGCAAGCCCGGAGGTCCGGACCTCTCCGGGGAGATGGAGGCTTCGGCGTTCGAGGGCTTCGAGGATTTAGGATTCCTTTCTAGGGCTCTATGAGGGTTCTAAAAAACTGTTTAGGGTCCAGTTTTGGATTTAGGGTTCCTTTGAAAAGGTTCTTTGTTGTTGTATAAATTTGTATAAGGGTTCTATATGGGGTTTAAGGCTTACATAGAGGTTTGGTGTTCCTTTTAAGGCGTTCTATAAGGTTCTATCCGGGGTTTCGGGCTCCTGAAAACGGTTCTATAAGGGTTCAAAACGCGGTATCTGATTTAAGTTAAGGTTCAGGGCTCGATTCAATGGATCCATAAGTGGTCTATGCTAGAATGGTACAAAACGGTTTTGAGGGTCTACATCCTTTTGGAGGCTTCAGTCGGGCTTGGGAGTTGGCGTGCGATCATTTCCAGCTGCCTGGTGCACAGGTTTCTCATCCGGGTTGTAAGTGCCCTAATTCGGGCATGCTTTCTACGACCAATCTGGTTTGGAAGTACCCTTAATACGGTGCTGCGCCCTGATTGAAGTGACTCTACTCCTCCAGTACGGCCTCACTTGCACTTCACGCAACTGCGAAGCCCTGTGGTCCCACAAATGGTCCTGAAAAACACTATCGAAAACGTTTCTTACCAGGTTCGATACGGTAAGGCACGCGCTGCGCAGCTGCAGAGGAATGGTTAGGCTCTGCAGCCCTGTTCGCAGCTCGCTGCAGCAATGCAAACTTGCGATGAATTCCGAGATCACCTCCCAGCCACATGAGTGGGGATATAGCTCTGTCGCTGGCACTAGGTGTGCCCGCTATGAGCTCTCGTACTCGCACCCTAGCGGCTAGAAAGCGCTATGCAAAATTGTAGGTTCAATGCACTGTACACAGGCTGTTGGGTCTGGATGCTACCAAGACCTGACAGCCACAAGAGACTGAGCAAGAATCTGGCACCGACGTGGTGGCGGCGGCAGGTCAAGCACCTGCAGTCGCAGAGATTGGATCTGCGCGTGTCGCGGCATTCACTTTCAGGGGAAAGCAAGAAGAGAAAAGCCTTCCGAGAGTGCTGTCCATCCCTGTCACGTGCCCAAACCCTCTGCGGGAATACTTTCTAGACTCTCCAGCTGCACGACTACACGGCCTCTGCACCTGTGTCTCACCTGCATGTCGTGGCGGATCTCTCTGGCGCACAGACATGCTCCCAACAACACACCCTAAACCCTAAACCCCAAACCGTTTTCAGATTGTGTTCTAAAAGGTGGAGGGCTCAGTACCCAAACCTTACACCTAAATCCTCGACTCGAAGTAATCCGGGTGCCCATGCCGAGCTCAGCACAGAAGCGCGCCGAGATCTGTTCAGCAAACGCATAGACCTGCCAGACACAGAGCTGGAGCTGCTCTCCGGGTACGAAAGGGTTCCGAGTTTGGGGTTCAAATAATCTAAAACGCGGAAACAGGTCGACAGAGGCTCTGCCTTGAAGACAAGCAACTGCTGTCTATGCCCCAACTGTTCGTCTGCGATGTAGTGGAATCAGAACCCGGAACTGTACCCCCAGGTCCACCCCCCCACCCTTTGAAAGGCGTCATGTGGATCTCCGGAACGGTTTAGGGTTTAGGGTTTAGGGTTTAGGGTTTAGGGATGCTTCGAAGTCTCCTGGGTCTGCAGAAGCCTCGGGAATCTGCGCAAACCCCGAACCAAGAAGCCGCCAAAGCCCTGAAAATCAACCCCAAACAGTGAGCCTCAACCCTTACACCCTAAACACGGTTTAGGGTTTAGGGTTTAGGGTTTAGGGTTTAGGGTTTAGAACCCTATCCCAACCCCAAAGCCCCCGATCCCGAAATGCCCTCTTCAGGAAGCGCCTCCGTCGCCGCAGGGCCACATACCGCTGGGGAGGCGCTGGCAAGCTGCAGTGCAAGCCTCGAGGCAGAAAACTTAGGCTTGGCAGTTTAAGGTTTGGGGTTTAAGGCTCAGGGTTCAGGGTAGTTTCGGATTTTAGACATCGGGCTGAAGGTTTAGAGTAGAGTTTAGGGTAGTTTCGGATTTAAGATGCAGAGTTGAGGATGCTCTTCGTACTTTGATGCTGCTGGGCTCTCCCTCTAAGCTTTGGAGTTGGGGAACGCCGGCTGGAAAATTCGCGGTTTGTCACTGCCCTTGACCAAAAACTCCTGAGCCCATTGCCTTACTGACACCGCAAAACCTTGTCCTGACCTGGAAAGCAAATCTTCCCATGGTACACTGTACCCTAAGCCCTCAACCCTAAACCCAAGCAACCTAAAGCCCTAAACCCGAAACCCTAAACCCCTCAGAAACCCCCCAAGCCCTAAACCCTAAACCCAAGCAACCTGAAGCCCTAAACCCGAAAACCTGAACCCCTCAACCCCCCAAGCCCTCAACCCCAAATCGTCCCGTACAGGAACCCCGATGGATCCCTTTAAAGGAACCCCTTCCACATCCCCCTGCAAAAGCCCCTAAAACCCTACAACAAAAGCCCCCCCCCCCCCCAACAGAACGAAGATGCCGAGCGTCTGCGTCGCTTGCACCGAAGCCCCCCGCTTCGGCCTCCGCTGTTGCAGTACCTGGGCTTCCTTAAAGGGATCATGGGACTTCGTAACGAGGGTTCCTGAAAGGGCTCCTTAAAGGGGACCTATATGGGTTTAGGGTTTTTCAGAGAGGGGCTTAAGGCTGACTTGGAGGATCATGGGACTTCGTCAGTAAGGTTATAAGTACCTTAATTGGAGTTACTCGTAGTTATAAGTATAGTCACCCTAATTATAACCTGGGCTTAAGGCTTAGGGCTTCCTTAAAGGATCATGGGACTTAGGCCCTTTAAAGGGATCTACCTGGGCTTAGGGCTTAGGAGGCCTTCAGGGCTTACGGCTTAGGGTTTAGGGTTCAGGGTTTAGTTTCTATAAGGGAGGTTTAGGCTTCCCTTAAAGGGATCATGGGACTTTTTAACTAGCTACCTTGGGCCTTTAAAGGGATCTAGAAGGGTACCTTTAAGGGATTCCTTGAAGGGACTTGGGGGCTTAGGGCTTAGGAGGCCTTCAAGCCCTAGGAGTTTAGGACCTTTGGAACTGCTTTCTTGGAGTTTAGGTTTTAGGGCTCAGGAGGCTATAGTCGGAGTTTGGGACTTTAGTAATTTTGCTGGAGTTTAGGGTTTCGGGACTAGGGATGGAGGTTCGCCCCCACCCAGTGCCAGGCCGCATGCGCTGGGCGGCGTAGTGACAGTCGTTGCCGGCATGGTGGCGCTGACCGTGGTCTCAGTTCCGCCGGTGGTGACGGTGGTGGTGGCACCGCGGCGCATGCACATCGGTGAAGGGCAGCTCCTTGAGGGCTGTTAGAGGTTCTTGCAGGGGTCTTATAGAGTTTAGGGTCGAGTTTTCAAAGAAATGGGAATAGGCTCGGAGTCTTGCTACTAAAGCTGGCATGAACTTGGCTACTGATTAGCTGATCGCTTGGTGAAACACAGGAGTAAGCTTCTGGAATTGAGTCCCCTCTGCAAGCTCTTGTATCAATAGTGCCGTGCTTCACGGGAGCCCACAAACCCGCCTTAGAAACCGCCCTTAAAATGCTGAGCTAGCGACGCTTGTCGAGTATTCACACCTCCGATGAGCCTGTCAATGCATCCCTAAAACTGCAACATCAACTTATCGAAAAAGCCTAAGCCCTGAATTGCCATAAACCTCTTTCTGAGAAGCCGTTGCAGAGCCACCTCATGTTTGCAGTCGAGTCTCCCTGCGTTGTTCGGGCACCTTGTGGCGTAGCATGCAATCGGCATCAGCACTCTACTTCCGAGACGAGCATATGTTCTTGTTCATGCACCCCTCTTCCCCAGTCTATACAGTTACACCTCCTATGAGAATCATCTGATACTTCGGATTCGAAGACGAGTCACCACGTCACATAGTCCATGTTGTCACACCAAGGATTTCCATCGCAGCTCGGGTTGCGAACGCAAGCACCCCCCCTGCCTGTGGCGCGGGTGGTTGTGGTCGTGGCAGCGACGGTCGTTGTGGCCGCGGTCGTGGCAGGGGCAGGTGCGGTTGTGCTCGCTGCAGTGGTTGAAGCTGGCTCAGTTGTAGTTGAGGCCGGCCGAGTGGTCGAAACGGTTGTGGGCTCTGCTGTCGTCGCCGGCTGCGTGGTGACCGGCGCGCCCGTAGTGGGCCGCTGGCTCGAGCTGTCCGGGCACGTCATGCCGGCAGTGCTCATGAGGGAGATCAGCGGATACGGCCTGCGCACTCTTTGGGGTAGTGATGGAGCGGTGGATTTGGGGGTCACGGCGCCAAGCACATGCTGGAATGGGGCCTACGTACTGCAGCACATGATTCTCTGGAGAAACAACGATATGACCTTTGCAGGACAGAAGCATGCTTTCCTGAGAAGGTTGGTTCAGGCTTCAGGATTCAGCGCAAGGAGCAAACTCCAGGGATCATGGGACTTAGTAACCAGGGTTATAATTCAGGTAACTGTACTTCTATCTACTTATAACCCAATTATGGTACTTATAACTATAACCTTACTTACTAAGTCCCCTGATCCTCCAAGAGTAGACCCTAAACCCTTATTGATCCCATTATAGGAACCCTTATAGACCGCTTTTAAAGGACCTGAGGCTCACCTTACTTTCCAAGTCCCCAGATCCTCCAAGTCGGGCATAGGCTCAACGGCTCATGGGGATTCTGGTGCGGCTTGGCTTAGGAACTCAGGGACCAAAAGGGGTTTTACAGCGACCCTACTTGGAGGATCATGGGACTTAGTAAGTGAGGTTATAAGTACCTTAATTGGGGGTAATAAGTGGTTATAGTATAGTTACCCTACTTATAACCCTAGTTACTAAGTCCCCTGATCCTTTAAGTAAACCGTAAACCCATCGGCCTGTCGCTGAAGGAGCCGTCCATGTCGTCCAGATCCAGGGCCCACCTGACAAGAGAGAACTTGCATACTTTATAAATATCATGTAAGGGCCTTAAGAATTGGAAAAATGTTTTTTAGGATATATAGTTAGGCAGACCCTATGTTAAATATTGTTGCCACTTTGACGAACTATCGCTGCTATGATGATCGCCTCTACCGCCCAGATCAGCATTAGCCACATTGTTGGCCGCCGTGAACCCGATGATTGTAGAACATTGCTATCCTTCTTTGTCACTCCTGTGGTCGCTGTTGTCGATACTAAGCCTGCTGCTACTAGTTCAGCAGCAGAAACTCTATGTAGCCCTAAACTGTCCCGGATGACGCTGAAGTCAAGCCGGGGCACACCATGGATCCTGCCAGCCCCTTCTCACGCGCGAACGCGAGCTTTGCACAAATCGTTGCCCTCAGCCCAAAGCGATTTGGGAATGGGTTGTTAAGGATTTCGGGCGACGTCTACATATCTCCTTACATGCATGTACACATGCATAGAACTCTATCAATCACTCAGACACGTAGATAGTCGAAACATATACGAACTGACAGGAGAAGACAATAAGAAAGTTCGATAGCTGCCTACGAAGGCGAGTGTGTGAAGTACTACAGCGACCTATCAACAAGCCTGAAGCACCGTTGCAAAGTCCCCAAGGTTCAAGGGCTGCGGGATTCGGGCTTGGCGTCTAAACGTGGCGGGTTTTGTGTGTAGAGTTTTAAGCCTTTAGGATCTCCAGAGAACTTTAGAGCATGTGGGCTGTGGGATTTCCTGTGGATTCTTCATGCAGGTTTTTGCAGCCCAGGCTGCTCGTCATCGTAGCCGATCCACTCGCCGTCGCTGACGACGTACGCACAAACACGTTCTGAGTCGAATCTCGTGAAAGCCTCACCGGCGGGTTTGCCTAGGGCCTAGGGCGTATACTTAGAAGATTGTGGGACGAGGCAACTAGGGTTATATATACGGTAACTATACCCATAACTTATAAGTACTTCTTCCTACAATTCACGTACCTGTGACCTCACTTAATAAGTCGCGTGACTCTTTAAGTAGGGTATCGGGCTTCTGGTCCCCGGACCAAGGCTGAAGTTTCCGGGTTTGCGGTAGGGGTTTAGGGGTTTAGGGGTTTAGGGGTTTAGGGGCTTAGGGAATTAGAGGTTAAAGGGCTTAGTGTAGCGGTTTTAGGGTTTTAGAAATCTTGGGCCATAGCTTTCAGTGTCGATTTGGGGCAAAAGGACACTGATTCACCTGAAACCTGAAACATGAAGAACCTAGGACCTACGACACCTGCAGCCTGAACCTTAAGCACAGCCCCGCATGACAACCCAAACAATCGGAAGATATTTTGGGGGTTGACACTGTCGTTTACAAGGAAATCAGAGAGGTGCAGTGCTGCTACTCAGGGAAATCGAGCGACCCTTGTCCAATCGAAATCGAGTGAACCTTGTCCAATCTCATGGGGGCTTGTGGAATCCTGCACGCTAATGTCAAACCAACGCCCTCATGCAGAACCTCCTGAATCTCGAACTCCTCCATGACTGCACCAGACTCGAGACTGTAGCACAGCAATAGAGATGCTGGTCACACGACGAGTGCCGACAACTTAAACGTGCCATAACGATAGAAAAAAGAAGCACAATACCACACATAGCTAGTATCAGAGGAAGAACATGAACACTGCGGGCGAAGTAGCTTTTAGCCGCAGAACTCACAACGATGGTAAGCATGACCGTAAGCATCATGGACACATGATCGGATCACAAGACAAAACAACAACCATGGCCCCGGGCCTCAGAATCCCTCGCTTGGATGTCCCGGATCTCGTAGTAGGCCAGGTATCCCGCTTGCCCTTCGGCAAGGCTCTGAAGGTTCAGGGCTGAAGGCGCAGAATGGGGGGTCAGGGCTAAAGATGTTTATGGCGGAGATTCTAGATTGCAGGATGGATTTAGCATGTTGGGTTGGCACGGCATGGTCGCTGTTTAGATTGTCTAGGTCCAAAGAAGCTGCGGATGGCAGTTTTTCAGGACGTCCCTCTTCTCCCTAGTACTCGGGCTTGTGGGAAATTTCGGACTCTTGGTTTCTTCCCCCACACCTTGACCCTGAACGATTGGCTAGGATACCCAGTAACCTAAGAATAAAAATGCCTCTCTTTTTGGTATTGGGTAACTTTATAAGGAACCTAGGACTACAAAAAGGGAATAAGGGTACTACTGGAGATCCTAGTTGGTGTAGGGCCTTGGGGCATTAGGGTTTCAGGTCTTCCGGCACCGGGGCTCCAGTTTGAGCCTCGCAGGTGGGTGATCAACCGGGGCAAGCGATGCGTATCTTTAGTTTCCTTAATACCTACACTATCTGTCGTATTGTATCTGTAGAACAAAAGGTATCTTTAGTTTCCTCAATACCTAGAGTATCTGTAGTATTGAAGGCATCTTTAGGAAAAAAGGTATCTAGGGCACGTATAGTGTCCTTGAAAACCACGGCCCTAGCATCTCAAGGCCAGAAGAGCTGGAAAGCTGCATGGGCCGTACCTTGATTGATGACCCCAGCACAGCCCCAGAAAGACCGAACCCACTAAGCTTGCTACCTCTATCCCACTCAATGTAGGAGAGTATGCAACAGGATGTAGGGTTTGGGGCTTCGGCCCCCAACCATAAACCCCAAACCCTGAACCCCAAGCCCAAACCCCAAACACCCAAACCCCCTAAACCCCAAACCCCAAGCCCCAAACCCCAAACACCCAAACCCCAAACCCTGAACCCCAAGCCCCAAACCCCAAACACCCAAACCCCCAAACCCCAAAACCAAACACCCAAACCCCCAAAACCCCAAACCCTCCGTTGAATGAAGCCTCGCCTGTGCTGCTTCCTTGGCTGCAAGGACCCGAGGCCTCAAGCTGAAGAACTTGGAGGATCACGGGACTTAGTAAGCTGAGGGCCTTAGGGTTTAGGGTTCCTTAAAAAGGGATCTATAAGGGTTCCTATAATGGGATCTATAAGGGTTTAGGGTCTACTTGGAGGATCATGGGACTTAGTAAGTAAGGAAATAAGTACCTTAATTGGGGTTACCCTAATGAAAACCCTAGACTAAGTCCCATGATCCTTTAAGAAGCTCGACCCAGGGCTCCAGGTCAGCAGGTTTCGGGCTCTTGCAGCTCTGAGGGATCTTAGATTTTGAAGGGTTTTTAAAAAGGATAAAAGGGTTCATGAGGATGTTCCTTCAGGATTTGGGGCCCATATGAGGAGCTAAGGACTCGGGATGTAAGGTGTTGGGGCTTCGAGGCTTTCGGCCGAAACATAGAAATCGGCTTGCAAGTGCAGCTGTTGGTACCCTAACTCTGTTTGTGTCCCTATGTCTGGAACTCTTACAGAACTCACACCTACGCCCTGCTTAGCCCTGAACCCTCAATCGCTTCCTTTGCCGTGCGGCATTTGCGTTGAAGCCACGATCGGCACCCGAAAGCTTCCAGCCGCGGCCGTAGGTGGGAAGTCCTCAGGTTTGGAGGCTCTTCTGCGATTTGGGGTTTAGGCTTTAGGTTCGCATTTTGGGTTTAGGGTTAGGGCTTTGGGTTCGGGCTTAGGGTTTAGGGGGTTCGGGTTTGTGGTTTAGAGTTTAGGGCTCTGGGTTCGGGTTTAGGGTTCAGGGTTTAGGGCTTTGGGTTCGGGTTTAGGGTTTAGGGTTTCGGGCTTTGGGTTCGGGTTTAGGGTTTAGAGTTCAGGGCTCTGGGTTCGGGTTTAGGGGTTTAGAGTTTAGGGCTTTGGGTTCGGGTTTCGGGGTTTACCCCAACTCAAACACCCGAAGCTCGAAAGGGCCTCGGACGTCCCTGAAGCGCTACCGGATTCCCGAGGGTTTCAGGACCTGCCGAACGAAACCCGAACGTTAAGGGACTTAATTTAAGATACCGTGATGAAGAAACCTTGTTATTTACTATAGATCCCTATTATGGTAACTTAAACAGAAATTCCTTAGCAGAGAACCCCAGAAGGTGTACGATTTGCCTAGGACACCTTTTCACGAGACCGTCTCCAGGCTATACTTCAGAGGTGAAACCCTCGAGTAACTGGGTTCTTGTGTTTAGGTTACCATGACTTAGGGTTCCGTTAAGGGTTCTATAAGGGTTTAGGGGTTACGGAATCTTATTCAAGTGATCATAACAAAGATCTATAGTACATAGGATGGTTTCCTTATCATGGTGACTTGAACTGTTTCTTGGCAAGAACCCAGGTACTGTAAGCAAGAGCCCTGCGCCTTACTTGGCGGCTCAGGGGACTTCGTGATGAATACTGCATGCAGCTCCAACGTATAAAATGTCCCTGATCCTTTGGGTCTACCCTACTAATCACTAATGACTCAGTAATCACAACCAACTGCTAACTACTAATTACCAAATACTACTTACTACTTGCTGCCAAATGTCGAACCTCCAAACAAAGATCCCGAAAACCCCGGAGGTTTGAATTGAAAACAAACCGTGGAACCTCAAGTCCCGACCTGAAGCCTGCGCCCTAAACCCTGAAGCCTACAACTCCCTGGTGCTTAGTAGGGAATGGGGGAATGGATTTTTATCGTAGTCCCTATATAATCCCCAAGAACGGTCCCCAACATCCACTCCCCCATTCCCTCCTAAGAACCAGACAGACAAAGCCTCCACCCTCAGTCCAAGGCCAACTCACTTAAATTTCTGAAATGATCTCTCGAAGGATCCCTTAAAGAACCCTAAAAACCCCTGAAGCCCTTAAAGGATCCCCTAAACCCTAAACCCTAAACCCTAAATTTTAGACGGCTTGCGCCGAAGATGCGCCAGCGCAGGTTGTGTTTTGAAGAGCAGAACGAAAGCGGGTTTGATGGAAAGCAACCGACAACCACAATTCAGTTTAAGTAAACTGGTAAGTTTCTCAAAAAGCAGTTCAAGCAAATTGAAACAAGAGCCCGAACGGAGGTTTAAGTAAATCGAAGGCACCGAGGCAAAGCAAAAGGGAGCCCAAGCCCCCAAATTTGGAGCCACCAAATCGGGTTTTTTTTGCCTTTTCCAGACCCCCTCCAAGCCCCCAAAGCGGGATTTTTGGCCCTTCTCCAAACCCCCTCCAAAGCCCCGAATTGGGCTTTTTGGCCTTTCTCCACACCCCCTCCAAAGCTCCACAATGTGCTTTTGGGCCTTTTCCAGACCCCCTCCAAGCCACCAAATCGGGTTTTTTTTGCCTTTTCCAGACCCCCTCCAAGCCCCCAAAGCGGGATTTTTGGCCCTTCTCCAAACCCCCTCCAAAGCCCCGAATTGGGCTTTTTGGCCTTTTCCAGACCCCCTCCAAGCCTTGTCCAAACCCCCTCCAAGCCCCCAAATTGGGCTTTTTTGCCTTTTCCAGACCCCCTCCAAAGCCGCTAAATCGGGTTTTTTTGCCTTTCTCCAGACCCCCTCCAAAGCACCGAATTGGGCTTTTTGGCCTTTTCCAAACCCCCTCCAAGCCCCCAAATTGGGCCTTTTGCCTTTTCCAGACCCCCTTTTTTGCTTTCTCCAAACCCCCTCCAAAACCCCAAATCGGTATTTTTGGCCTTTTCCAGACCCCCCTCCAAGCCCCCAAATCGGTTTTTTTGCCTTTCTCCAGACCCCCTCCAACTCCCCAAATTTCGGGGATTTGGGGCTGGGGTTTGGATGGGCTTGGAATTGGGGATTTGGGGCTGGGATTTGGACTGGCATTGGGGATTTGGGGCGTGGGGGCGCAAGTTTTGCTTGCTGTTGTGACTGATCAACATCTCATGTCGTTTCAGTTGGCGAAACAAAAGCTTGTGTGTTGCAACACTTCCTAGCATGAAGTCAGACAAGTGAACCCGCCGAATTTAAGCATATAAGTAAGCGGAGGAAAAGGAACTAAACAGGATTCCCTTAGTAATGGCGAACGAACAGGGATCAGCTTGGGTTGGAAACCGGGGCTTCTGCCTTGGATTGTGGCCTTTAGACATACTACCAACGGCGGCGCGAGCGTAAGCCTCTTGGAACAGAGCGTCTACGTGGGTGAGAATCCTGTGTTTCGCTTGATGCCCGCCGTGCACGGTACTTGCTCTCAGAGTCACGCTCCTCGGAATTGGAGCGTAAATTGGGTGGTAAATTTCATCTAAAGCTAAATACAGGCTCGAGACCGATAGCAAACAAGTACCATGAGGGAAAGATGAAAATGGAATTATCCAAAAACTTTTGGGATTAGGGCTACCGGCTTGGAACAAGCCAAAAACCAAATTTCGGGGCTTGGCCAAAAACCCAGATTGCGGGTTTGGAAGCCAAAAAGCCAGTTTGGGGGCTTGAAGGGGGCTTGGAAGGCGTGGAAGCAGCCAAAAACCCAGTTGGGGGCTTGAAGGGGGCTTCGACAAGGCCAAAAACCCAGTTTGGGGGCTTGGAGGCTGGAAAAAGCCAAAAACCACAGTTTGGGGGCTTGGAAGGACCTAGAAAAGGCAATTCTACACCCACCCCAAATACTGAAACGCGAAAATGGAATTAACCAAAACTTTAGGGATTAGGGGCGGGCTCTCGTTGTGACAATAAGTCTGGACCAGCTTCGGATCCGTAGCATCAACCTCATCAAGGACTTTCAGGTGGCGGTAGACTTGCCGCATCCTGCTCGTCAGAAGGGCTTGTAACCGTCCGGGTTCACCCGCCGATGGGAAACAAAAATCTGTCACGTAGATACGGGTGTTCATCAATGAGGTCAAGGGCTGAGGCAAGCTTGTAGTTCGAAGAACATGGAAATTCATGCATAGCAATGCTTTTGTTTGCCCTTCAAAACAGTCATCGCAAGCCCATTTTGGGGTAGAACGTCGATCTGACCACTCCGGGGCACGATAGTACGTGCACAATTCCGGAAGGAGGAGCCGACCAGATGCATGGCCACATATCTCACACGCCTGCTTGTCGGCTGCGGGGTACCCAATCATCTTTGGGTGGCGTGACGCATCGGTGACTTTGTGGCTCTTCCAGCAGCCGACACAATAAAAGGTTCCATCTGTGGCTTTTGCGCACAGTGTGTACACTTCACCGTGTCTTGCCTGACATTGGCAACATGGAACTGCGCCATACTGTCGGCGGCGGCGTAAAAAGACGACAATGGCTGCCACCAACGTCATAATCAAAGGTCTGGACAACCACATCCGTGCCATGATGCAGTCGGGATGCCGGGATGGAAAAAGGAAGAATAATGCTGGTCTTGGGCACGAGACACGCGGCAGTATGCAAAGAAAGACATCCAAACCGCCAAACATGTGCAAGCACTTGCTGTCTGATCCAAAAGCAATCCAAAAGCAATCCAAAAGCTATCCAACAGTAGTGAAACGGTAGAACGCGACTGAGGCTTGCACGTGGCGGCAAAACTCGTGCCCAGCGCGGTTGCACCTCGACTTATAGGTAAAGGCACAGCCATGAATTACCAATTAGAACCTGCTATCGGACTCGATTCCATCCCAGGCTTGCCCAGCCAAGCCGCCCGGCCTGAATGGATCGAGCACGTCAAGACCATGGCTAACTGTTTGGCGGCAGCTTCGCAGCGCAATGCTGCAGCGGTTGCTTGGGTCACTATCAAAGATTCCAGAGATTCCAGAAATTCCAAAAATTCCACGGACCAACACGGCCATCCATACTGCGAAGTGTACCACAAGTGGTCGTTTGTCAACCCAGCTTGGGATACGGCACGAGCACTTCCGGCTTGTGATTTCGACTTATATTTTTTCGTAAAAAACGCCTGACACCTTCTCATGCCCTTACCAAACGATTCTGGTCAGATTGTCGCGCAGCAGTTCCGGCCGCAAACTCACGCGTATAACTATGTTGCAAGTGTAATCAGACACAAACACATTACCCGAGACTCTGCGGCAGATGCGATGCGAAAAAGAGGCTGGTGGCAACTTTTATGTGCAGTGACCAAAATAAATGCAACTGCGAGTCAAGGCCTTAGTGGCAACAAAGGTAGGCAACTACAGCGTTCCAGGAATCTCGAGCTTAAACATGCGGCTAAGCGTGAAGAACTGAGTGCCAGACTGCCTCTTTCGATGCAGTGACCAGAAAAGACCTTAGCATCACAAACGCTGAAGTGGTTAAGTGTGATTAAGTACAAATGATGCATGCAGGCACGTGCACACCGCAACTTTTTAACATCACATGAGGATGGAGTATGCCAGTGAAGATGTGTACTCGCCTAGAAAGAGTATGGAAGAGCACCTTCCATCATCAACAGCCTTTTCGCATGCCGTCATGATCTCTTGTCGGAGATCGATAGGCCCATCTCTGATCACGTTTGTCAGCACGTCGACTTCATGACTTGGGCATAAGCGCTGAAGGTAGAATTCATGGGATGCCAAAGGCTCATAAGTCACAAGGCCGTCATGACTCTGCGATGGCATCATCGGATGCACAGCTGAATCTCGCAAGTCATGGTGATTGCTCATAGGGAATAATACCACAGAGCACGGAAATGCCTTCAAGAGTCGGTGAAATGAATGCAGTTTCCATTCAGGGTTCGTGGTAGTGCTGCTCTGGTCGAGCTGCCGTAAAGGCGTCTTGTTGCCCAGCGTGTTGATGTGTGGGCTGCCAAACACAATGACCGCAGGACTCTCGTTGTGACAATGAGTCTGGACCAGCTTCGGATCCGTAGCATCAACCTCATCAAGGACTTTCAGGTGGCGGTAGACTTGCCCCATCCTGCTCGTCAGAAGGGCTTGTAACCGTCCCGGGTTCACCCGCCGATGGGAAACAAAAATCTGTCACGTAGATACGGGTGTTCATCAATGAGGTCAAGGGCTGAGGCAAGCTTGTAGTTCGAAGAACATGGAAATTCATGCATAGCAATGCTTTTGTTTGCCCTTCAAAACAGTCATCGCAAGCCCATTTTGGGGTAGAACGTCGATCTGACCACTCCGGGGCACGATAGTACGTGCACAATTCCGGAAGGAGGAGCCGACCAGATGCATGGCCACATATCTCACACGCCTGCTTGTCGGCTGCGGGGCATCGGTGACTTTGTGGCTCTTCCAGCAGCCGACACAATAAAAGGTTCCATCTGTGGCTTTTGCGCACAGTGCGTACACTTCACCGTGTCTTGCCTGACATTGGCAACATGGAACTGCGCCATACTGTCGGCGGCGGCGTAAAAAGACGATAATGGCTGCCACCAACGTCATAATCAAAGGTCTGGACAACCACATCCGTGCCATGATGCAGTCGGGATGCCGGGATGGAAAAAGGAAGAATAATGCTGGTCTTGGGCACGAGACACGCTACAGTATGCAAAGAAAGACATCCAAACCGCCAAACATGTGCAAGCACTTGCTGTCTGATCCAAAAGCAATCCAAAAGCAATCCAAAAGCTATCCAACAGTAGTGAAACGGTAGAACGCGACTGAGGCTTGCACGTAACGGCAAAACTCGTGCCCAGCGCGGTTGCAACTCGACTTATACGTAAAGGCACAGCAATGAATTACCAATTGGAACCTGCTATCGGACTCGATTCCATCCCAGGCTTGCCCAGCCAAGCCGCCCGGCCTGAATGGATCGAGCACGTCAAGACCATGGCTCACTGTTTGGCGGCAGCTTCGCAGCGCAATGCTGCAGCGGTTGCTTGGGTCACTACCAAAGATTCCAGAGATGACAGGGTCAGATCGAGGCTGCAAATCCGTGCGTACGAGACACGCCGTGAAGACCAGGATATTGGCCGGCATAGGGGGCGGCACCTCAGAAAGAAACAGCCCTTCAGGGACGAAATGTGGCAAACATAACAGCGTGCTGCAGGCAACAAACGCACGCGGCCAGAATGAGTCCAGTCAAGGAACGACCGGCTGCACCCAAAGCCTGCCAGGGTTGTCCTTGCTTGCGCAGTCAGAGTCACGAGAACGACGACAAAATGAGACACGGACACAACTAAAAACAAACCTTACATGATCACGTCGAGACTCTGCGACGACGATTGTGGGAAGCTGCACCGGCGGTTGCACCCCCGTGGCTGTAGAAATAATCATCGGTGGAAGTGTAGCCATTACCGGGAGCGACAGAAGTCAAAGTCTGCAGGCTAGGCAATCGGATGCCCTCCAATCTCTAGGTGCTCGAGCCATGATATTCGTCACTGGCACTTCTGAGCTGTGCAAGTACGAGCCATGTGAAATACCCAGGCAACACATGGCGTGAGCACATGCGAGCACCTTCTCCAGGATCTCCAGGAAGTGGCGATGTCGCTTGGAAGAGGATGCCACAGCCTGCACAACACGAAAGACGCAAACAAAGAGCTACCAAAGGCAAAGGAAGCCGAACACAAAGGGTGCATGCAGGGCTCTCGATAGGCACTCCTACCATACGAACGGGTTAAGGTGCCCTGAAATCTTAGGGTTGGAGGGAGAGGAAAGGTGGGGTGGCGCAGGACTCCCAAAGCATGCAACTTTTCCAAGCAAAAAGGCGCGACTGCTGCGACCGATCACACCCCCAGACAATGGAGTTTAAGTCTAGGGGCGGCTGTGCGCATCCAAACATGCACCGACGAAGCCGTAACCCGGACAAGCCCGACGTCCTAACCAACCCAAAAACCCCAACAAACAGAAGCCCTCAGAGCACACACACAAAACCTGGCTGCCTCTGAGCCCCAAGCCACCTCCCAAAACCGAAAGACCCTGAACACCCAAGCCTCGCGCACTCGGACCTCTCTGCCTCGGAGCCCCAAACCACCTGGAACCCCTGAAGCCTCGCGAGGGAGGGCCTGGCCACACAAGAGCAACGCTGCCGAGCCTGGGCGGAAAGAGAGGAAAACCCCTAACAAACCCTGAACCCCAAGAGCCCCTAAACATTAGCAAACCCTCTAGCCTAACAAAGCTTCAACCCTACCCCGAATTCCTCCAGGCACCCAATCCCCAATTCCAGTCCAAATCCGCCCCAAATCTCCAATTCCAGGCCCCTAACTCCAAGCCCCCAGCCCCCAAATCCCAAATTCGGCTCCAAACCCCCAACCAGTCCCCAGACCCAAAATCTCCCATTCCAGGCCCCAAATCACCACTTCCACCCCAAATCCCAGCCCTAGTCCCCAATTCCAGTCCCCGACCCCAAATCACCCAAATCCAAATCCCCCTTTCAAGTCCCACCCAACCCCAGCCCCCAGGCCCCAAACCCCCAATCCCAGGGCCCAAAACCCCCTCCCAGTCCTTCAAACCCCCAATCCCAGTCTTCAGGCCCCAAATCCCCAATTCCCGAATCCCCAATCCAGGCTTGTCAAGCCTCGGGAACCCGCAATTCAAGTCCCCAGAGCCCCAATTCCACGTCCAGGATTCCAGACCGCCAGGCCCAAATCCCCAATCTCAGGCCAGAAGCCTTAAATCCAATCCCAGGCCCCACATCCCCAATTCCAGCCCGCCCAGCCCAGTTCCCAGTTCCAGTCCCCAGGCACCGAATCCCCAATTCCAGCCCAATCCGCGGCCCCAAATCCCCAGTTCCAGTCCTTCACCAATTCCAGGCCCCGAAATCCGCAATTCCAGTCCAACCCCCAATTCCAGTCTTTTAATTTTAAGCACCCAGTCCCAGCCCAATCCCCAGTTCCAGTACAAATCCAATTCCAGGCCCCGAATCCGCAGTTCCAGCACCCAATCCCCAATTCCACGCCCCAAATCTCCAACTCCAGGCCCCTAACTCCAAGCCCCCGGCCCCCAAATCCCAAATTCGGCTCCAACCCCCCAACCAGTCCCCAGACCCAAAATCTCCCATTCCAAGCCCCGAATCCCCAATTCCAGGCCCTAGGCCCGCATTCCAATTCCCAATTCCAGAATCCCCATTCCATTCCCAAGCCTCACGCCCCAGAATCACCCAAATCCTAAATCCCCAACTCAAGTCCCAAATCCCCAATTCCAGCCTCCAGGCCCCAAACCGCCAATTCCAGGCTCCAAACCCCCCTTCCAGTCCAACAAACCCCCAATCCCAGTCTTCAGGCCCCAAATCCCCAATTCCAGGCACGCCCTCAACACCCCAATGCCAGGCCCCCAGGCCCCATCTCCCTCCAATTCCTCCAAGGCCCCAAATCCCCAATTCCAAGCTTCCAAGTCCCCAATTACAATCCGCAATTCCAGTCCCCAAGTCCCAAATCCCCAATTCCAGTCCCCCAGGCCCCAAATCCCCAATTCCAATCCAAATCCCAGCCCCAAATCCTCAATTCCAATTCCACCAGGCCCCCAGGCCCCGAATCCTCAATTCCAGTCCCGGAAGCACCAAATCCCAAATTCCAGTCCCAGGGCCCCGAGTCCCCACACCGCAAACACTAAAACTACAAACCCGATTTTAGCAAATTGTTTTAACGTTGAAGCAGCAGTCCCCTTAGAGGAAGCTGAACTATGTAACGCTTCGCTGCGCCATAAGTGACCGGGGCGCCTTGCGCAGTCCAAAAACTGCGCTGGCGAACCCTAAACCCTAAACCCTAAACCCTAAACCCATCCCCAAAACCCTGAAACGAGCCGGCAAAAAAATCTGCCCAAGGCTCCGAGCGTGAGCTTCGAGGCCGGTGCGCCCTTCTCGAGCCAGTAGTCCACAGCCCAGGAGACGCTAAGGGGATAGCCTGCAATCGCCGTTGAAAGGGTTCCTATAAGGATACCATAAGCGCCCTTTAAAGGGTTCCTATAAGGATACTATAATGGTTGCAGTTCCTATGCTTTGGGTGTTCGGGTTTAGGGATAGCCTGCTCTGCTTGAAGGTTCTTGGGTAGGGTTCTAATCATAGTTACTTTACTAATGACCCCACTTATAACTACCCCTGAGCCTCCAAGTAGGAACTCGGGGTTTATGGGCTTTAGGGGTTTAAGGTTTAGGGTTCCAGTTTTATACGGCTGCCTAAGAGACGCTGAGGGGATAGCCTGCTTGGAGGATCATGGGCCTTAGGGAGTAGGATTTGTTTATAGGGTTCCTCAAGGGATCTTTAAGGGTTCTACAAGGGGGGGTATGGGACTTGGGACGTAAAGTAATAAGCCCCTTGATTGGGGCTATAAGTAGCTATAATAAGTATAGTTACCTTAACTAGGATACCCGGTAACCTAAGAATAAAAAGGCCTCTCTTTTTGGTATTGGGTAACTTTATAAGGAACCTAGGACTACAAAAAGGGAATAAGGGTACTACTGGGCATCCTAGTTAATGATAACCCTAGTTACTGAGCCCCATGACCCTCTAAGTGCTGCAGAGCTCAGAGGTTGAAGTAGAGGCCCCCACGAGGTAAATCCTGAACCCGAGAGACCTTTCAGGGGGGTCAGGGGGGTCGGGTACCCTAAACCCTGAACCCTAAAACCCTAAACCGTGTGGGTTTGGGACATTCTGGGCTTACGGCGTTGAGTTTAGGCTTGGGTGTTGGGGTTTAGGGTTCGGATCTAGGGCTTCTAGGAATGTAGAACCCTAGGAAACGAGACAGCGGTTACGGGCCGGGTTCTTCTTCTTTCAATGTGCTTCTAAAACCTGACGTCACCTGACAAACCAGACGATAAACTCCACACGCTGAACTAAAACCACACCCTCCAAAAGCTCACTCTGCGGGAGCTCAAAATCCAAAATTAGGAGTCCTTGAGCATTACGGTCAGCATCGGCCTGCTTTGAGCTCATCCGCAGCCGTGGCATACAAAGGCGCGTTACACCTTCGTTCCACAAGTGCTTCCAAGGGGTCAGGCTGTGCCCGGAAGAACGAGCCGATGAGCCCTGCACCCTCCCTGGGTGTAATTTAAGGTGGGGGTTTTCTGGGAAGTCCACCCACAGCTGCACGTGATGGTTTCTTTCTTCGTTGGGAGCAAAGAGTGTCCAGCGCACGTGAAGCATTCTTGACCCTAAACCCTAAACCCTCAACTCTGAAATTTCTGAGGGCCGCACCCGGTGGTGGCCTCCCACGAACCGTGCAAGTCATAAGTCATCAGGTTGATCAGATCCAAGTACTGGCTCATGCCAGGGATGTCGTAGGCAGTGTCTGCCTTAAAAGCACAAAATGATAACGACTACGGATAATGATAATAGCATGAATAACAACAATGAGAATAACAAGAACAAGAAGAAGAACACTAATCATATTAGCAATGACAACACAATAGGTGCTTGTACGAATAAACAAAAGTGGCTGGTATTTAATGCGCACCGGCTCCAAGCAAACACCATTCTAATCCCAAGTTCGAAAGTGGTATAAGGTTCCCCCAAAACCGTATTCTAATTGTTAAGGTCCCTGCGCCCCTCATTCTCATGAATGTGACGACGGCTTCCGGGGTGTTTCCTGCTTCAACTCCCGCGGGCGAAGACGATCAGCCGAGAGCTGGGGCAGAATGCCACATATACGAGTAATGTTGATACTGCTGATGGACAAAATCCTGCATGACCTTAAGAACTCTAAACTATGGGAACTATGGTATATTCCTTATAATGGGTAATGCAGGATTTTGTCCAACAACAGTAAGACTAACAACACGAATCATACTTATGATACTAACGGTACTAATGGTGCTGAGAGTACTAATTGGTAATACTGATGATACGAAAAAGAGACATACAAACAGCAAAGCTACAACATGCACAGCAAGCGATCTAAGTTAAATGGTCGCTTTGGGGATCGTCTGTATACTAAGCTCCTGAATGACAGACACCAAACAAGTCCCGTGTAAATGACTCAAGCCTGCTGTGCCCCCCCATGCCGTTGCCGCCCCGATCAGAGCACCAAAAGCTGGATGCTCACAAGGCGCATTGCACAAGATTGGACCTAAGTGCAGGAGTTCTATACAGTTAAAGGAACCCTACATCCGAAGTCATTGCAAGATGCCGTAGATTTTCCAACGCCCACGGCGGCAGTGAGGAGCAAGGGCGTCGAAGACTCCTTCTGGAACCTTCGTAAATGCTCGCGGGTGTGAGGCTGAGTACTTCTGCGAAGCTTAATCGCACCGAGCATGATGCCTGTCGGTGGTTGCAAAGGTGTCTGTAAGGGTTTCTCAGGACTTTGTACGGTGTTGGGGCCTTTATGAGGATCTCAGTCTGACTGAAGTTTACATGAGCAGGCCATCAGCTTAGGGGAAGAGCGAGGAAGCAGTGCGGCGTTGAATGATCAACAAAGGGGGCAGGCGATCCAAATCTAACACGAAGTCCCCGATGGCAACAGTAAGCTTCAAACTCAATACACGGCGCGAGGCCACCCCCCACTCGAAACCGGCCTTTTAATGGCAGTGGGCAGCATTTTATAATACATGCACTGCCTGTAGACTTCGGAATTTGAGTTCACACCAACCGTGCTTCGGATTCCACGGTGTTGCACACACTATATAGAATCTCAGAACCTCCTTCTCCTGAGATTGTGGGGCTCGGCACTGGATGTGTCAGATACCCCCAGTAACTTCCACAGGATCTGGGGCATGGTGGCCTTCTTTGCCTGGATCTCGTCATGCTTGGCTGCAAAAGTGGCGCACGCCTGCTGCAATGACGCTGTGCCCTTGAGCACGGCGGCTTCCGCGATGTCAACGAAGCTGTCGACAGTAAGCTCTTTCCGCAAAGCATCTGCAAGCAGGTCCACGACGTGTGGCACTTGCCAGCGATGGGCCAAGTCAAAAGCGACAAGCATGGTCTTGTAATCGAGATCGAGACAGGTGAAACTTGTGTATAGCAGGTCCAGAAACAAGGCAACGCCATTGCTCGAAGAATCCTTGACAGGAATGCACTTGCTGGATCCTTCTCGCATGGTAGACTCTAGCATAACCTTCAGAACTGGTGAGGCAGCGACCAGAATGTGGTCGTGTGCCGAAATGTCTCTGTCTGCTGCTTGGAAGACGACGTTGTGTGTGTGCGTCATCTCTCGGGCGATCTGCCAAAAGCGGACGACATCTGCATGAATGCTCACCTTGCTGCCATTTATGGGAGACTTTGCCCTCATAATGAGCGCTATGACATCCTCAAGGTACTTGGTCTACTCCGCCACGGTGTAGCCGAAACAGTTCGGACAACTTCAGAACGAATGAAATTGTGGACTGACCGTTGCAGCTTAGTTTGACTTCATTGGGAAAGCGGGTGGAAAACACACGATCAGAAAACATCTCGTTGGAAGCGTCTGCGCCCGACTGTAGCATCCACTCGAGCATTTGAAAATGCTTGCGACGCATTGATTCTCTTTGTTGGTTGGACAAAAAGCTGGTTATGGCAAGCACAAGTGGCACTACATTGGCCTCGCCAAGTTCCTGATTCAAGTCAAAGTTCTCTCTGAGAAGATGCTTCAAGCCCTCAACGTCGCACCTCTCGAGCAAGCACTGCACCGTAGTGACTTCGGATGGCGATAGGGCTGCTGGCATCCCTGGCAGAGTACAAAGTCGCCAACAGCACCTCGACACCTCTGCCCATATTGATGAAGCCATGGGCAGATTGACACGAGCTGGTTATTCTTCGAACCCTGCTTGACACACCGAGCACCGAGGAGCACCTGCAAACTCTAACTCTAACGATTCGCGATGCAAGGTTGCCTGGATACGGGCTTCCATGAAGGTTTGTCGCGGACGAAGGGGATTTTATGCCTAGATGCATGCATAACCGTGTTCATTCATGTGACGCCTACAAGAACCCTCTCCGGAGAGTCAGGCGGGACATCCGAGCTACGATGGCATGGACAATCCGCAACCCTGAACCGTCTACGTAGGCGGCCCCGAACTCTGCCCCCTGCAAACTCTGCAGAGAAGCCCGGAAGACCCTGGGACCGCCTAATGTAGGGGCCTCAAAAATTAGAATAGACTTTTGGCGTACATTGTGTTACACGTATAATAAGGAACCCTCAGCTTGATGCTTGCAAGTATTTAGGACTCTATATTACACACTACCGAGGCTGCGTGAGCTACGATGTGCTCTCGTTAGGGCTCATCGGCTATGCTGCCGTGGCCAAGAATGGTTGAGGGTTGTGGGTTTAAGAAGCTTCTATTGTTGGAATAAACCTACAGGTATCCGTATACATAACCAAATACGAACACGTGTACATATGTATATGGGTATATCGGTTGCATATATACATACCTACCCACCTACATACCTACGCACCTACCTACGTACATACATACACACATACACGTCTGTCTACCTGTCTACCTATCTATTTATCTCTTTACCTATCTATCTACCTATATCTAGATATGTATACGTATATCCATATGAAGATACATCTGTAAATATATATATATATATATATAACAGAGGCATAGGAAGACCGAATAGGAGCAAGAGGTTTGGATTTAAGGTGTCAGCGCCTGCGCGTATCGAGAACGCGGCTTGCGTATGCGGCTGAGGGGTACTCTACAGGAAACCTAATAAACATACAAGAGGTCGTCAAGCATCTTGCCAGATGTTGAGACACCAAGATCACGGCTAATTGTCATGTTGTATTGGCAGGGAGCTCATGACAGCAGTCAAGCTAAAGCAGAACCTGAACCTCCACTTAGACTCGGTAACAAACACCATGCTGAACCCAAGTAGACTGGACCCTCTAAACCCCACAGCAAAAGGCAGCACCAGCCTTCCATCTTCGTTCGCTATCAACGGACCGCAGAAACTGCTCTTGCAACACACAGCTGATGTCAATGGGTGCAGCCAGATAGCTCCTCCTTGAGGATCCGCAGCATGCGCACCTGAACTGGAGGGTGCGGCCCCTTGGGTCGCAGGTCTTAAGGTTGCTTTGAGAAGAAGTGCCCAGCGTGCGTACAGCACATTCAGAGATTGGCAGGGCTTTTCGCTTCGGAAGCCCTTTCGGGATTTTAGGGCTTAATTCCCAGGGCTCTCTTGCAAGCTCAGGCTGTCCAATTCTGAAAGCATCCAGCGAGGGCATCTGGCCCGCTATAAACCTAAAAGCCGAAAAACAAACCCTGCACAAACCCCCGAGCCTGAACGGCCCTTAACCCTAAACGGCCCCAAACCATCTGGGCCCATGGCATAGTTCGCATAGTCCTGAGGGCTCTCGCCACCACCAACGCGGTTGTGGCCCTGAAAACTTCGCAAGACAGGCCCTTACTGGGTTCTTGTGAAGTAAAGGAACCTTTACAGGAAGCTTTGAAGGAACCCTTCAGGGTTCTTGTGAGGGTTCCGACAAGGGCTCCTAAAATCCTAAAAGGGTTCCTGTAAGGGCTTAGGGGTAAGGAGCTTAGTTCTAAGCTACCATAATGGGCTTCTACAGTCGAAACTAAGGAGGTGCACTTCGGTCTTCGGGTTTTGTTTTGTTTGGGGCCTAGGGTTTTGGGGAGACTGCTTCGGTGGGGTCGTGACTTGGATAGCACCCATGCCAAAGCCACTTACAGGATCATGGGACTTAGTAACTAGGGTTATATTTAAGGTAACTGTACTTATATCTACTTATAACTTCACTTGTGGGACTTATAACCTTACTTACTAAGTCTCCAGATCCTCCAAGTACAGCCATCTTGGACCCTTGACGCCAGTGGGACTTGCAACTCAGGTGGAAATGTAGGGACCAGAAAGGAACTGGTGGTGACTGAGGCTCCTACGTTCAGCAGCCCTAGGCAACTCGCGTTAAAAATGTCAGTGCAGCCAAGATCGCCAGAAAACCGTCCGAGAGAAAACGAATTTAAAGAAAGAGAACAAACGCAGCCCCCCAATCGACAAACCTAAAACCCCCCAACACCCCCACCGCCGCTCAAGCTAGAATCTGCCTCCACAACGGGATACTCCCAGTCCAAGTCAAAGCCGTCGAAGCCCCACTTGCGGCAAAAGGCGATGATGTTGGCCGCAAACGTGCCTCGGCGAGGATGAACATTTTACGGTTTTGGTTTAGGGTTTAGGGTTTAGGGTTTAGGGTTTAGGGTTTAGGGTTTAGGGTTTAGGGTTAAAGTTTGGGAGTTCACAGTTCAGGGTCTCATGCCTGAAGTCCAAGAACTGTCGGAGTTTCGGGAGGCAAGGGTTGCGGTTTAGGGTTTAGGGTTTAGGGTTTAGGGTTTAGGGTTTAGGGTTTAGGGTTTAGGGTTTAGGGTTTAGGGTTTAGGGTTTAGGGTTTAGGGTTTAGGGTTTAGGGTTTAGGGTTTAGGGTTTAGGGTTTAGGGTTTAGGGTGGGTTGCGGGGGAAGCATGACCTTGGCCGAATTTAGAAGGGGCAGCCGGGCCTTTGGCTTAGGGCTCTGAGCGCTGGACTTCTCTGCCTTCGGGTTGACAAGCTTTGGCGATGGGGCTGGGAAGGGCAGTGTAACCCTAAACCATAATTTCAATCTCTTGAAGACTCAGCCATAAACTCCAAACGAAGAGCAAAAACCCCACAAACCCAAACAGCTTCGGGCTTAGAAGGCTCGGCGACATGCAATTTTCGAGCTCCAAAGTTAGTCTTAACCCGAACCGAAATCCAAACGTTAAGTTTAGGGTTGCTCATATCCCAAAAGCTTAAACTCTAAACTCGCAATCCTCGCTCCAGGATTCGGCTAAGCAGGCGTAGAATCGAGAGTTCCCGGTTCCAGATTCCATCTCTCTTGAGAAACCTGGATTAAGTTACAGCTATGGGGGCCTATTGGACAAACAGTGCCATTACTATGTTAACTTAGATTCAGTTCTTAGTTCTTACCAAGAACCGAGTTTCTGAGAATCTGGAGCTGAGTTCGCAGAGAGGTCTGGGGCCTATCTGGAGGTCCCATGGCACCGCAAAGCAGCTGAAACAGGAATTTTGGATTTAGAGTCTAGAGCGTGTGGGATTTAGGTTTTAGGCCTTGGGGGATTAGCATCTTCAAAAACCCTACCTAATCAGGCCTGCAAGCCAAACCAACAATCCGAAAACATGGAACCTTGCAAATCTGGTGCTCTAAACCCCAAACCCTAGACCCTAAACCCCAAGCCCTAAACCCCAAGACCTCGAGATCCTAAGCCCCAAACCTTCAGTCCTAGACAGCCTAAACCCAAAGCCCCAAACCACAAGACCCAGATCTCAAACATCTCCAGGGCAGCTGATTTTAAAGAAACCCTTATAGATCCCTAAAGGAACCCTTGTAGAACCATTCAAAAAGAACCATTAAAAAACCCTTCAAAAGGAGCCCTTAACGATCCCTTTAAAACCCTTATAGACCCCTTTAAAGGAACCCTCATAGGCCCCTTTACAGGAACCCTTAACCCTAAGCCCGAAATGACCTCAAACCCTAAACCCTAAACCCTAAACCCCTAAACCCTAAACCCTAAACCCTAAACCCCAAAACTCTAAACCTCAAAGATCTAGGGCAGCCCGGGATCGTGTTTTTCCTTCATCGGCGGCGATCTCGCTGAAAAGCTCACAGGTCGCCGCGCCTGTGGAGTCGAGGGTTCGTGGCCCTTTTTTATCAAAATTCTTCGGCCACCCCATGAACTCCCAAAAACCCGAATTTCCAAAGTTTTTTCCCCTAAATCTTGGACCCTAAGCCCGAAACCCTAAACTTCCAAACCCATGAACCCCTAAACCCTGCAACTCTAAAACCCGGCGGCTCCTTGGCCGTAAGTAGCAGAAGAGCTCGCGGTGCAATCGTTAAAGTTCCAGCCGCCTACCTCGGCGCCGGGCTGGGTAAACCCTAAACCAAAAACTCTAAGCTTAGGGTTTGTAGTTTCAGGCTTTGGGGATTGGGGTTTAGGATCACCGCCGGTGTAGGGTTGATGTTTTTGAACTCCTTAGGGTTTAGGGCTACGGGCTTAGGGCTAAGGGTGCAGATGCAGTGTCAGGCTCAGGGTTTGGAGTCTTGGGTCTTGGGCTTGAGATGCAAGAAGCTTACTTCAAGTATCATTGCAGTTAGTAATTAGGGTTATTAGTTAAGGTAACTGTACTTATATCTACTTCTAACCCCACTTATGGGACTTATAACCTTACGTACTAAGCCCCTTGATCCTCTAAGTAGGGTGCAGCGTTCAGAGCGCAGGGCCTGAAGATCCTGATAAGGCCCGTAAGTCTTTGATGTGCCTGGGGGTCAAAGGTCTGGCGTTGGGGGCCTGCCATCACCCTTGCGATACGTGAGCACGTGAACTCTCGGCTCCTAAGCCAGGAGGATAGGGGCTTCTGGCCACCACATCGCCTGAGCCTCCAACCTACTGAAGCATGGACGCTTCCTAGCAACGGCAAAGTTACCTCAGGCAAGGCTCAGGTTTGCAGCTTCAGAGCTTTGGGTTTAAGATCGCCCCGGAGTGTTGAAGCCCTTAAGGAAGCCGTCGCACTTGCAGCATCAAGGGTGCCTATAGGTTCTCTTTTCTGCCCCTGAATCACCAAACAGCCCAGCCACGCTGATCAAAGCCTTGATGGCCGAATTCTTCTGTTTCATACCAACCTCGGCGTCGCTGTCTTAGGGCTTATGGGATTAGAATTTCGGGTATAGGATTTCGGGTTTAGGGTTTAGGGCAACCAAGTCGAACAGTATTGTCATGCCGCCACTACTCCAATCATCCCATAACCAAGCACTCCATGCTGGAAATCAGTCTCGTCATGGTCATAGCAACAGCAGCAACAACACTTCACGCCCCTTTATTAAGTCCTCTAATCACCCTCATACAATCTTACAGGGACCGCTATAGAATCTTCACAGCAACACTTGCAGAACCCTTACAGCAACCCTTGTAGAACTCTTGTGGCAACCCATAAAGAACCTTCCTGACAACCCCACATTATGCTGATGTTGTGTCTGCGCAGACTCCATGCCTGTTGGGGTTTTCGAGCCTACAGGTTGAGAGGTTTAGGGCCTCGGGGGATTCTGAAGCCTCGACACTTCCCTTCAAACAGATCTTGCTCGACACACTTCGGACGGCTTTTGGTCTTGCATCTTCGGAAATTTCAGCCTGATGCATCCACGGGGCCGTCAGTGCTTCGTATCCCCGCCGCACTCGGGTGGCCGAGCAAGGCCACTCACAGCGCACCCCATTGGGGTCCTGAGAACAATCGCTAGAGAGGATCATGGGACTTAGTAAGTAAGGTTATAAGTAGGTTATAACTAGGATAACCCCAGGCCAAACATCTTGGGCTTGAACCCATAAATGAAGCTGATTGCTCGTGTAAGCAGTGCCGTTCTTAGCATGGGAGCTACTGCCTACTACCTCCTATCGTGCTACCTTACCACCCACTGCCCACTGCCTACTATGCTATCGGACGACCTGCTACCTTCTACCTACTACCTACTACTTTCGTCTTCACTCACTCCTACTCCTACTTCTACAACTCCTACAACTCCTGCTGCTACTCCTACTACTACTGACTGGTGGCCCAAGCGACGCTCCAGTCCGGGCGGAAGCTGGGGTCGTTGCACTCCTCGGGGCAGAGGCCGTCCTCGAGGCCGCCGGTTAATCATCCGAGATCGGAGAAAGAGCAGTCGTGCAGCGCCGCAGTATCCGTAGTAGCAGTAGTTGTCGGAGTAGTAGGTGCAGGAGTAGGAGTAGGAGTAGCAGCAGCAAGGGCAACCCTTCAAAACAATTGTGCAACAGCAAACAAGAGTCATGAAGATGCTACAAGGAACCCTCAACCCTACACCCAAAACTCCGAGCCTAAACCCCAGTGTGGAGGTCTGAATACTTGAATATCCCTTGCAGTCTGCGCACACTCATGTTAAAATACACCCCAAAACCTATTCAAATCATTCAGTCCCCTGCCGTAATGCAATACTCCGATGGAAAGAAGAAGGCCAAAACGTGAAACACTTCTTATCGGAAATACACGTGAAACCTTGTAAAGGCTCTGTACAACCCTTGTCTAAAACACTCCTGGCTTTCGCTGCCACTGGGGTGGTCTGCGTTCGGGTCGTTGCTCTTCAGCATGAAGTCTTGGATTCAGGTCTCTTAACGTCGTTCCTTCCAGGGTTTCGTTAAGGCTCTAGAAGGGTTCTATAGTTTATAATAAGGGCCTTGCGGTCAGGACGTTTAACCCCAGATCCCGACTGATCCTTGATGGTTTCATACTACACGAATAGTGGTGGTTGTCGAAATGAGGGTCCCTTTTTGGGTCCTTACTATAATACGGTACCTAATATTTGAGGCACCCAAAAAGGGACTCTAGTTTTGATTACTACCCATATTATGGAATGGTAGGACAGTCTTCGGGGCTGTCGTGTTCTAGGTTCCAGCGGATGTTTGTATCGCGTATGCCGGCTTTGGCTTTGGGTTGTCTTGAATGTGTTTTGTGGGACATGAGACTAGGGCCGAAAGGGTGGCAATCAACCGTACTTCAAGGATCATGGGGCTTAGTAACTAGGGTTATACATGAGGTAACTACACTTGTTATCATGACTTATGGCCCAAATCAAGAGTGCGTCTAACCTAACTTACGAAGTCCCATGATCTTCCACGAATGAAGGTCATAGGTCGAAGGCACACAGGAAGCATTGCTGAAACCCTAAACCCTAAACCCTAAGCCCTAAACCCTAAGCCCTAAACCCGAAACCCTAAGCCCTAAGCCCTAAACCCTAAGCCCTAAGCCCTAGACCCTCTAAACCCCGGAGATTTAGGTGTTTGGGCCGCAACCAACAGACTATAAATGACCCTAATCTAGGGGCCTTTCATAATTAGAATAGGGTTTTGGGGCCCATTTATACTACTACAGGTATATTAAGGAACCCCGAGAATAGTATTGATAATAATTTAGGCCACTATATTAAACCCTAGCCTAACCGCTGCAAAGAAGAAGCCAGAGTATGTTAGAAAGCAGGAGCAAACCGCTCGAAAGGGACCAGAGCATTTCCGAAACAAGAGCCAAAGGCTCGAAAAGGACTAGAGTCTTTGAGGAACAAGAGCAAACCGCTCCAAAAATCCCTAAGTCAAACTGTGGAGACCCGCAGCTTCCCCCAATCCGACACACTAAACTTCGCCCACAATAGCTTCGGGCTTAGCCGATTTCGGAGTCTGCTTTTGGTTTTTAGGGTGTGGGATCTTTCGGCTTGAGGGCTGCGTGTCGTTGGGGTCTCTGGGGTTTCCGAATGCCTTGTGACTGAGCCCGCCGCCAGGAGTCACTGTGGCGAAGCCGTACATGAAGTGAGTGCAGAGGCTCCCATCCAACCCCATTTCGAAGGCATCACGTCCTGGCCGGGGTTCGCGGTGGCTGATGCAGCAGCGCATCCGCAAACCATCAACCCTAAGCCCTAAACATACACCCTCAACCCCAAAGCCATCATAAACCCTAAACCCTAATAACCCCTAAACTAAACCCGATGTCGTCCTTCATTGACTAGCCCAGTCCGGTAGCGCGCCCAGTTCGTGAAGTAGCCTATGTGCAGGGTTTCAGGCTTAGGAATTAGAGCTTTAGGGCCCTAGGGTTTCGGGATTGGTGTCATGCTTCTTGGGCTTCGGGATTAGGGGCTTGAGGTTCATTGGCTTGGGGTTCAGGGTTGAGGGGATCAACTTATGACAGACATGTGCTGAAGACATCTGCGAGTTGAGGGGGACGGTTGAGATAGATGGGACTCGGCTGTGGCGACTGATAAAAGTATTTGGGGTTTAGGGCCTAGCTCAAGGGCACCAGCATGCGCTAAGTGAGGGGCAGACATTGATCCATCCGTCGTTTCCGCTGCCGAGATGGCCCTTCTCGACCTGGGCCGGTGTTAGGAATGAAACAAACTGCAGAGACTTCAATGTGTAGGTCGTCTTATTCCCGAACAGAATACGTAATATGGCAAATCAGGAACCTATAGGAGTTAGTTAGTGTCAGTAAGAGCCAGAAACCCGCAACACAAAGATCTCACCAGCTAAGATGCTGAGGAATCCCCCATACCCCCTTGCACCTCTAAGGCAGGATGCTTTTGCTTCTGACGAGTCTTGTCTTGGTGATATACCATCCCGAAACCCTACGCCCTGAACCCCAAGAATAAGAAGGGATCCCCAAGAGTGGCCGAGCTGCAGTGTCCCGCCTCTGCAGCATCGACAGACCCGCTTGTCCTCGCTCTTTGGAGTTTAGGCTTTACAAGGGTGTAGGGCATTGAGGCCACAGGAACTGAACACCACATTGCCAAGGGCTTCTTGGCCCAACAAGTCAGGGCTTACTGTGAGGGTTTAATGTTCAGGGTTTAGAGTGGCTCAAAGATTGCTGAGGCTGCTGCCGCTCTTCTCACGCGAGGAAGAGCAGTCGCTGGAGGCAGATGCCGACGCAGTCAACACTGCAAGAGCACAAAGAGACACAGCGCGACTCATGGTGTCCACTGTGCGGCTTGCAATCTGGATGGCGGACTGAGTTGAGCCACAAATGCTGAGCATCAGATGCATCGAAGGCTTCTCCCTACTGCAAATGCGACACTGCTGCTCGACACCACCCTGCAATAGCTTTAAGGTCTTACGCAAAAACAAGAATGTGTGGTACGGGTCTTACTATGGTGCATGACTTCGTCCATCCAATCGCACGATGTTCCTGAAACTGCCCAAGCGTAAAAGTAGAGAAAGGGCGGAGAAAGCCATGTCATAAGCCAGGATGGTTGTCTTGATTGGCACGGCAGTACTGCTTGCACTATTGATTACGGTCGTATTGCAATCTGGCATCCTGGCACCGTTTCTTCGCGGATGCACGAGATTTCAACACCTTGGGATGCCGATCGCATGTCAACAGACTGTGGTTTTTACTTGTACCAGCCATACGGGCTTCCACTGCAGCACCCAAAGCTAGACTGCTGACACCCAGAAGAAAGGAAGATAAACCTCTTCTTTAGCCGCCGGCAGTGCTTTAAGGCTACGTGCCCAAATTCCAGAAGGTGCAAAGGTTTCAAAGCTCATGGACTCATGCATGGCAATGGGGTAGGCTGGGGGGGTGGGGAAGTTTGGGAGGGTTGAGGGCTAGGCGGCCCCGTTCACGGGCTAAGCTACACTTCGCGCCTGCATCTGCTTCCATGGCAAGCCGCCGTGACCTGGTATCCGATGACCCCTAAACCACCTCAACTCCCCAACCCCCAAAACCACCACAACCCCTAAACCCCTAAACAAAAAAGACGAACAAAAGAGCATTCCTGTTCCACGGGCCGCCAGGATTGAGGGGCGGTAGGGTCCAGTGTTTTAGGGTTTCGGGCTTAAGGCGTGTGTCATCCGTTCGGTGCACATGATACGGTCGATGATATAAATCCTGCATTACCTGAATGGCTCAGGACGATGGGAATTATGGTATATTCCCGATTATGGGTAATGCAGGATTTATACTATCAACCGTAGGAGTCTCCAAATTGAAAGTTCAGGGCTTTCGGCTCAGAAGGGCTTAAGGTTTACTTAAAGGATCATGGGACTTAGTAACTAGGGTTCCTTAAAGGGCTCCTTCAAAGGGACCTAAAAGGTTTCTTAAAGGGATCTATGGGGTTTAGGGTTTAGGGTCTACTCAAAGGATCATGGGACTTAGTAACTAGGGTTATAATTAGGGCAACTATACTTATAGCTACTTACAACCCCAACTAAGGTACTTATAACCCTACTTACAAAGTTTCACGATCCTCCAAGTAGGGTATAGGATTGAGCACTTCAGGGTTTAGGATTTCGGCTGTAAGGTCTTGGGTTCAGGGTTTGGGGCTCTTGTTTTTTTGGGACCCGAGCTGTTGCACAGTGCTGCTCTGAGTGTACCTGAATGTGGGCTGTCAGTGCATTCACCCTACTTCTAACCCTAACCCTAAACCCTAAGCCCTAAACCCCCAAACCATAAACCCTAAACCCTAAGCCCTAAACCCCCAAACCCTAAACCCTAAACCCTAAACCTCTAAGCCCTGAATCCCTATGCCCTAAATACTGGGTTCCCCGATCCTTAACGTGCATCTACGATGCTGGGCCCGCAATGGGCACCGAAGCTCCCCCAGGCCCCCCTTCTAGTGTTTTGCGAGGATCCCCAATTTCCCCAAGCAGCTTTAGGCAGAGCCTCCAAAACCCCTTAATGAAGGAATATACCTTAAATTATAATAGGATCCCTAATATATTTTAAGGTATATTCCTGAATTAAGGGGTTTTGGAGTCTCTGGGTAGGCAGAATTCAAGGAGCTACTTAAAGGATCATGGGACTTAGTAACTGGGGTTATAATTAGAGCATCTATACTTATGATTACTTATAACCCCAGTTAAGGTACTTATAATCTTACTTGCTGAGTCCCATGATCCTCCAAGTAGGGGCCTCCAGGCCTCATGGCGTCAGGCTCGCAATTCGCAGCAGTTTGAGGGTTCGGGGCTTGGCGGTTTGAGGTTCCTGGGTTTTACGCCTTAGCACTTTAAGGGTTTAGGGTTTAGGGTTTAAGCTTTGGGGTTTTAAGGGTTTAGGGTTCAAGGGTTTAGGGTTTAGGGTTTAGGGTTTAGGGTTTAGGGGTAAGCGTTTAAGGGTTTAGGATTTAGGGTTAGGGTTTCAGGTTTCTGCGCTTGCAGGCTTTACTTTAAGGTGCTTCGTTGGTCTTCTGCCCTAAAACCCCAGATTCGCCCCTAAACCCTGAGCATCCCTAAACCCTGACCCGCCCCCCTGTCCCAGACTTGGCGGCCTTGTGCTTGCAAGCGCCGGAGAAGCAAAGCACAGGGTTTAGGGTTTAGGGTTTAGGAAGAGCGTGGGCGTTGAGCCCCTTTGCTTCTTGTCAACAGGGTCATGTTCTTCTAAGCGTCTCATGGGCTGCACACGAGCTCCGTCGATTCGGAAATAGCCGAATTCGACGTCATGGAACTTCACATCTAAGAAGATAAAGCAACACGAGCAAGCTGTCGTGCTTCCTTGCAGCCTGGAAAATCGGCAACCTCGGCCGTGGAATGCTGGCGTGGAACGCTGGCGTGCAATGCTTGCTCATGTGCACATATGTTCTGGAGCCCCAACTGCAAAACAAAGTAGCACGACTTCGCACAGAAGATACGCTCGTGCGGGTACATGACGGTCGAACTCGCACTAATCCTGAACCCTAAAACCCGAACCCACCCTAGACCCTAAACCCTGAAACACTAAAACCCTAAAGCCCTAAACCCTTAACCCTGAAACCCGAAAGCCACCCAAAACCCTGAACCCTCAAACGCTAAAGTCCTAAAGCCCTAAACCCCTTAACCCTGAAACCGAAACCCACACTAAAGGAACCCATCCCTCCCTACCAAACCACAAGTGAACCATTGTTCGGGTCACATAAAGGTCGATCTTCATCGGGCTCTCGAGATTGCGCTTGAACCCTTCTTGGAGGGTCGGGGGGACTTAGTAAGTAGGTAGCAAGTAGACTTATAAGTACCCCAAAAGGGACTCTAATTGGGGTTATGGTACTTATAAGTCCCTAAAATAACCAGTTACTAAGTCCCCCGACCCTCCAAGAGGCCATGCTACTGCATTGGCCTTGATAGCTAGACGATGGTATTGGGGGTCATATTATGCCATAGGTATAATAAGGAACCATGGGGGTCTGGTCAACTGGTTAGCCATGCCTTGTTCCCGGACTATTGCAAGTGGTCGGCTTGAAAGAAGCGTATTTAGTTAACGTAATATAGGGGCCTTAATAATTAGAATAGGATTTTGGGGCCCATTATACTATAATTCTAATAAGGAACCCCCGAAATAGTATAGGTAATTATTGAGGCCCCTATGGTATGAACTCCACGCCCGATGCCTTGACTCCCTTCGCCCTGGATGCCTTTTCAACCTGGCATTAGAGGTTGAGATTCTTCGCGAGTCTCTCCCAGAACACGTCTTCGACGCGCTGTGGAAGGGCTGAGGATCCCTGACAAATAAAGTTAGCAAGCCCACGTCAAGAGGATCAGACACGGCTTTTGCCGTGCTGTCGCTCCTTGAAGTAGGCAGCTCTTCGCGGTTTTCGCGGGCTCCACCCGAACAAAATACACCAGGCCAACTGCCTGACAGAGCTGAAAATGTGGAAAACACATAGGAACCTTCCGGAAAAAAGCAGTCAATAGAGGGATTCCTCAAATCTCGGCATCAACCGGCTGGTCGTTGGAGGATGCCTTTTCTCAAAGCATTCTACAAAAAGAGCTCCTATACAAGTAGGGTTTAAGGGTTTAGGGTATAGGGTCAAGGGGTTTAGGGGTTAGGGTGTAGGGTTTAGGGTTTAGGGTACCAATACGACGCTTCTATATACAGGGCGCTATATCGGTGTTCTGAAGTGGGGCATCGTTCTATGAGGGATCTACTGCGGAGGGTTCATCAGGGCCTAGGGCGATGCCTTCTCCTCATCCGGTGCTGGAACGGGCGTGAACCACTTCCCACCGATGTTCTTGATAGGAAGGAGCTGGACTAGGACCAAGACCACAAAGGCCACTGCGGGGGACACCTGGGCTGAGTTTACCATAGTAACAAAAGCAAATCATTGACTGCACCTATAAAAACGAAAAATTGAACTTAAACATCCGTAAGACTCTCCCAGGCCCGCATCACGTCCGCAGAAATTTTGATGAGTTATCCTACAAAACCCGGCGAAACTGCAGGGTAAGTTAAGTTCCCGAACAAGAACTCATATAACCTTGAACCCGTTACCCCAAAACGTATCTTAAGGGCCTTAATAATTGGAATGAGGTTCTAGGCCCCCTCTTTGGTTCGAGTATGATAAGAAACCTGAGGAAGAATATTGGTCTACACTAAGATCCCAGAGGCCAAGGAGTCCAGGCCAGTCAGGTCCAAAAGCTTCTCCTGCGGGCAGACCTCCGGCAGCCTCCCGAACCTGGATTCTGCTGTAAACCCTAAATCCTAAGAATGGGGACCCCTACCCTATAATGGGCTATATACTGGGTATACAGTAGCTATATTAAGGGTATATACCTAGGGGTCCTTATTAAGGGTCCTTAATATAATACGGCACCTAATATTTAGGGTACCCAAGAAGGAACTCTAATTTCGACAACCACCCAAACCCTAAAACCTAAACCCCTAAAACCGTATGAGACCGCTCCTTGCCCCCTACTTGGAGGGTCGGGGGACTTAGTAACTGGTTATTTTAGGGACTTATAAGTACCATAACCCCAATTAAGGCCCCTTTTAGGGTACTTATAAGTCCCTAAAATAACCAGTTACTAACTCCACCGACCCTCCAAGTAGACCCCTCAGTCCCTAAACCCTATCCCCTGAGTCCTAAACCCTGGACCCCTAAACCCTAAACCCGAGCTCAGGAGCATGACCCTAAACCCCTAAACCCCTAAACCCCGAACCCTGAACCCTTAGGGAACCCTAAACCCTAGTAGAGAGCCCTTTTCGGAACCCTTATAGTATCCTTGTAGGAACCCTAATAAGCTCAGGAGCATGATGGCTTCGTCGAACATCTCCGGGTCCTCGATTCCGGGGCCGAAGCTCCGCGCGAAGGTCCCGAGCCAAAGCAGCAGGCCATCCTGGCTTTAGTGCAGGTTTTGGGTGTTAGAAATTAAAGGGCTAGGTTTTAGGGGCTTAGGGTTTAGGGTTTAAGGTTTAGAAGGTAGGGGTTTAGGGCTTTTAGGGTTTAGGGGGTTATGGTTTGGGGTTTTCGGGTTTAACCGTTTGGGCTTTGGGCCATCCTTGGGCAAGGCGATCTCCAGGATGATGCGGCAAACAGCTCCGGCCACCAAGGATAGGAATCCGGCCTCAGGCGAACTCTCTCTAAAACTCTCCAGGGTTTAGGGTTTAGGGGTTTAGGGTTTGGTTGAGGGGTGTTTGGGGGTTTAGGGGTCAGGGTCTCAGGCGAATTGTCTCTGAAGCTCCCGAATGAAGGGTGTCAATCAGGGTTTAGGGCCGTTTATAGTTTAGGGTTTACGCGAACTGTCTCTGGAGCTCTCTTCAAAAGGAGTCTCTTTGGGATTTAGGGATTAGGGTTTAGGGAATCACGGTCATCTACATGAAGGTTGCCTTGTTATCTCACTAATGGGACCATACTGCACCAGGAAGACATCAAGACTGGCATTTTCAGTACGTCACAACCATACTATAGGGGCCTCGTTCTGCCGTATTATACTGTAGTCTGAGTAAAGAGCCCCAAAATGGTGTTGGTAGTTAGTTCCTGAAGCCCCTATCTTAATCATACTCACAGTCGAAGTCACTATAATCAACCCTAAACCCGATAAACCCAAAAACCCTAATGCCTAATCCCTAATCATTAATCCCTGAACCCTAATCCCTAAACGCTAATCCCAAGTTATAGCGAAGCGGCCACCGGCTAAACCCTAAACCCTGAACCCTATAAACCCTAAACCCTGAACCCTTACCTAAACCCCTAAACCACTAATCCCTAAAACCTAAACCCTAAACCTTAATCAGAATGAAGGCCCCTATTTTATATTCCTTATAGAATCCTGACAGGGCCCTGTAAGGATCCCTTTTTTGGAACCCTTTATAAGGAATCCCATTCTAAACTATAAACTATAAGTTATAATGAAGCGGCCATCGGCCAAGCCCTAAACCCTAAACCCCTAAACCCCTAAAGCCCTAAAGCCCTAAACCCTAAACCCTAAACCCTAAACCTTAATCATAATGAAGCGGCCACCGGCCGCATCTCTTTAAAGGAACCCTTTATAAGGAACCCTGTTCTAAATTATAAACTATAAATCATAATGGAGCGGCCACCGGCTATAAGTACCTTAATTGGGATTTTAAGTAGTTAGAAGCATATTTACCCTAATTATAACCTTTGTTACTAAGTCCCATGATCCTTTAAGTAAACCTTAATTACAATGAAGCGGCCACCGGCTAAACCCTAAACCCTGTAAACCCTAAACCCTCACCTAAACCCCTAAGCCCTAATCCCTAAACCCTAAACCCTGAATCATAATGAAGCGGCCACCGGCTTGATGTTCTTCCAGTAGACCAAGGCGAACAAGGGCACGACGCCGGCGGCGAAGACGCAGTCAAAGGCGACGATCAGGAAGTAGCCTGGGCTTGTGTTGTTTTTTGGTGGGTTTGTGTTGCTTTTTGTGGGTTTGTGTTGGCTTTGTTGGTTTGTGGTTTGTTGTTGGGGTTTGTGTGTTGTTTTTTGGTTTGTGTTTTTTTGGGTTTGGGTTTAGGGCTTAGGGTTCAGGAAGTAGCTTGGGTTTGTGTTTTTTTTGGGGGGGGTTGTGCTTAGGGTTTAGGGTTTAGGGTTCAGGAAGTAGCCTGGGTTTGTGTGTGTTTTTTTGGTTTTGTGTTTAGGGTTTAGGGTTCAGGGGTTTAGGGGTTGAGGGTTTAGGGTTTAGGGGGTTTAGGGTTTCAGGGGTTTAGGGGTTTAGGGTTCAGGAAGTAGCCTGGGTTTGTGTGTGTTTTTTGAGCTCCTTTTTGCACCTGCGTGATCATCCAAGCGAGTACAAGGCACATATGCGCCAAGTGGGTTTGTGTTCAGGGTTCACGGTTCAGGGGTTTAGGGTTCAGGAAGTAGCCTGCTTGGAGGTTCAGGGGTCGTTATAAGTGCGGTTGTGAGTAAGGTGACTGTAATTATAACCCATAGCAGGGGACTTATCACTCCACTTATCCCTACCCATGAACCTCCAAGTGGGTTTGCGTTAAGGAAATATCTTTGACTTGTCTTCAGAAGAGGCGAATATTGTTTACACTTTACCTTCCATTCAGGAAGCTTAACATATCACTTCCTTCACCCTTAGCCTCCATAGATACTTACAAACCCTTGTACACACAGCCCTGGAAAGATTTGTCAAAAACGAATGAAACAAGACCCAGGAGCCCGTTTCGTTCGGCCGGGTGCTGGCAATGAGGCCCGCGATGATCGAGAAGAGCAAAGTGGAGGAGCGCGTGATTTTAAGGAGGTTCGCGTCCGAAACCCTCTTCCTGGGATGAGTTTAGGTTTAGAGGGATTACGTGATTAGGATCTCCATTTTTGTTTTTCAGAGTTTAGGGTTTAGGATGAGTTTAGGTTTTAAAAGCACTATGTGATTAGGGTTTCGAGCGCGCGGCGTTTTATTATTATAGGGCTCCTTCAAAGGGTCTCTATCCTACAGGGGTTGCGGGTTACTATAATCGTTCAAAGTGGCTGCTTTGTCAACAACCCTACTGTGGAAGAATGAATAATTACCTATACTATTGTGTATAAACATATGTAGTACAATGTACACCAAACCTCAAGCCCTATTCTAATTATTAAGGCCCATGTATCAAACCTTAAACCCTAAATTAAGGCCCCTTATATTACAGCCTAAGCCCTAAACCCTAAACCACAAACCACAAACCGTGCGTTAAAACTCTGCAAATGAAGCCTTTCTTCGGAGCTCTGAAAAAAACCGTGCAAACCGCCCGAACGGGTTTAGGGGCTTAGGGCTTCGAAGGCTTAGGGGTTAAGGGTTTTTAGGGCTTCAGGGTTTAGGGGTCTGGGGTTTAGGCGGCTTAGGGTTTTGAGGGTTTAGGGCTTGGGGGTTGTAGGGTCTAGCGGAGCTTCGTCTTGCGCAGCAAGTTGTGAGAGAAGACGGTGCCCAGGGCCACAATGGCTCCATCGGCGGTGGACATGGAGGCCGCCACAATGCCAAGCAGGTACCTCGGCTGCTATGGATTTACTACAGCACCATAAGGTTAGTTTTTGTGTGTTTCATAGAGTTTCATAGGGTTTCACAGAACCTCGTACAGTGTCCGAGGTCTTTGCAGGGCTTTAGAGTGGATGCAGCTTTCTTGCCCTGTTGGGGGAGAGCCCAAGGTTGCAACCAAAAGCCCTGAACCCCAAAAGCCAATCCTAAACCTAAACCTTAGAAGCTGCCCCCACCCTGTAATAGTGACTATAAGGCTACTATAGGGATTATATCAGGGCCCTAATATATTCCTATTGTACCACTATTACAGGGTGGGGGCAGCTTCTAACCTAAACCCCAGATCCCCCAAACCCTAACCCTAACCCTGAAACCCCAAAACCCTAAATCCCCAAACCTTAAACCTCTGGACCCCCCAAACTCTAGCACCCAATGGGCTTTCCTTGCAAGGCGCCAGCATCCGAGTGCACCGTTCATAGGGAAGTTGGCCTGAAGGAGAAGAGGGCACCAAGCCTATGGTGACCTTAGGGTTTAGGGTTTAGGGTTATAGAGTTGGCGGATGGTCGTGCGGTTTCTGGGTTTAGGGGTCTGGGCTTTGAAGTTGCGGTTTTGGGCTGCCAGGCTTCTGAGGCAATCTGGCATAGATGACGAAGGCAAGTTGAGTGCTTTCCCTGCGTTGCTAAGTGCACTATCGGAGCACTGTAGATAAAACCCTAAACCGCGAACCCGCAGCGCAGGCGTGTCTCCCGGCCGAAACCAACAACCGAAAACAACACTCCCAAGGCGGGTTTAGGATCCAGCATTTTGGGCGCCTGAGTTTCGGGTTTAGGGTTAGGCAGGGCTTATGACTGCTTGCTTTTTGGGCGGAGAGGGTGCGGGGCTTTAGAATATTTCGTGCAGGGTTGGATGTGTTGGGGGTACTTGGAGCTTCATGGGTAGATATGAGTGTAGTTACAAGTCCCCTAATATGGGTTATAACTCTTGCTACCTTACTCATAACCCCACTTAGAGCTACCCCTGAACCTGCAAGTAGGGTTTAGGACTTCAAAGCCTCCCACTAACCTCTACCCCAAACCTCAAAATCCTAGGCCCTCCAACCTTACACAACCCAGCATAGCATCGAAATGCAAGAAAATATGAAGCTCAGAACCAGGGAGTACCCGGGCTTAGGGTTCAGGGTTTAGTTTAAAGTTTACTTGGAGGATCATGGGACTTAGTAAGTAAGGTTATAAGTACCTTAATTACGGTTATAAGCAGTTATAAGTATAGTTACTCTAATTATAACCCTAGTTACTAAGTCCCATGATCCTTTAAGTACCCCTAAATGCCCCTTATAGAACCCTTATAGATCCCTTTTAAGGAACCCTAGTTACTAAGTCCCATGATCCTTTAAGTAGGGTACCCCCACCCTGGCTGTCCTCAGTTGTACGGTGTTTTCACTGTACCGAAGCCCTACAACCCACCCCAGACATCCTTCTTAGCCCTCTTAAAACCCTGACATAAACTACCGGGGCCGGCACCCTAAAAACCCCTAACCAAACCATACAAAAATCTTAGTTGAACCCAAAAGAGACTACCAAAACCCCACACAAAACCCGATGTAACGCCCGAAACCCAAAACCCTAAACCCTAAACCCTAAACCTCAATCAAACCCGGGATGTCTCCCTACCGCGCGCCTCGTGCCCGGGTGCAAAGCCAGAGCTCCCCTCCCAGTCGGTGAAGGCGTGGCACTCGGGCTTGTCGCAGGTCAGCAGCTTCCTTGCTGGTTTAGGGCTCTATAAGCGTGTAGAGTTTCCGATTTTGGGATCCTTAGAATCAGGATCCTACTTCCTTGCTGGTTTAGGGTTTGTAGGGTTTAGGGTTTTGCTTGGATTTTCTACCAGGACCCCCAAAATGCCCCTTAGTGGAGCCCTTATGGTCCTTAATAGTGGACATTTTAAGGGGATATTAGAGGGTAGTTGAAGGGTCTAGGTAGGGTTGTTGGTGTTCTTTTCGGGATAAGGCTATATAGGCTTCGCAAGGAGCTTCCTTGCGGCAATTCGGCTGCCTGGATTAAGACTGCTGCGGGGTTGTGTTGGGACTGTCGGCTTGAGGGTTTGGGATTTAGGTTTCGGCTGGGATTTTTGGTTCAGGGCTTAGGGTTCAATTGAAAGACCTGATCAGGGGACGTCGTGAGTAGCAGCTGTGTGCCTCAGAATCCCTCTGGGATGTTTTAGGGATATCAAAATCAATGTATAGCGTACTAAAAGAGTTAGGGGCTTTTTTGTGAGGGTTTTGGAGTCAGCAGTAAGTGGGTTCTGAATAGAGGTATAAGTTTGCCGCAACTGAACTCTGTTTAAAACTCCTTCAACAAAACAACTCTTGCTACGTTCACTGGCCCTTTCAGCATACAGCGGCTTGGCTAAGAGCTTCCAAGGTTGAAAGTTTCGCTCGTCACATGTGGTTAGGATGATTGCTTTCAATTGTGGGAAGATTTGTGAGAAGAGCGCTCGTGAAGTTTGAAGGATGCTTGCAGCTGCTTTTGTCCCTTTTGAAGGAAGTCCAACAAATCCTGGTCGGCTTTGACTTTGACATATGTTTTGCACAAACCCTTAACCCATAAATGGAACAGCTTCCAGGTTTCAGGAGCTTGGAGACCAACGTTCAATACAGCCCCAGTCTTGACCTACAAACCTGACTAAAACTTTCATCCAATGGCAAGAAACCCTAAACCCTAAACCCCCTTAAACCCTAAACCCTACGCCCTAAACCCTACTGACTATGGAGTCTGACGGTTTAGAATAGACAGGGTTTAGGGCGTAGGGTCCTGGCAATTTCAGCACAGAGGGGACCCGTAGTATAAGTAGGGTTGTACGAAGACCCTGAAAGGGGGCTTCAAGGTGGACTTCCAATTGCCGCCCAGGTTCAGGACAGCATAAGGGTCCTGCACAGGTTGTTGCGCCGAGATCGTGTAAGAACACTCCCTTCTAGAGCCCGAACCTGCAACTACTCCCCAAACCGAGCGAAGTAAGTATCAACTCTGAAGCCTTTAAGCTCCAGCACTAAAACACAAGCTCTACGCGTGCCTTTACGCTTCAGTAGCGCCCCCCGCCAGGGACTTAGATGGAGTGTACAGAGGTCGAATTCGAAGGTTCAGACTTTTGAAGCGTTGTTGAACACCGTCTACAGAATCATTGACGGGATTGTTTAGGGTTTAGGGCTTAGGGTTCTAGTTTGTTCTTCAGGTCTTGGTTGGCTGAAGCTTCAAAGTTTTATAGGGTCCTTAAGGGAGGGTGGTTCAAGGGGGTAGGGTACAAGGGATCCCTAGGAAACCTTAAGGGGACCTTAGGGAGCACTCGGGAGAACTAGGGACTAGTAGGTTCTCTACCCCCCTTAGAGCCCCCTGATACTATAAAGGTCAGATTGGGATGCTACTTAAAGGATCATGGGACTTAGTAATTGGGGTTATAATTCAGGTAACTGTACTTATATCTACTTACAACCCGCAATTATGGTATTTTTAATATCCTTACTTACTCAGTCCCCTGATCCTCCAAGTAGACCCTAAACCCTTATAGATCCCATTATAGGCCCCTTTTAAAGGAACCCTAAACCCTAAACCCTCACCTTACTTACTGAGTCCCCTGATCCTCCAAGTAGACACCCTGTAAATCCGACGAAGCTCACCCTCATGCCCTGAAAGCCCCGGACCCTGAACTCTGACTCTTCAGCGCTTCTCGAAGCCCTTTGAGGGTTCCCCTAAGGGTTCCTTTAAGGATCCCTTGAACGGGTTTTTTTCGGGTTGGTTTTTTTGAGGAACCCCAAGACCCTGTAAAACGACTTAGCAGGTCGACGGCCGGTCCGGCTTCCACTCGCCGCAGGTTGGCACACCGGGAAGAGGCACAGCCTCACAGGTATTTGGGGGACCATCGTTTGGGGCTTGGGGTTAACGGTTGAGGGCTCTGGGGTTTGGGCTGAAGTAGGGTTAAGGCTTAAAGGCTTAGGGTTTAGGGCTTTAGTAGGGTTAAGAGTTAAGGGCTTTGGGTTAAGGGTTGGTGCTTCCTTGAATGGGCTCAATAAGGATTCCTGTAATGCTTACCGTAAGGGTTAGAATACGGCCTTCACAATTAGAGCTGGGTTTATGGGGATACCAAATTACAAACATAATGTGGAACACAAAGCAGCTTAAGCCCTGTATGATTCTAGAAGGGATTTAGAGCTTTTACGGCCCTTAAAAGCGAGAATAAAGTTTGGCAGGCATACTACAGTATTACTCATTGAGAACTACATGGGACTGGCATTCTTTCTTACCAGGAACGGCCTCAACAGTAGTTCTTGTCAGCTTCAGGCATGCGATGATTTCGTGGGTCGGAAAAAAAGGTGGTGAATAACGTGTTTTTATAGCTTTGTTCATTAACGCATACCCATAATAAAGAACCTGAGGGAGCTCTGTCCTAATCATGAGAATGCTCCTACATCATCCCCTATGTGATACCAGCGCACGTCCCAGGTTCCACCCTCCAAGCAGATTGGAGATCGATGCTTAGCAGTGCTGTTCTGCTTGACCCTGATCCAAGACCTTCAACCCAAAGCTCCTCAAACTTCTTAAACTTCAACCCGAATGTAGGAACCTGATTAAGAAACCTTGGGCCTTATTAGGGTTCCTTACGTGAACCCTACTATTTTGGGGTTATAGGCCCAGGGTTTCTTAATCAGGTTCCTACATTATACCAATGCCACTAAACCCTTGCGGACCCTTATTAAAGGGATCCTTCACAGCACCCTTCAAGGAACACTTACCTAGACCCCCCAAAGTAGGTAAATCAATGGCCCAAAACCTATAAAAAGCTATTATTCTACATGCTTTTGGGGCCCAGGTAAGAACCCTGATATCCTCGACCGAAAGCTGAGCCCCCAGACGTTGCATGTCTTGTTGAGGCTCGGGTCCGCGGCGGCTCCACCGAAGCAGCCGATCACCTAACCGATTCTCAACGAGGGTTCAGGGTTCAGGGTTTAGGGTTTAGGAAACGTCCCAAAAGATCCCCCTATAAAACAACTTCCCTAAAACCCTCAGCAAGCTACCGTGATGTCTGCAGAGCAGGAATTAGCCACAAACTCGGCGTGCGGGGAGGAGGGGCCGTAGAGGGCTCGCATGGTGCCGGCGTTCCAAGTGTTGAAGACACCGACGATGCCTGCGATGATGCCGGCGATGATGCCTGGGTGGGCAAGGAGGGATCTTGCGGGAGCACTTACGTGGGAGCTAGGGTTCAAAACCTCATACGGGCCATAAAGGCCCCCCAACAGCTCAAAGCTACTGGAGGTTCGTGTGCTTGTGGCAATAATCTACGAAAAACCTAGTCCGGAAGAACCCTCACTTGATCGAAATTCTGTAAACCAAACCCCTTAATCCCTAAAACCTCCCATTAGGACCGCGAAGATCATCATTTACGAACTATAGTAGAATTGTATTTCTTGGCTGACTTCTGCACCCCTCCAAAAGGTTAAACTTGTAGCCTCCTTGTTATAGTTCATAGAGAAACCCAAAAAGTTAAAGTCCTAAGAGCCAACCAGAAGAACGCCAAGATTTCTTATTGATTCTTCCAAACCCTCTATTCATCTGGGATGCATGAGATCTGAGCCGTCCTGCCACTCTTCGCTGCGAAGCAGCGGGCATTGAAGTCCAGAGCCATGCAGTTTCCGAAGGCCAACCTGAGGTCCGACGTGCAGAATATTTTAGAAGGGGCCCCCACCCTGTAATAGTGGTATAATAGGAATATAGTAGGGCCCTAATATAATCCTTATAGTCACGATTACAAGGTGGGGGCAGCTTCTAAAGAATATGGGAGTTTCCACCGTAAGTTAGGGGTTCCTTGAAAGGGATCTATATGGGTTCCTGCAAGTTCCTATACGGGATCTATAGGGTTTAGGGTTTAGGGTTTGGGAGTTCCCGAAATTAGGGATACCGTAGTTTTGGGGTCCTTATTATAATAAGGATCCACCTGTTTAGGGTACCATGTCAGGGTCCCCTATTTTCCGAGACTCCCACATCTGCCTCCTTTCTCATACACTAGACCCAAGAGTAGCCTAGGAATAAAAAGGGTGCCCTTTTTGGTTTAAAGGGGCTTATAAGGGAACCTGAAGCCCCAAAAAGGGAATAAGGGCCTACTCTAGGTCCTAGCACATAGTGTGCTTTGCTTATGAAACTCAAAACCACAGTTCGGCGGTAGTTAGCACTCCTTATCATTAAGGTTACAAGCCATTTAATCCATGCCTGCTATAAACTCTCTCAGGTTAGTGTTGATGTTTCCTGCTGAAATTCAGCCGAGATTTCCGGACATGTCGAAAGACATATACTAGCAACATGACTGTACGTGCATGAAGACAGGAACGATTGCACTGGTTGTTGCGGCGTTCAAGGCATACATGAGACGTGTACAGATATGTAGAATCAACCTGCAATGTTGTGCGGAACCAGCAGGTGTGGATCTTGTGGTAGGAGGGCGGGGGTGGCCACAAGGAGCGCTGTGACCAAATCAGCGTAAGTCTCTTTTGCTTCAAGGAACACAATGACTGTGGCCCAGTTGAAGAAGATGGCATTCGGGATGGGATCGTAGCTGTCCGGGTCTGTCAGACCCGCACCGATCACCGGCATGTCACCCACCTGGGAAGTTCTCGGTGGTGCTTCCTATGAACATACTAGGGTCAGAAACCACAGTCTTCGCTACATCATACCTAAAATGAAAGCATGTTCAAGAACGGGCTAGCAACTGGGTAGGCATTGGAGACCCCTGCGCTGCTGGGCATGTTGCCCTGGATCCATGCCGTGGCGACGACGAAGCCCGTCCAGCCAATGAGCGCCTGCGTCAGGGTAGTCAGTCAAACTTAACCGGGAAACCCATACCACAACCTTAAACACCCCAAGCCCTAAACCGCTACCCGCTAAACCCTGAACTCTAAACCCTGAACCTCTAAACCCCTAAACCTTGAACCCTAAACTCCTCAACCATAAACCCTATATGGGTGGTTGTCACAATTATGGTCCCTTTTGGGGTACCCTAAGTATTATTAGGGACCCAAACAGGTACCATCAATTTGACAACCACCTATATGACAGCCTAAAGGCGCCTGGATCACATCGGTGTAGGCCACCGATAGCAGGCCGCCAGCGCAGGAGTACATCCAAATCAGGAAGGTCGCGAGCACGATGCCTACATACTCATCCATGCCAAAGAGGTAGGACGTGACCTTGGGTTTAGGGCTTATATAGGGTTCGAGGCTTAAGCTCTACAGGTCAGGGTTTAGGGTTTCAGGGTTCAGGACTTAGGGTTTTAGGCTTAACTGCTTAGGCTCTAGAGAGTCAGGGTTTAGGGTTTCAGGGTTGAGGACTTAGGGTTTTAGGCTGTAGAGCTTCGTGCTTAGGACCTGACCTTCCCGCAGCCCACGAGGTTCCCCGCAAGCAGGAAGATGAAGGAGATCATCGTCACCTAAGTTTAGGGTTTAGGGTGTAGGATCATTGTTACCTGGGTTTAGGGTTTAGGATCATCGTTGCCTGGGTTCTTGCTGAGGCATGCAAGCTGAGGTACCATAATGGGGATCTATAGTGCTTCTATTTTTTTCGTTGTTATGCTAGCTTAGACTGAATTAAGCTACCATAATAGAGGATACTGTTTCGTTGTTATGGCAACTTACACTAAACACTTAACACGAACCCAGTCACCAGGGAGCACATAATCTCGGCTGCCTCGCCGTAGACACGTGCAAACGCATCCTGGGCGCGAGCTAAGCTAGCATCATAGAGATCTGTAGTACAGTAAACACCAGGGTTTCCCTACTATGCTGCTAACTTAATTGCATTTCTAGTAAATAAGAGGGTTTCCTAAATATGCTAACTTAAATGCACTTCCTGAACAAGAACCCAGCATCCGGGAGCGTGAGGAGCTTCATGGCGTGGAGGGGCTTGGCAAGGAAGACCCCGACGATGAGCCTCGGGCTGAAATTGTGCGCTACCGGTGCCCGTTTTGGGTACCTTGAAGGCTTCCTTGAAAGGCTCCTTAAAGGATTCGATAAGGCTCTTTTTTAAGTGCAATGGCTCTTTCGACTCAGCATGAGAACGAGTAGAACCTGCCGAAAAGGCTTACACTGGACAACAAACTTCTCGCAGCTCTCAATAAGGGTTTAGGGTTTAGGGTTTGGGGCACTTGGAGGATCAAGGCACTGTGTAAGTAAGGTTATACGGCCCTTGGCTGAGTTTTAGGTAGTTATACGTGTAGCTACCTTACTTATAACCCTACTTACAAAGTCCCATGACCCTTTAAGTATAGTTAGTCTTATGATGATCGGGAGACTAACTGAAGAGAAAGCGGCCAAAGGCTTAGATGATGGAGTGCGGAAGAGAAACAACGAGGAAGCCAAGCCGATTGGCAGGGCCGCGCCGTCCCAGAAGTGGTACCTTAGGGTTTAGGGTTTATAGGGTTTAGGGCTTATACGGTTTAGGATTTCCTAGACCCCCAAAAAGTAGGTCAAATAATGGCCCAAAGCCTGTAAAAGGCTATTATTCTACGTACTTCTGGGGTCCAGGTACTTGTAAGCGAGGTCCAGGTTACCAAGCGCAGAGCTGGCATCCAAGCACTGGGATCCAAGCGTGCACACCAAGATCCAGACGGGCAAATCCCGGCCGGCCACAAAGAAGGCCTCGCTGCTCCCTCCCACCTGGGCGGTTGTCAAACTTAGGGTCCCTTTTTGGGTACCCTCAATAGTAGGTGCCGTACTGTATTCGGGACCCCAGAAGGGATCATAGTTGTGACAACAACTCGCCTTGAAGTAGGTCGCGAGACCGGCACCCATGGAGATCACGATGAAGCCCAGGACCACCGCGGCACGGCCCGTGAAGTCTTCCACGGACCTAGTTCATGGTTGGGATCGGATTAAAAATTCTAATTTCTATTCCTTCTGGGGTGTAAGTACCCATAAAAAATGTAAAATTTTACCCAACTACGACAAAGGGACATCGGGAACGCAGCCGGGCACGGGATCCCGCATTTCAGCCACTGCAGCGCCGAGTCTGCCTTGGAACACTTCTGCGCCTCATCCGCATCTGCCTGCTGGCTCTACTTGGCTTTAGGGTTTAGGGTTTCAAGCTACCATAATGGGGATACATATATCTATATATATATATATATGATCTATAAGGGCTCCTTTAAAAGGGATCTATAAGGGTTTAGGGTCTACTTGGAGGATCATATGGGACTTAGTAAGTAAGGTGAGGGTTTAGGGCTTAGGGTTCCTTTAAGAGGGATCTATAAGGGTCGTATAATGGGATCTATAAGGGTTTAGGGTCTACTTGGAGGATCAGGGGACTTAGTAAGTAAGGTGAGGGTTTAGGGTTTAGGGTTCCTTTAGAAGGGATCTATAAGGGGTTAGGGTCTACTTGGAAGATCACGGGACTTAGTAAGTGAGGTTATAAGTACCTTATTTGGGGTAATAAGTAGTTACAGGTATAGCTACACTAATTATAACCCTAGTTACTAAGTCCCATGATCCTTTAAGTAGGGCTTCAGGTTACAACTTACCATAACGGGGATATATGTACATGGTAAAGAACAGGGTTTCCTTATCATCGTAGTTTAAGTTATTTTATCATCAGTAGTCTATTCCTTATTATATATTATCTTTTATTAGTTTTTTTGTTTTTTAAGTTCCTTAACCGCAGCCCAGCCTGTGGAGCAAAGGCTCCACCGTTGTTGCCCGGATAAACCTCCGGGTAAGGAACGCGGCCGCCCTCGTAGCCGGCAGTGCAATCGGCTCCGGTACATCGCGTCTTTCCTCGCTCTTGTGGCTAGGGACTTGAATTTAAGTAGGGTTCAGGGTTTAGGGTTTGGGCTTTTGTCTACGCCAACATACTAAGAAACCACATATTTACGACAGATCTCTAGAGTGGCAACGTAAATTTTCCATTTCACAAAAAAACGTGTTACCTCCCATCGCCCCTATTTATGGCAACTTAAACCCCTAAAGCCTAAACCCTAAACCCTATTCATGGCAATTTATGGCAACTTAAACTTAGGAACCCAGTCCTTGCCACTCCTTGCACTTGTCACTGTCGCACTTGCGAGTCCCCGCCTTGGAGAAAGTGCAGTCCTCGATCCAGGGCGGTCTTCTTTAAAGCCCTAAACCCTAAACCCTAGAACCCTAAACCCTAAACCCCATGCCCTAAACCTTAAACCCTAAAGCCTAAAGCCCTAAACCCTAAACCCTAAATTTTAAAGAGGGTCGCGGGTTTAGGGTTGAATACAGGGCCCTAATAATTAGAAGGTCCTACCAGGAATACAGTAATTAGAATAGGGTTTGGGGGAATGTTGTACTATAGTCATATTGAGGAAACGCCCACGTTGGCAATCCAATGCTATATAAGGGAAGCACAGTCCTTTGTCCTTTTCCCTTTTCCGAAGCTACCCCTCATCGGGCCGCTTCTTTTTTATTTGGGCACCTACTGTAAAGGAAGTGCCAAAACCCTGAACATCGACATCCTCAACCCCAAAACCCGAAAACTCAAAATCCAGACCCCAAACTCTCGATCCGAGATCCCCAACCCTAACTCCCTAAACCCCTAACCCTTAACTCTAAACCCTAGACCGTAATGAATCCGAACACCCCAACCCCCCATGATCCCAGAGCTCCTCGATGACGCCCTCGCAGATCGCCCCGTGCCTGGGCGCTTCTACATGAGCTTAATATAGGGGCGTTAATGACTAGAATAGGGTTTTGGGGGGCTCCTTTACAGGGTTCCTTTGAGGGACACTTTAAGGGATACTATAGGCACTATAGGGGTTTAGTATACTGGGGTTCATAACTAGAAAAGGATTTTGGGGGCCACTGTACTATAAATATCATACGGAACCCGCACAATACTGTTGGTCATTATTTAAGCCCCTGTCTCTAACGGTTCTTCGAAGGGTTCTTAAAAGGGTTCCTCAAAACGGGGTTCCTCTGAGGGTTGCCAAAGGGATACTTCAAGACATGATAGGGGTTTCCTGACTCTGGTAACTTAAGCTGAACCTCCACCCAAACCCCTAAACCCTAGACCCTTAACTTTTAACCCGAAACCCAAAACCCCTCAAACCCTAAACCGCCCTAAACCCTAAACTCTTAAGCCTAATAACTAATAACCCCTTGAACCCGCGCCCAGGTGCCCAAGCACCGGGTTCCCTGCGGCGCAGCGCGCACCCGTCAGCCGCTCGATCTCGTCGCTGCATTCCATTGCCTGGCCGTCCTCAGCTTTTTTGTTTTAAGGTTTAGGGTTTAGGGCTTAGGGTCTTACATTGGGGTTTAGGGTCTTACATTGGGGTTTAGGGTTTAGGGTTGAGGGCCTTACATTGGGGTTTAGGGTCTTACTTACATTGGGGTGTAGGGTTTGGGGCTTTAGCACGCTTTTAGGAAGCATCTTCATGAGCTTTTTTGTCAGAGTATGCGTGGGTATCTCCTGCGCTCTTTGTTTTGGGTTCCCGGGTTCCACTTACGTGTTCTATACAGGTTCAAGGTTTCGGGCATTCAGAGTTTGGGCTGAGGCTAGGAGGTCTGAGGCTTAAGTCGGGTTTTCGATGGGTTTATAGACTTTCTGGGGCTTCATTTGGCTTCTATGCGCTTTTTCTATGAGTTTATGGCGTTCTGCTAGGAAAACTTGGGGAATCATCTCACGTGCCTTTACGCCCACTACGATAGAATAAAACTTGAGTTCCTGAACCAGAGCCCAGCGTCGGGCATGATGAAGGTAGAGTCGCGGGCGGCGAAGTCACCCACCAGGCCGCCGGGAACGTTGAATACCGTCTCTGTGGGCAGGTCGGCCGCGGGAATGGGGGACAGGATCTCCTCGTAGAGGATTTAGGGTGTTAGGTTGTGGTTTAGGGTTTAGGGTTCAGGGTGTAGTTTTGATTATGTACTATCGAGGCTGCTGTGAGGGTTCGAGGACTTAGGGTGTTAGGGGTTTCTATTTCCTTGTAGAGTGTCGGGCTTGGGGGATGCGGAGTGTAAGAGGCTTTGCTGTAAGGCATGCAGAATGTAGGCCTCAGGATTTCTAGATGAAAGGGCTTAGTGTTTAAGCTCTCGGGAGCACGGGTGTCGAGCTTGGGGTTTAGATTATGCAGTTTAGAAAGTGGGGAGGGAGGGTGTAGATGTTTGGGGCGCTTGAACCACGATTTCCTGATAGGGCAAGCACATGGCGGGATAGTCCGGATCCAAGGAATGCATCCAAGGGCAATCGAAGATTCCGTAGTCAAACAATTCGCCGTTCATCTTCGCCTTGCCATCGGTCCTGTGTAGAACCCCAAATGCAAACAAACAAAAACACCCAAAACATCAGTCATCAAACCCGAAACCCTGCACCCGAAAAGCCTCGAACCCTAAATCCTTCATTGTGAGAGTTCTAGACCCTACGCCCTGAATTCAACAAATGAAACACAAGACCCCAAGCCCCTTCCGAACCCTGTAAACCCAAAACAATTGAAGCTCAAACCCCCCTAAACCAGTGACCCAAGATGAACCGAAGAAGCGTGAACTCCACGACCCTATATAGGTAAATGTCATCGAAAGCTCAAAATTCTCTAAACTCTGTCGTGTACCCTAAACCTTAGATGAAAATTCTCTCCAAACCTTTCAATCCTGGGAATGTAGGACGTAGACCCTAAACCCTCTTAACCTAAACCTCAACCTTAAACCTCAAAACCCTAAACCCCTAAACTCCTAAACTCTCAACCTCTACACCCAAAATCCCCCCCAAAACCCTCCAAAAAATCCCAACCCAGGTTAAACCGGGTTCTCGAATCCAGTTTCTCCAACCCAGGTTCAAACAACTATTTTCTCCAGAGTGCAGGTTCCAACTGGGTTCGGAACCTAGACCCAAGAGTAGCCTAGGAATAAAAAGGGTGCGCCCTTTTTTGGGTTTAAAGGGGCTTATAAGGGAACCTGAACCCTTAAAAAGGGAATAAGGGCCTACTCTAGGTCCTAGGAACCCAAACCCTAAACCCTAAACCCTAAACCCTATATAATGGGTCCTGGGGGTGTAGGTGCCACTGGCATCGGAGCCGTATGCCTGGTCCGTGTCCGGGTCAGTGACGTCCATGAGCCGGCGCTTTGCCACGTGCTCCTTCCGAAAGTTTTGGGTTTTGGGGTTTAAGGTTTAGGGTTTGGGGTTTAGGGTTTAGGGTTCAAGGTTCAGGGTTTAAGGTTCAGGGTTTAAGGTCTAGGGTTTAGGGCTTCGGCCAAACCCTAAACACGAAACTGCCCAGGCCCTAAACCGCTTTTTTGGAAGAGAAAGGGTGGTATTATACAGGGCTTTTAGGGGTTTAGGGTTTAAGGCTTCGGAGATTGGAGGTTTGGGGCTTGGGAATTTGAGCTTTGGGGTACAAGTACACGTTGCAAGGTTTTGCCGGGGTCATATGGGTGGTTGTCAAAATTAGGGTCCATTTTTGGGTCCTTATCATACTACGGCACTTAATATTGAAGGTACCCAAAAAGGGACCCTAATTTTGACAACCACCCACATGGCTTCTTGGCAGGATTGCCATGTTCCTTCTCAGGTACTTAAATATTGAGGGTATGATACTATAGCTACGATTGGGACCTCTGCGGAATACCTCGAGAAATTTTGACTCTAGCATGAGAGTCCCCTCCTGGATCTTCTTTGCGGTGCCATCGCTGGGGCGGTACTTGTAGCGCATGTGGTGGTCCTTCCACGGGGTCGCGGCAACGCCCCGGTAGATCCGAGCCCACCGGGATGCCCAAGCCCCCTGGCCGTTTTCTGCTGCTGCCAGAGGCAGCAGAGTCAGCCACAGCATGCGGCTTGCAAGTGTCATGCGTCACGACAGCAGACTACCCCAAAGACACCCTCACTTCAGCCAAATGCTGGATCAACACATGCGTGACCTCTGCAGGATCAAGCACGCGACGACCTGCAGTCTACGATTAATTCAGCACAACGGCATCATAGGCGCATGTGCTTGCGTGTCTCAACAAATGCTGCTCCGACAAAATCGTATCTAATATGACTCAGAATCTTATCTTATATGTACACAAGTATTTAGCGACAGAAAGAGAAGAGAGCGAGAGAGCGAGAGAGAGAGAGAGATAGAGAGATAGAGAGAGAGTGAGAGCGATAGAAAAGAGAGAGAGAGAGAGAGAGTGTGTGTGTACATACATAAATATGTACATATTTCTCTGCTCAGAAGAAGAATATATATATATATATATAATATCCATGCCGGCAGTTTCGTCCTTTTGCACCAAGCCAAGCCCGCGGCCCAGCCCGGTTAGCTCAGAAGCACACGACTTCAAAATCTCTTTCTGAAGGAGTACCGGAGGCCTCCTACACTTCTAATAGGGCCTATGGGTGCAATATACTATCAGTACAAGAAGGAGCCCTAATTGCATAGTAGGGATCTCTGAGGCAGGGGTCGCTGTGAGGGTCGTTGAACTTCATTCCATGGGCAGCCCTGTCCGAAGCCTAGCAACGCCTTACTAATCCCCCTGAACCCTAAACCCATAAACCCCTAAACCCTAAACCCTTAAACCCCTAATCCTTAAACCCTCACAAGGAATCCGCAGTTAAGAGATTTTGACAGTTGTTCTGGGCAGCTCATCTGCGGCAGCCTTCGGGGAGTCAGAGCGGACCTGCGGACGAAGGCTTTGGGTGTGGGGTGTCGGGGTTGGGTGTTTAGGTTGTGGGATCAGGAAACCCTAAACCCTGAAACCTCAACTTAAGGTTTGGGGTTTATACCATACTGTAGGGGCCTTAATAATTAGAACAGGGCTCCTAAAATGGGTTCTACAAGGGTTTCTTAGGGTTCTGGGATAGCCCCTGCTTTCTGGTGCGATCGCGCAGAAAGAATCCGGAGGATCATGGACTTGGTGAGTAAGGCTATAAGTACCTTAGTTGGGTTATTTGCTATCAGAAGTATGGATTAAGGGATTTTGGATCACGACTTCGAGCCTCCGATGCTCAACCCCCTGCGATTCTCCGGGAAGTGCGGGGCGCGCCTCAGGTTCCAGACGGTTTAGGGTTTAGGGTTTAGGGTTTAGGGTTTAGGGTTTAGGGTTTAGGGTTTAGGGTCCCAGAAAGTTTGAGTAACAATGCCTTTCAGTGTTCCTTTAGAATACAGCCGGTTTAGGTCATTGGGCATTCAGGGTGCAGAATTCAGAGTTTAACGATTTGGCACTGAACCCTAAACCTAAGCCCTAAATTTTAGTTGAGAGTTTTTTCGGCGAAGGCTGAGAGTTTTGGGGCTGACATGAGCCGAGGATTCCGTTCCTTTGGTCCCGTTACCAAGCCTTTAAAGCATTGAAAAATGTACCCAGACATCCCGATCGATCTGTCCATTTCCCTGTCTCACCCTGGTGCTTGCATCTCTATCTATCAAACAAATTCGCATGCTAGTGACAGCGTCGAAGCAATGTTTAAGGTATACAGTTGAGTTCAGTCTGCGGTGCGATGCACGTTGTTGACTGAAGACAGAAGCAATTTTGGGCGGTAGTTCTCCGCGAAGGGCAGGCTAACTTCGTCTGTTTCAGGACTTCGTCGCAGGCTGTGGTTGGCGGAGTTACCCTAAACCCTAAACTCTAAACACTAAACCCTGAACCCTAAAAAGGGTCACCTTTTAGGAAGCAGACGGTTACTGGGACCGCTGCCAAGAAGATGATTCAAGACCTTCAGAGACACCAGGGGTTTGGCACAGGGATCCATAGGCTTCCCTTCAAGGGATCTACAGGGGGTTCCTTTAAAAGGATCCACAAGTAGGCGTTCTATAAGGGATCTATAAGGTTTGGAGGTTCTGGGTTTAGGGTTTAGGGGTTTGGGTTCATATCCCGTATTACGTCTTAGACCTCAATAGCCCATACAGACTAAAAAAATACTATGATGTACTATAGCATCCCAGAGTCGACGATGGTGTACTCCAACATACTAAGTAAAGCGAAAAAAACAGGGTTTAGGGGTTCACACCCCATATTAGACCACAATATCCCACAATAGACTGTAAAGTACTATAATGTAGTATTGCATCCCAGAGTTGACTGTGATGTACTCCCATATACTAACTAAAGCGAACAAACAGCTGGCCTCTCAATTCTGCATTGACGACGATGAGACAACACTGGATGTGCTTAGAAAGATTACAGACATCAAGTCGACCAACATGTCCTAGAGCATACTATAATAGACGATGGTATACTATGATATACTGTAACAGACAATGATAGACTGCGATAGACTACAATAGACTATAATAGACTATGGTAGTCTCTAATATACTACAGTACATCCCATGCTAAGACCTCGACGAAGAGCGAGAAGAACCCCTGCGAAAACCGCGCAAGTCTATGTTCTGCCACACAGCTGCGATGCGTGCAAGCCCACACATCTCATTCTTGAAGGTTCACTGGTAGCTAGAAGTAGGTTTCACACCAAACCTCATTAGGGCTACGAGTACTGTCTTCTATAATTACCTATCTGAACTCCCTTCTCGGCCTCATCCTCGAACCCTACTTGTAAGTACCTTTGAGCCTTCAAGCTGCATCATAACTGAATGCTAGGAGGCTTTATCCTCCAGCAGGAAAACAGAAAAATGTGAAAATAACAAAGTGCCGGCTATCTCATCTGCGCCCCTGGCTACGCATACTCTGACAACGCGAGTCCGGGAGCAGAGGAAGGTGCGGAGTAAATACGATCTACCTACTTAAAGGATCATGGGACTTAGTACAATTAGGGTAACTATACTTATAACTACTTATAAACCCCAATTAGGGTACTTATAACCTTACTTACTAAGTCCCATGATTCTCCAAGTAGACAAAACCCACATCTCCAGGGTTCCTTGCTCTGCTTGCCTTAAGCATGGCCTTAAAGCGGTGGGTATGGGGGAGTTAAGCTAGGGCTAGGGTACATGAAATAAGAATAGCCATGGGCCGGTCTGGTGAAACACAATCGCGTCTGCTGGCTCAGGTACTGCAGTGAACTTCGCGCGTGTCGCCGGGCAGGATTGGAAGGGGATACGGGTGCAAGACCTTTGTCAACCAGTACCTGCACGGTTGAATCAACAACCCAAAAACCTCTGAATACCTATCTCCTGAACAAGTAGTAAACCCGGAACCCTAAGCCGTCAACCCTAAACCGTTGGCGTCGTCCAGTGCAATCGAATCACTGGGGCGCAGGTTGGAGGGCAATCTCCGAGTCCTCGCAGGGCTTGCCTCCTTTGGTGCAGGTGCGCTTGCCGTTGCTCTCCTCTAGGACCACCTGCTCCCCCTGGTACTCTGCGTAGCTCTTGGGGGTCCCAAACCAAGGTACCGGCGTGTACTTCAGGGTGAAGCTCTCACCCTTCTTGCGTGCCAAAGAGAGCACCCGCCGGAGCTCATAGGCTGGTTCGACGTAGGGCGGCTGCGTGACCTCCACCGTGGTGTTGCCACGGTTGTGAAGTGCTGAGGAACCGTGGTCATCGTCGCGGTTGTAGTAGTTCCGTGCTGCGTAGAGCTCGAAGTAGCGTCCCGGAGTGCCGACGCCCACGAGGAGGTCTCGCGCATAAGGGAGCCTGGGCTCTAGCTAAGGGGTCTATCTAATGTCAGCTACCAGAATAAGGAAACCACATGGACCTACAGTGAATCCCTAGTTCGGTAACTTCTTAAACTAAACTTATACTATACTATAATATACTATAATATACTATAATATACTATAATATACTATAATATATTACAATATACTATAACATACCGTCATTATACTATACTATATAATATACTACCTTAACAAGAACCTAGGAGCATGAGGTGGGTGGCCTCGGCAGGACACAGCTCACGCATGGTGGGGGACGTGGTCTCGTCGACGCGGATGAGGCCACCGCCGAAGGCGTCCATGGCCCAGGCAGGCTCCTTGGTCATAGTTCGGTTTAGGGTTTAGGGTTTAGGGTTTAGGGTCATAGTTGGGTAACATTTTACATGTTTATGGGTACTTAAACCCAATAAGGAATAACAAGTTCAATTTTCAATCCTATCCCAATCATGAACTGGGGCTCCGTGTTCTTGGGGTCCGCGAAGTGCTCCTGGAGTAAGCCGGTAGGGACGACGAGGTGATTGGTGCCACCCCACTGCTTCACGTTGCCGTACATGGTGCTGGAAGCCATAGCCATGACGCCAAAGACGGGTGCCAGGAAGCCATAGACAAAGCCCACGAGGATGGCGAGGAAAGAGAGCCAGGCAGCTCCCCCCAAGCGGCTGGCACGGTGCCCACTCATGATTCCCCGGAGGTAGAGGAAGCCCAGGGTTAGGAAGAGAACGCAGGCGGTGTCGACGCCCGAGTGGATGGCAAACATGGCCGCTCCAATCGCTACGCATAGGGACAGCGGAAGGAGCAGCGAATCAGACTTGCCGAGGGCCTTCGTGACGATGCCTGGGAGGAAGATCACGAAGCGGCAGCACATCGAAATGGAAAAGCCCCCGGCATAGGTCATCGGCATCAAGTTGATGGTCTGGTGGAAGGCCAAAGCCAGCACCACACCAGCAGCCGGCCTGAAGGTGAGGCAGTAGGCCACCGCAAACTCCAGGGCGGCGACGAAGACGGGTGCAATCTTCATGAAGGTGTTGGCAAAGAGGCTGCCCGCAGGAACCTGGGTTCTTGTTAAGGAGCCCTTTAAAGGAGCCCCTCTAGATCCTTTAAAGGAACCCTTATAAGTCCCTACAAGAATTACAACAAGAACCAAGGAACCAGCTCCGGTGTGAAGAGCCCGGCCATCAGCTCCGAGAGCAGAACCGGTGCGCAGGAGCCTCGGACGGTGTACCAACCTGGGTTCTTGTTAAGGAGCTTAATTTAAGTTACCATAATAAGGGAACCCTATTATTTACTATAGATCCCTTTTATGGTAACTTAATTTAAGTTCCTTAACAAGAACCCAGCAACTGGTGGTCAGCTTCCAAAACGCCGCGCTCCAGTACAGGACGCAGAGCTCCATGCGCGCTGCGGGGAGGAACCTGACAACGCACACTGAACGTCGGAGCATATGAGGGTGTTCAGCGGGTTTAAGGTATGGTAAGCTAACTTCAAGGGGGATGCTACTATTGATTTTGCAGGCCTGTTTATTGGCACACCGCGACCTGCTTTTACACCTCAGTTACGAAAGCCCCCAATTTCAACCACGATCCTCTAAATGCTCCAAATCCGTAAATCCTAGACATCCCGATGAATCCTGAACGCCAAGCGCTCTCGCCCCAGGGAAAAAGCATTCACAAAAACGGTTTAGGGATTAGGGATTAGGGTTTAGGGTTTAGGGTTTCGGGATTAAGGTTTCGGGATTAGGGTTTAGGGACAAAGACAAACGAAACCCCTCGGTGCCTCTTCGCCACCGCCTCCTTGCCGCCCCCCGCGAGCGCGGCCAAGACGAAGGTAAACTCCAGGAGGGCCGCCCAGACCTGGGTGGGCTTTGGATTAGGGTTTAGGGTTCCTTTAAAAGGGGTCTATAAGGGTTCCTATAATGGGATCTATAGCGGTTTAGGGTCTACTTAGAGGATCATGGGACTTAGTAAGTAAGGTTATAAGTACCGTAATCGGGGTTATAAGTAGCTGTAAGTATAGTTACCCTAATTAAAACCCTAGTTACTAAGTCCCATGATCCTTTAAGTAGGGTTTAGGTTGTAGGGGTGAGGGTGTAGGGGTTTTAGGGTTTAGGTTTTGGGGCTTGAGAATTTAGGGTTTCGGGTTTTCGGGGCCCCAGACACCAAACCCTACTTGGGGGATCATAAGACTTCGCCAGTAAGGCCACAATTATCTTCATTGTGTCTGTCCTACTTAGTTGGTACCCTAATCTTTAAGCCCTCAATGCTGAACCCTAACCCCTAACCCCTATGAGGCCGACTTCGGTCCCATGCATCCCCCGAAAAAAAACCCTTAAAGCCTGAACTCTGAACCCATGAGGGTGGGCTCTCTCCGTTCGTAGTCGCTCTCTTTTGTATAAAAGGCGTTTTACAAGGGCTTAGGGTTTAGGATTTCATGAGGTTCTTTGCCTGATAAAGCTTTGTGAGAATCCGAAAACTCTACCAGGGTTTTGGCAAAATTCTACCAGGGTCTCCTACAAATTCTAGAAGGGTAGTTGTCAAAAATAAGGTCCCTTTTTGGACCACCCATATAGACGTGTAGACATGCTGTTGAATGGCCCTAATCCTAAGCCCCCAAAAACTGAAGCCCTCAACCGCTGAACCCCCAAAGCCCTAAACCCCTGAGCCCTCAACATGAAAGGCTGACAGAGCCCTTATGGGAACCTTTGTTGTTCCTTTCAAGGGTCCATCTACTTAGGTACTATCAGGCCGGAGTGTACACAAGAGGTCGCCTGAAAGGAATTGAGCCCTTAAGGGGTGAGGACTTAAAGTAACCCTTAAAGGAGCCCCTTTTGTTCCCTTTAAAGGAACCCCCCTTAAAACCCCGAAGATCAGCCGAGGCACCATGTGGTCCCAGACCGCCGGCATCCAGTAGAACCACGAGACGATGTTGGCCACATGCCTAGGGTTTAGTGCTTACTTGGAGGGTCGGGAGACTTAGTAACTGGTTATTTTAGGGACTTATGAGTACCATAACCCCAATTAGGGTCCATTTTAGGGTACTTATAAGTCTACTTACTACCTACTTACTAAGTCCCCCGACCCTCCAAGTATGGGTTTGGGTTTTAAAAATATCAGGGTTTAAGGTGTGCGGGTTTAGGGCTTCGGGGTTAAGGCGTTGAGGCTTCAGGGGGTAAGGGATAAGGGTTTAGGGCTTAAGGGTTGGAAGTTGAGGGCGCGGCTTGGGGATTTGCAGGTGTGCGGCTTCGGGATTCGGGGTTTAGGGGCTATGGGGGGGCTGTGGGGGGGCTATGGGGGGCTATGGGGCGTATGGGGTTTAGGGTTTTGGGGGTTTGGGTGCTTAGTTTTGCAAAGCGCCCTGTATCGCGGCAGCAGTGGGGTATGAGCTAAGCACATACACTTGGCAAACCCAATGAAGTCTAAAACTTATAATGCAGGATCCAACATGAGGCTCTCTCTCAGCACTGCTTTAATTTCTTCCAAAACCCTAAACCTTAAATCCAGAACCTAAACGCTTAACCCCCAATCCCTGAACCTCAAACCTCTTCAAATTCCGGGTTTTAGGGTTTGTGCCTGTTAGTTTCGCCGTTGCCGGATTCAGGCTTTAGTGTCTTGAGGATTTGGGGGTTTGAGACTCTACATGCCTAGGGAGAGGCCCCAAAACACAGAAACAAAAACGGTTTATGGCTTAGGGTTCAAGGATTCAGGTTCAAGGTTTAGGGAGTATAGAGTTCATGGTTTAGGTTTAAGTGGTTGGAATAAGTGGACCGAGATGCGCAATGAGGAGCACCGAGGGGATGGGAAAGAGGAAGGAGAGGACCAGGAGCGGCAAGCCTGGGATCTGGCCCAAGTTACCATGAAAAGGAAACTGCGGTTCCTTTGGGGTTTAGGATTTTGTTCAGGGTTTAGGGCTTAGGGTTTAGGGTGTAGGATGAAGGGTTTGGCGTTTAGGGCTTAGGGCCTAAATAATAAAGGTACGGGTACCCTTTGTCTTAGTATTCGGCTTTAACAAGGGACCTCAAAAAGGGCAAAAAGGTACTGCTCAGGAACCTAGGAAGCCCTGTTATTTACTACAGGGCCTGAGCATGATAACCCCTAAACCCAACATCCTACTCTAGATCCTATTTATGGTAACCCTAAACCCTCAACCCCAAACCCGACTATAGATCCCAATTGTGGCAGCTTAAGCGGGGTTCTTGTTGAGGGATTTGGATTTTAAGTTGCCACAAATATATGGAAAAAAACATTCTATTTTCTATAGGTCCCTCTTATGGCAACTTAAGTTAAACTCCGTTTAACAAGAACCCAGAAACCTGAGTTCCTGAACCCTACAGAAACCTCAAAGGATCGTTATTTATGGTAACTGAAACTGAGTTCCTTAAGGAGAACCCAGAAACGGATCATCCAATCGTCGGGGCCCTGGTCCCAAGGCTTCAGCATGCGGTTGTCCATAGCCTCCAGGGGGATATACAAGGGTTATCTCAGGGATGTGTAATGGTTCCTTTAAAGAGATCAGCAAGGGATCTTTAAGGGAGCTGTAATGGTTCCTCTAAAGGGATCCGTGAGGGTTCTCTAAGGGATCTACAAGGGTGTTCGGCTTTAAGGGTTCCGGCTATGAGGGTTCTGTAAGGGATCTATAAGTGTTTGGAGTTCAGGCATTTAGGGTCCCTTTTACAGTTGATGTGCACCCTTTCTCCAAAGTAGCGCTGGCATTTTGCCCTCAGCCCTCAACTTAGTGAAACGAAAAATCACCTGTAGTTGTACACGTCACCAAGGCCGTTCTCTGCTGCATTGGTGCATTTAGGTTTTAGGGTTCAGGGCGTTGTGGGCTTTGAGCCTTTAGCGCGAAAAGTTTAGGAGTCGGCATAGTGGTTTTGGGAGTCCGGGTGTCTAAAACCTAATCCTAACTAAAAGGGACCTCTTTAAGGGTACTACAATATAGGGGCCTTAAATAAAAACTACCTACACTATTCTCTAACTCTGAAGCCCGACCCGAAACCCCCATTTTGGTTTGGATTTTTTGGTGTATACAAAATATGTAGTGCTCATTATTACTATTGTTGAATAATGCGTGTGTGTGTATATATATGTATATATATATATATATATATATATATATATATCATGGGATCTGGGATGGCTTCGGATTGACTGGCCTGCCCGTAGCTGCCCAAGACAAGCTTGTCGACGAAGGGCACGAATTGATGCAGGCACCAGGCACGGCCGTACCTGGGTTCTTGTTAAGGAATTTAAGTTATATACCATGATGGGGATCAACAAAGCAAATACTCTGACTTGCATATTGTGGTAACTTGATTTCCTTAACAAGAACCCAGATACTCCGCCAGGAGGTTCACTTCCTCACTTGTCTCGTCCTTCTTGCCATTCTTGGCCTTGTTGCCGTTCTTGGCATGGCCATTCGTGCCATTCTTGGCATGGCCATTCGTCGCCTCCTTGCCATTCTTGGCATGGCCATTAGTGGCCTCCTTTGGCTCCATCAGGTTTGTGAGGAAGTAGGCGGCGAGGACGAGCACCGCCGTGACGACCACGGTGGCGGCCAGGTCCGGCGCATACTCCTCGACGCTTGGGGCGTCGGGGGTCCTAGGGTGTAGGCCTAGGCATTTAGGGTTTAGGGCTTTAGGGCTTTACGTTTGCTCCTCGATGAGCTTGATCTTGTCGTAGTCTGACATGACCGCTGCAACTCCGGACAGAACCAGCGGTGCAGGCGAGTGCTTGAGCCTTGACTTACCAGGCTTGAGCCAAGCTCTCTGAAGCGGAGGACCTGCGGACAATGCACGCTCCAGCCTAGCGGTTTAGGGTTCAGGGTTTAGGGTTTAGAGTTAAATAAGTAGTGATAGTATCACTGTATAGTCCCTGCGTGACTATGCTATGAATATACCCCAAAACCCGACTCTAATTGGTGTTACTACGATCCACATCTCCATCTTCGGCATGTTCTAGGCTCCCATCAACTGCAGGGGACCGCCTTGTGCGCGGGAAAAGGCTCTGCGTGGCCTTCCAGTGCCTGAGCTAAGGGAGCAGGTTTCTATAAAGGATCTGAAGGGCTTGAGGTTTAGCATTTAGGTGCGGGTTTCAGAACCACCCCAATTACCAACCGACTCAAATGGAAAAAGTCGTCGTCATGGATCTTTATATTACAGTTCAGTTCTATACTATCACTGTCATCAACATTATCATGATCAGAACAAGTTCGTCATGCGCATCATCGCCGCAATCATTCATGTCGTCATCAGCAACACCACTCACCAGGAATACTAGTAACCTTTTGCATCGTCATGGTCCACAGCCTGGTAGTAGCCATAACAGGGCCGCTAGCAGCTATATACACGTACCGTTTTCAAGAAGACTCAGCACGTCATTCACTCACCGACCGTCACTCATGTGCGAACCAGTTTATCCGATATCAACCGATGAAGTATGCGTAGGCCGTCGTACATGGGAGTTGCATGTAATGGTCTGAAACAGTTGCCATAGACGGCTGACAAAGTTGTTCCAAGCATGCACATGGTCCTTAGTGCCTCTGACGTCCGTTCACGTTCTCTGCATCAAGGCTTGGGGTTTGCGCCTTTGCACGAAATTGAAAAATCCATGCTAGCATTCCCTTCAAGGCACCTACATTCGGAATGGTTTGCGAACCGACCACCTCGACGAAGGCAACGAAGGACCGCAACTTAGAGCTACCCCGTGCATGTTCCAGCCCGTTCGCAGGTAGGTTGTGTTTTGTTCGGTACAACCTGAGCGTTGTCCACTATGGAACCTTAGTTGCCATGAGAAGGAAACCGGATCCCAATTGTGGTAACTTCAACTCATTTCTTCATCAGAACTCAGGTTTAGGGTTTAGGATGCTGGCTCGGAGTTGCTAAGGGGCACAGACAGACAAAAGCGTCTGATCCTCAAGTTCACAGTTCTCAAGGGCGGGCTTGTGTATACAGTATAGCTACAAATTAAGGCCCTACATTATGCGCTTCTGCGAGTATAAGTTTTTTTCAACTCGCAGTAATATCGGTCTCAGTCCCAAAAGGTTATTCAGCTCTATAAACGCCGAAAAACTTCTTGCCCGTCTACAAACCCATAACAGCCCTAAACCCTAAACCCTGGTTCCTGCAAGCTGCGAGCATGGGGGCTGACTGCCACAACCAGGGACGTGGCCTCGAGCCGGTGCAGATGTTTAAGCTTTCTGCGGTTGTGCGGCCCAGGATGCGGGTTTGCGCTTGAGAGATTAAGGCTTTTTTGGTGGATTTGGGGTTTAGAGATTAGGGCTTCTATGGTTTAGGACTAGGGCTTTTATGGTTTAGGGATTAAAGCTTTTTGGGGGGGTTGAGGTTTAAGGATTAGGGCTTTTATGGTTTAGGGAGCTACATTGGTTCCGCCTTCCCAGGGCACCTAATGTCATCGCACGAGAACCTCGAAGAGACGAAAAGCCGAACCGTATTCGGATGTTCGACACTTTGCACGTCCCTGTGTTTATCGAACTTGTCCGTGCGTTTCGCGACTTTTCGATTTATGGCCTTTTCCATCTGCAGAAACTTCAGGTCGGGAACTTTTCGACTTGTGCGTGGTGTAGGCGAGTTTGATGCACTGGTCAGGGGAGCAAGGGACAATCATTCTGACATCTAAGCAAAAGCGCGGCCATGCACCGTACACGCCTTTGTATGTGAAAAGCGGGGCTAAAGCAATAGTTCATAAGGAAGCTTGTAACTACAAGAAATGAAAGCTTCCGAAGCAACTAGAATAAGCCCTGTATCCTGAATCATGCCAAATCCCAAGCCGAGCCACCTTCTGCAACTATGAGCTTACCCTTAACTACCAAAACCTACCTTCATCCCTATAAGCTCCGCATTCGGGCTTGTACTCGCAACGTACAATAAAGTAAATCCTGGTAGTCGAAGGTAAACCCTAAATCCTGAACCCTTATAGAGCCATCATAGATCCCTGAGATCCCTTTCACGAATCCCGTACCGGACTGCCTCACAGGTCCTCGGCCACAGTTGCTTCGATGAACTCTCAGCCGCAACACCTTCGTGTTTGGGGTTTAGGGTTTGGGGTTTAGGGTTTAGGTTTCAAAGTTTAGGGTTTCTGGCTTAAGGGCTCTTTTCCGTCTGCATGTGGGTTTAGGGTTTAGGCTCCGGAGTTCAATGTTCCATTGCTGAGCATTAAAGCTTCGTGCTGGTATTGAGGTTGCTTCGTCACAGAATGCTTTTCCACAGTTGGCGTTCTTCGAATCGCGACTATGTCCACGTCTAGATCGGTCAAAGGCATAGGCCTGTCATGGTATCCGACACCGTTCTCAGTTTTGGCGGACGAGATTTGCTGTTGGCTTTGGCTTTGGGTCGTGATATTTTTCCAACTTATCAGCATGATGATGAAGCATTCTGCGAGGGCGCATGCTTTACAAGATGCTCCCCTTGACCAACCTGCAGTCAACCCATTCCTGCACGCACTGAGATTCGAACCATGACAATGAAGACTTCGTCACCTGCCGAGACCAGTGTCCGCTGGGTGGCGCATTGTCTTATTGTGAAATATTGCTGTTGTATTTGCAGTTGTGAGTGCCAGCACGACTACTGCTGCTGCCACGGCGGCGCTGCTAGAACGCCTCCCCTTTATCCTCCTCCTCTCCTCCTCCCTCCTCCGCCTTCTCCTACATACAAATACCAGCAACACCACCAACAGCAAGACCACAACCAACAGTTACACCAGTACCAATATCACTACCACTCGCACTAAAGTGGCCACGACCACTACCACGGCTACTGTATCACCACTGCAACCACTACTCATGTCCTCCGGCCCCTCCTCTTACTACTACCACGACCACTATATACACTCCATTACCACTTCCACTACCACCACCACTGCCACTACCACCACCACTGCCACTACCACTACCCCTACCCTTACCCCTACCTTTACTGCTACGCCTGCCACTACCCCTACCCCCGCCACCACCCCTACCACTTACCTTAAACCCGAAACCCTGAACCTGAAACCATCAACTCAACTAAAGAAACCCGTAAATCCTATTGCCTCAAGACCCTCAAATCCTAAAACTCAGGACCCTTAAACCCTGAAACCTCAGGACCCTTAGACCCTGAAACCTTAGGACCCTAAATCCAAAAGCCTTGGGACCCGTAAATAAATCCTAAAACCTTAGGACCCTTAAATCCCTAAACCGTAGGACCCTAAAGTCCAAAAGCCTTGTGACCCTCAAACCCTAAAACCTCGGGGCCCTTAAACCCTAAAACCTTGGGACCCTTAAATCCTAAAACCCCAGGACACTACAGTCCAAAAGCCCTAGGACCCTTAAATCCTAAAAACCTCACGACCCTTAAATCCTAAAAACTCAGGACCCTTAAATCCTAAAAACCTCAGGACCCTTAAATCCTAAAGACTTCCAAGGGTCCTAAAGTCCTGAATCCTCCTAGGAACCTAAAGTCCTAAAGCCTCAGGACCCTCAAGTCCTCAACTTCTTCCAGGGCACTAAAATCCTAAAGTCCTAAAGGTTTAGGACCCTTAAGTCCTAAACCCGAAGCCCTAAACCGTAAACCCTTAGCCCTAAAGTCCTAAAGCCCCCAGGGCCGAAGAATCGATGCCGGAGAGGCCTCGCCCACCCCCTGCGAAGGAGATGCAGAGGCCGTGCAGCTGGAGCCTGGTTTAGGGTTTAGGGTTTACAGTAGGGTTTAGGATTTAGGGTTTAGGTTTTAGGGTTGGATCTTAAGGGCCTTTTAAGGGATCCAGAAGTAAGGGTTCTATATAGGTTTAGGGTTTAGGAACTGGGGATTTAGGGCCGTAGGGTTTGGGGCTTTTGGGGTTTAGGGTTTAGTTGTTATGGTTTGGGGTTTGGTTTTAGGGTTTAGGGCTTTTTTATGGGTGAGGGTTTAGGGTTTGGGGTTTAGCGCTTTAGGGGTTAGAGTTGAGGGTCTAGGTGGTTTGGAGAAAAATAGCTACGGTTGTGTGACGATAGCAACTGATGATGCTGTGGCATGTGTCCTCATACTATGTGAGAATTCTCAGCTTGCATCCAAGCATTCGTAGTGGTTCGCATTGGCATTGGCACTTGCACAACCACGAGGCCTTATCTTAGCATCACTTCGAGTTGCTATTGGCACCCCTCGGAGCCGCAAGATCACGACAATTTTATGCTTTAGGTGATATCATCATCTTTAGAAGGTAGTACGGTGTAAAGGACTTAGGATCATGGACTCTAGGGGCTGTAGGGTTGAAGGATTTGGGGTTGCAGTGTGCTAGCTTCACCGCATCGTGTCGAACGCTTGGAACTGGGGGTTTGGGGTAGCACTATATCGACATGGAAAGACAGACTTGTAGACATGGCACACACATGGACCGACAGAACGACAAACTTATACAAGAAAGCAGAGACATGCATCCCGGTACACATACCGGTGTAGACACAGGCAAACACAACGACAGTGCACATGCAAATAATGGTATGCACGCATTAACGACTGTCACACGCACAAGCTACCGCCGAGTTCTAAAATGCCACCGATAAACGTCAGGATCGCGGTTGCACCAGTCTACCGCAATCGCACACACGCCACATCAACGACGTCATGTCAAGCCCGCCAAAATGAAACAAAAGCGCACCGGGGCAGCAGGAGCACTAGAACATGACGGCGAACGCCCTAATCGCTAAACCCTAAACTTATATAATCCCCAAGCCCCATACCCTAAACCCTAAAGCCCGAACCCGCAACCCTCATCCCTAAACCCAAAATCCCTTAACCCCAAACCCTCATCTCTAATCCCTAAACCCCAAGCCCTTCCCCCCTAATCCCAGATCCTCAGACCGTTTCCTGGGTCTGCTGGCCCTGCAGCAGGAACACCAGGAACGATGGATCTCTTCTGGATGAGGGCTTAGGGTTCAGGGTTTAAGATTTTGGGTTTAGGATTTAGGATTTAAGGTTTGGGGTTCAGGGTTTAGGATTTAGGGTTTGGGGTTCAGGTTTTGGATTTAGGGTTCACGGTCAAAGGCTTCAGGGTGCATGTTTAAAACAACACCAATAGCCTGTGACAGTTCTATGAGGGTGGGCGGCTTAAGGCTTTGTAACTGGGGTTTACGCTACTTGGAGGATCATGGGATTCAGCAAGTAAGGTTATAAGTACCTTAATGAGGGTTATAAGTAGTTATAAGTATAGTTACCCAAATCAGATTTCTAGTTACTAAGTCCCATGACCCTTTAAGTATACCCTATAGATCCCTTATAGAAACCTTACAGATCCCTTTTAAGGAGCCCTTTTAAGGAACCCTATAGTTACTAAGTCCCATGATCCTTTAAGTAAGGGATAAGGGCTTAGGCCGCAAGTGTAGGGCTGAGGGTTGAGGGCCAGGTCTGGGGTTCAGGTCTGGGGCTCAGGTTTCTTTACTGAGTTTATGGGGTGAAATGAGATGTGGCTTTACTTAGAGGTTTTGGGGTAGTTTTAAGTGGGGTTATAAGTAAGATAACTCTAATTATAGGCCATATTTGGGGACCTATGACTACACTTGTAGCTACCGATGAACCTCCAAGTAGCAAGGGCAGACAATGGGATTGCCAGCTTTTGCGCTTGAGGTTTATAGTTCTTAGTTTCGAAGCTCGGGGTTTGGAGTTCGGGGTTTAAGGTATAGGGTTTAAGGGTGCAGCGCTTCGGGTGTAAGGGTTTGGGCTTTAGGCTCCCTGCCTTAGCTTGGCTATAAGGGTGTTGTGTTTAAGGTGCAGCTGGTTCAAACCCCTAAACCCCTATACCCCTAAACCCTGAACCCTACACCCTAAAGCCCAAAACCCAAAACCCTAAAACCCTAAAACCCTAAAACCCTAAAGCTCTGAACCCTAAACTCTAAACCCTAAACCCTCGTAAGTCTTGCTTCAGGCATGGAGTCTCCCGTTCTGCTCAGCGTGCGGTGGTGAATTCAACAGCTCCGAGAACCCGGGACCCCCAAGCCGGAAAGCTCAGACTGGGCCCAGGGTTTAGGGTTTAGGGTTTAGGGTTTAGGGTTTAGGGTTTAGGGTAATTTGGGTTTGGGGTTCCCTCTTCGGCACTTTGCGGTGGTTTGGAAGGTCTCATGGGCATTGTCAGCGTGCTTTAACTACTGGGTCCATAGCTTTAGATTGGGTACGGACCCCATGCAGTAACAGTCTATAATATGGCTACTATTAAGGTCTTAATATATCTATACTATGAATACTATCCAACTGTTACTGCGTGGGGGCAGTACTCAATCCATACCCATAAGACTACAAACTCCGAAAATCGGAAGGTTAGGCTTGGACACCCCTAAACCCTCAACCCTTAAACCCTAAACTCCACCTTGCAGAATTACGGAGCTTGATTCGCTCTTCCCGTCCTCGGCACATCCCGTCTGGGAAATCAAGGCTCTTCGCAATGAGGAGGTGGCAAATTCTGGAGATTCCTCGATTTCAATAGCCCCCAAAAGCATTGATGGTTGGAGTTTGTGGTTTGTAGTTTAAGGGTTTCGAGGTTTAGGGGTTTAGGTGTTCAGGAGTTTAGGAGTTTGGGGGTTTGGGGGTTGAGGGTTAGGGTCCCAGATTGACCCAACTAGGCAGAAAAATATCCCATGTCGGTACCTCGCCGAGATTCCTCAGGAAGACGAGTTGGTGCGCCGTCCTCTTCTGCGTCTCCTTCGGCGACTCGGCGCCGAGACCCATCTTCTCCCAGAAGTCGTCTGGAAGCCTAGGGTTCTTGCCAAGGAACTAAATTTAATTACCATCATTGGGATCTTTAAGGGCTCCTTTAAGGGCTTAGGGTTCTTGATAAGGAACTTAATTTAAGTTTCCATGATTTAGGGTTCCATTAAGGGCTTGAGAATGGTTTAGGGGTTACGGTTAAGGAACTTAACTTAAATTGCTATAATTGGGATCTATAGTAAATAGCATGGTTTCCTTATTATGGTACGAGTCATGTACCTTTGGTGCCTTCAACCTTAAGCCCTAAACCCTTCAAGGAGCCCTTGTAGATCCTTGTTATGGTAACTTGACTTAAACCCTTAACAATAAACCCCAAACTATCTTAACAAGAACCCAGAAGCCCGGGTAAGTTAAACCAAAAACCCTAAACCCTAAACCCCTAAACCCCTTAACAATAACGCAGGAGCTTCTTCAACTTCTCCTTCGTGTTGTCTACAAGGCGCTGGAGCTCATCGAGGCTACTGTAGTGACGCAGCACCTTCTCCATGTAATATACAGAACAGGGTTTGGGGTGATATTCTACTACAATTATGATAAAGAACCGTAATTATTAAAGCTATAACTATAATAAGGAACCCCCAAGATAGTCTTGGTAATTATTAAAACCCCTACATGAATGCCGCAGCACCTTCTCCAGGTACTCTTGCCGGAACTTGCCCCTGCCCTTGTCGAAGCCTCAGCTCTCTTGTCAAGAATATTGGGAGTTTCCGAAATTAGGGGTACCTTATCTTGGGGTCCATATAATAAGGGTCCTATTATTTAGGGTACTATATTTGGGCCCCCTATTTTCGGAAACTCCCAATTATTTCAAGCTACCATAGCTCGGAAACCATATCCTCGTTTATTGTAGCTTGTAGATCCCTCTATTATGGTAACTAAAACCAAACTCCTCCCTGAACCCTAAACCCTAAACCCCCTAAACCCCTAAACCCCCTAAACCCCCTAAACCCCCTAAACCCCCTAAACCCCCTAAACCTTAAACCCGAAACCCTCACCTCAAACCCTGGAACAGGAGCCCAGAAGGCCGGGTAACTTAAAACCAAAAACCCTGAACCCTAAACCCCCAAACCCCTATAACCCCTAAAGACCCTAAACCATAAACTCCCATAACCCCTAAAAACCCCTAAAAACCCCTAAAAACCCTATAAAACCCCTTAAAACCCTAGAGCCTCTTAATTTTTAGAAGCCCAGACGCCCGTGAGGAACTCAGAGATGGCTTCCCTGGTCGCCGGGGAGTGGCATGGCTCCTGAGGAGACTCGGGCTCGGTCTCCTCCTCCACCTGTGGATTTCCGAAACTTTGGGGGTACCTTAAGCTTCCTTTAAAGGGTTAGTATAAGGGCACTATAAGGGAACCTTTAAAGGGCTCTATAAGGGTGTAGAGTTTTCGATTTGGGGGTCCTTATAATAAGGATCCTACCATCTAGTGTACTTTTATGGGGTCCCTATTCTCGGAAACTCCCACCTGGGAACCCTCGCCAGCAGCCCCTTGGAGTTCTTGAAAGCCTTGTGTAACTTGTCCCTCTTCGCCTTGGAGCTGCGACTCCTCCGGTGAGTCATCGAGCTCTTCCTCGACGTCGAGCTCTTCCACTTCCACTGCCGCAGGATTTCGGGACATCGCTGGGTCCCCCATCTCGTCTTCCTCTACGCTGATGGTAGGCTCAGGCTCCTGAACCATCGGCTCTTCGGGCACTTCGGGCCGCATATGGGCCCGCCAGCCGATGGCCTGCTCAAGAAAGGCCGTCCGATCCGTGTTTACATACACGGCAACCCACCGCAGACAATGCAGGATGCGGTCGAAGTGCTCGCACCAGACACCCAACTCTGTCGCTCCAGCCTGCAGGCACAACTGAGTTAAGCTCCGCTTGATGAGGTCGAAGAGAGGCTTCTCAGAGTCTACACAGCGTTTGGCAGCGACAGAGTCGGACGTCCCAGACATGCGCCACTCCATCAGGTGCACATGCGTGGCCAGAGCAGGATGAAAATGACGCAAGAACGCATCAGCCTGAATGGCGAGCTGCGGCGAAGCGGATGCCCGCACATCACTCAAATCCTTCGCAAAGCCATCCGCGTCTGGGACTTGGACAGGAAACATTTCCTGGGCTTCGAAATAACCAGGGAGACAACAGTACAGACTTCTATTTCATAATAGTCCCCTGTAGGTACCAGAGCGCAAAATTATTAAAGAATGGTACTCCAAAGCCCAGATTCAGTCTCCTGCTGCGGCAATCGCTGCCACAACCTCCATGCGCGAGTTTCCGGAAACTCCCACATGGACCCCTAAACCGTAAACCCTGTAGAACCCTTAAAGGAGCCCTTAAAGGAATCCTAAAGCCTCCGTATGTTCCCTAAACCCTAAGCCCTAGGAAACTTCCCTAAACCCTAAACCCTGTTATCGGAAACCTCCACGCCGCTTGATTGAAGAACTCGGGGAATGCGACCTTGCCCCACCGCAGCTTCCCGAGCTCCGTGCACCAGGCTAAGAGGGCTTGGCGGTCACCTGGGGGGTTGATCCAATCATGGGGCCCTTGTGGTTTGTACTATGATATACCCCTTATTAGTTTAGCAGACCAAAACTATAGTATACTCCTTCCTTATTGGGTTTAAGTGCCCATAAAAATGTGAAATGTTACCCAACTATGACTAAGTTATACCTTAAAAACCCAAGAGGGTGCCATAGTTTTGATCAACCCCAAACCTGCTCTGGTCGAAGAGTGCAAGACCTGCGCGGCTTTGGCAGCAAAGCACTGGCTCTGGATGGCGATGGCGATGGCGGTGAGCTCCTTTGCTGTCTGCGGCTTTCGTTGCGCTCTGCATGTCGAGGCAATCTGACTGCAGCTTGCACTTGCTCTGCAGATGGCCTGCCAGTTTTCGGGGAGGCATCTGACCCAAGCCTCCTTCAATGCTTCGAAGGCATCCAAGATAGCATTGAGCTCATCATTCAACATCTCCTCCTTGCACCACCGTGTCAGGAGCCTTTCTAACAACAAGGCCAAGTGACGGAGTGGCGGGCTCCGTGAAAGCAGGGCATCCAAAAGCTGAAATCTCTGTCCCGAAAGTTCTTTGCCCCGCAACTTTGCCGCTGCCGGGAGCCACGACTCCAGGATACACTGCCGGTCATCGAATTCCTTCTGAGAGATGGCTAAACGAAGCTTTCCAGCCCACAAGCTGCCCCAAACAGGCTTTGCCTCAGCAAAACGCAAGCGTTCGATCAGCAACTCCGTCGCTTGAGCGAGGGGCTGCTGGCCCTGGTCAAGCCGCAGCAAGTCCTCCTGCGATGCCCTCTGGAGGAGCAGCAGACAGTGAGTGACGAAGAGCTGTCAGGGCTCCGAAATCCTAAACCCTAAGCCCTTAACCTAAAACCCCAAAAACAAAAAAGCCTAAGGCTAAAGCCCTAAGCCCTTTACCTATGGTAAACCCCATAAAGTTGGAAACCGGATTAAGGCCAAATAGTGCTGGGGTTCTCTATACATTACTCTTGGGGGTTGAGGCTATGGGGTTTCCAACTTTTGGGCTTCTACTGTAAAGCCCCAAAAGCAAAAAAGCCTAAAGCAGGAACCCTAAGCCCTTAACCTAAAACCCCAATAACAACAAAGCCTAAAGCTAAAACCCTACGTCTGAGAAACCATAAAGCTGCAACCTAAACCTCAACCTTTGGAGACCCAAAGATCTGCCTGAGTACTGGCAACATCCCTCGTAGTCCCTAGACGGTTTGAGTATACTACTACCTCCCAAGTCCCTGTCTACAACTCTTAAAGCTCCCAGAGCCGTTATAGCACCTATAAGAGCAACCTTTTAAGGTACCGTAGTCTAGGAGGTTCATGGGTAATTACAAGTGGGGTTATAAGTAGGGTAAGTATAATTACAACCCATATTAGGGGACTTATAACTCCACTTATAACTACCCATGAACCTCCAAGTAGAACCCCAAAGCCTACAGAACCCCTTTACCGTCTGGTGCTTAGTAGGCAATGGGGGAATGGATCTCCATAATCCATTCCCCATGCCCTACTAAGAACCAGACAGCCTACATAGAACCCTCAACCCCTATAGTATAACCCTTATAGTATCCCTGAAAGGAGCCCTTATAGTGCTAACGGCCTGCAGGCTTTGACTGGAGGCTTTCTGCTCCTCGACGCTCATGTTGGCCAAGAGCTTTGCCGCCTCCCCAGGGCCCAGAAGTTTAGGGTTCAGGGTTTGCAGGGGGTACAGGGTTTAGGGTTCAGGGTTTGCAGGGGTAGAGGGTTCAGGGTTTAAGGTTTCCAAAAAATATAGGGTTTAGGGTTTCCAGGGGTATAGGCTTTAGGGTTTAGGGTTTTCAGAGGTTTAGGGTATAGGGTTTAGGATTGGAGGCTGAGGATGAAACGGAACATGCTGTAGTATTTGTACAAGGGCTTTTCAATCATTTTAGTAAGGTTCTATCGAGTTTATAGAGGCCTCAACAGGTTTCACTGGGCGTTTTCATAGAGGCTTGTATGGTTGCGAGTTGTAAGTTGTAGCTGCGATTTGTAAGGGCTTCATAGGTCAATGTTAAGTGGCCTGGCAAGAAAGATAAACACCGAGCAAAGATTGGGACAACCCCAAGTACGAACAGTTTCACGTATCGTCAGATCTGCTGATCCGAAAGCCCTTTGAATCCTCATCGCTCTGAGGATTGTCACAGTCATTAACTATGCGTGCTGTTAAGCCTAAACTGCTTGCGATTTTTCTCCATGGTGTGGTGATGCTGCCGCTGCTGCTGCCGCTGCTGCTGGTGGTGGCGGTGGTGGTGTCTGTGTAAAATTACCAACACTATCTTGGGGGTTCCTTATTATGTTTAAAGTATAATATACACCACAACCCTCTAATATCAAGGCCCCTATATCACCCGATTCCTTCATGACTCGGTCTTACATGAGTACCGTGGCTAATGCAGGGGCCTTAATAATTAGACTAGGGTTTTGATTTTGGGGCCCAGTATAATACAAAAAGGAACCCCCAGGATAGCACTGGTAATGGTTTAGGCACCTATAGTACTGTTGTTGCTTCCTGCTGCTGTGAAGCCTTTCAGTCCGTACCCGTGTCATCCCTCAGAGGGAGAGAGTCTACAACCTGCTGAGGGCTGCATGAAGTTGCGGCCGTGAGAGCAAGTGTGGAGGTGGGATTCAGTCGAGGGTTTCCGGCTTACGCTTTGAAGAGAGCTTTGGGTTTAAAGTTCGGGGTTCGACGCAGAGTTGGGAAACATGAGTTCAACTAGTAATATAAGGACCTTAATAACTAGAACGGCGGCTTGGTGCCCACTATACTATAACTATCAGAACCAAAATAGCGCAGGTACTCATTTAGGTCCCTATATTACACGCTCCCATCATGATGATTGAGGGCCCCGGTCTGCCCCAAGTATTCTTATCTTTACTGCCATGGGCCGGCGATGGCTTCCATTTCATGAAAACAGCACTCCTTACGGCACGTGGGTGGGGTAGTTACTGCCCCGGGATTTGAACATGAAGAGCCAGTGCGTTTCATGTGTCTGTCCTCGTCGTTCAGCCAGGTTTTCCTCTCCGAAGCTCTTCTGAAACTTCTGCACGGTTCAAAACTATCTGGACAGAGGCTTAGCCTCGATTGTTTGTGGCGATTTAGGCTTAGGGTTTGGGATTTGGTAGATAAGGTGTAGGATTCTAGATCATGTTGAGGAACTAAGATTTAGGGTTTAGGGTTTAAGGCAGGCCCCTGAACACTTTAGAGACGAAACTCGATTTCGGTCAGCGCCTGCAACCCCAAAACCTGGCAGACGATAGTCCTAGGGGCAGATGACCAGTTTTCCTTTCCAACTACTGCATTTCGGGCTTTAGGGTTCTTGGTTTCGGTAGGGGTGAAGGCGATCATGAGGGAACTTAGCTTTTAAGAATTAGGGCTTAAGGCCTGAAGCCTGCATGACATACATAAGTATACAAACTATGGGTATGGGTGTGTGTGTGTGTGTATCTGTGTGTGTGGGTGTGTCTGTGTATGTATGTGCGTGTGTGTGTGTGTGTATATATATATATATATATATATGTTCTTTTTTGTTTATATATATATGTGTGTATAGATAGCTAGATAGATACACTTGTGTATATACATAATATATGTATACACAATGCATATCTCGCGCGCCTCCAGCACCCAGGAGCAAACCTGGCTGTCGGCCTTCGTCTTTTTCCTCAACGCCTGGTTCTGCGGATGCAAGGTCCGAGGAATTAGGATTTAGGGTTTAGGGTGAGCTAATGGTTTTCTGGGCAAAAAACCCTTAAATCCACGAAGTCATTAAGGTTTAAATATATATGATAAAGAGGTTGAGTTTAGGTTTTAGGGTGGGTTTAGGGTTTAGGCGATTTAGGGTTTAGGTTTAAGGGTGGGTTTAGGGTGTAGGGATTTGGGATTAGGGTTTGGGGGGAAAGGGTTCACGGCTTCGGGCTAGGGGATTGGGGTTAGGGTGTGGGTTGTGAGATGTAACCCCAAACCCTAAACTAAACCCTACACTTCAAATCCTCAACTAACACCCCTAAACCCTAAACCCTAAACCCGAAGGTTTGGCTTCAAGATTAAGGCATCGGGTTTCGAGTTAGGGACTTGATGCTCCTTGTGGCGCCCCTCCCAACTTTGCGGATCCTCGTCCTGTCAGTCTGAGGTGGTAAGAGGGCTTCTGACTCTACAGGGCTTGGGCTTCAGGGTTTAGGCTGTAGGGTTTAAGACTTAACGTTTAACGTTTATGTTGGGGGGCTTGGATTTCGAGTTTTCGGTTTAAGGAGGAAGGCTTCGGGAAAAGGGACTATGGCTCTGTGACAGCTGCACATAGTCTGAACGTCGTGATGCTCTCTAGGTGGCCTTGGGTAAGTACTATAGGTTTCCGAGTGGGCACGGGTTTAGGGTTTATCCTTTTCGATTTAGGTCCAGGGCTTATGGCTGCTTGATTTAAGCTGAATACGCCCCCCCCCCCCCCCGATCCACTCCGCCGATGCTGGCCTTGCTTGTACAGTAGGCCTTCATCTAGCGAAAGAACCAAATGGCCATGACTTGACAAGGTCCAGGGTTTAGGGCTAGGGTCTAGGATTTGGGTTTGGGGTTCCCTCTTCGACACTTCGCAGTGGTTTGCAAGGTCTCATGGGCATTGTCAGCGTGCTTTAACTACTGGGTCCATAGCTTTAGATTGGGTACGGCCCCCATACAGTAACAGTCTATAATATGGCTACTATTAAGGTCTTAATATATCTATACTATGAATACTATCCAACTGTTACTGCGTGGGGTCAGTACCCAAGGTTTAGACATTCCAAACTCCTTGAGTCTTCGAGTAAGGGAACCTCAACTCTTCTTCAGCACAAGTTTGCGATTGAAGATCTGCAACTCACAACCTTGCACTGTCGAAAACCCCCAAGTACAGCTCCGGAACCGCGAAAGCAGGCCGACATGTCGTGAACGGACACGTCGTCGCGACATGGTCACTATGACTGCCAGATACTGTGCCTGGCTGCTATTGAACTTGTCATTTTACGCAACACGACTATGATACACAAGTGTTTTGTCCGTAGTGGCTCGGTCATGAGCATGCTACGACTGTGCCATAGATGAATAATTATAGGCTTGCCTTGTCGGCAGAATACGACGTTTGCCGAGCCTATAATGACGATGATGACGACGACAACGACGATTATGATGGCCATGATGATGTTCTGATGGCTATGAGGATGACGATGAAGATGAAAACGATGATGCGGATGCTGATGATGATGATGATGTTGATTGTGATAATGATGGTGATGACGGTCATGACGATGATGGTGATGACGGAGTTGGTGGCGATGATGATGACGAGGGTGATGATGATGATGCTCATGATCATGATGATGATGGTGAGCGGTGATGGTGCTGGTGATGTTGTTGATCATGATGATGATATTTCATGCTGCTGTTAAAAACGAAGCATAGTGACAACAAGCACAAGTGATGTCAACACCTCTCCGACATGCAACAAAAACACACTACATTGCGTCCTCTTCTTGCCCAGTCGAGCGCTTGCGCTTCGTGCCCGAAGAACCTGGGACTCTGCTTGGGAAGCTGGGGGCTTTCGGGTTGCCAACATCGAAAGTAGTAAGCAAGGGCTCGTAGCAGTTGACGCGCTTTATGAGTGATCTTAGCCTTTGGACCTCATTTACTAAAGCTGTTCTATCGTGCAAGGATCTCAGGTTGGGAATGCCTCGGCTTTCAGCATGCTTCATCCGGACTTGTGTTGTCGGTCGGTCCACGGGCAACGAGGCCAGCGATGCGGGCCTCTATGCCTTTTGTACAGTATCAGTACGAGACAACGCCTCAACGAAATCAAGCGCCAAATTTACGAATCAACATCAAAGAAACGAAGTACTCAAAACGATATAACAGTGAATCAATATCTCACAAGTAAGGTCGGAATATCAAGTTTGGAAACTTTACCGAAGGGCTTTCGGAGCCTAATTTCAGACTTAAGCATGCCAGACTCCGAGAATGTTGCCCCACCACCTACTCTCAAATCTGAAAAGCCTTAAGCCCTAAACTCTGAGCCCAAAGCTCTGAACCCTGAACCCTAGCCTCACTCCCCCAGGCCCGAAAGCCCAAACACGAAACCGGAGACCCCCAGCTGGCGTACGCGCGCCAAACCTTCGAACCCAAAAAACCCCGTGGAAGCCAGTCGTGGGCCGCCTTTCATGCCGCCCAGAAACCACCACCCTTCTCGCTCTTCGCCGCTTGCAACTGGGGAGTTGAAGGTGAGAGGAAAGTGTCGGTGGATTCCTAAATTTCTCGGGGTTTGGCGGACCGCCAACCCTAAAGCCCTTACGCACCTGAACCATAAACCACAGACTCTTAACCCTTGCCTCTCTTCACCTCCGCTGAAATCCAAGGTAGGGCTACGAAACTGTACTGAAGCCCAAGGTATACCTACGAAAACCCTACTAGTACCAAGACTACTACTACTACTACTACTACTACTAGTAAAGCCACCACTACCACTACCACTACGACTACCACTACTACGACCACCGCCACCACCACTGCCACCACTTACTAACATACGTACTGCCACCGGGGACCTCCTTGGCTAACCCTCAGAACCCCCCTAAACCCTGAACCCTAAACCCTAATTCCTAAACCCTAAGCCCTAATAGCCCTAATAGCCCTAATAGCCCGAGTAGCCCTAATAGCCCTAATAGCCCTAAACCCTAAACCCCGAACCCCAAAAAACCCTTAAACCCCTAAACCCCTAAACCCCTAAACCCTAAACCCCTAAACCCTAAACCCCCAAACCCCCAAACCCCTAAACCCCTAAACCCCTAAACCCCCAAACCCCCAAACCCCCAAACCCGGTACCTCCTTGGCCATGAGGAAGAGCATCGCCGCCCTCGCAGAGGTGCCGCTCTCCGAGGAGTCGAGCTCCGTCTCCTCGGAGCGAGGGCCGAGATTTTGGGGATAAAGGGATCACCGGAGACCTGGTCATGCTGGGACTTAGTAAGGGTTCTTAAAGGGCTCCTTAAAGGGATCTCTATAGAGTTCCTTAAAGGGATCTATGGGGTTTAGGGTTTAGGGGGCAGTGGACTTAGTAAGTCGTTTATAAGTAGGGTTATAATTGGGGTAACTCCATCTAGGGTACTTATAACTCTACTTACATCCTACTTACGAAGTCCCCTGCCCCTTCAAGTAGGGGTGTTTTTCTTACCAAAAAAATCTATAGGGGGTTTGTTGGGTTTAGGGGTTTGTTGGGTTTAGGGCCTCGGGGGTTGTTGGGGGGTTTAGGGGTTTGTGGGTTTAGGGGTTTGGAGGTTTAGGGTTTAGGGGTTTAGGGGTTTGGGGGTTTAGGGCTTAGGGTTTAGGGGGTTTGGAATTTTTTGTTTAGGGTTTTGGTGGTTTAGGGTTTTGGGGTTCAGGGTTTAAGGGTTTGGGGGTTTAGGGCCCGGGCGACTTCGTAAGTAAGGTAGGACTCTAAGGCGACTTAGCAAGCAATGTAGGAGTATGAGTATTTAGTGTAGGAGCCTTAATTGTTAGAATAGGGTTCCATTAGGGTTGCTTTTGAAGGGGTCTCTAGAGGAGTACTATAAGGGCTATGATAGGGATTTAGTATAGGGGCCTTGAAGATTGGAAAAGCCATTATACTATAACTATAGTAAGGAACCACCAGAAAATAGTACAGGTAATTTTTTTCGGCGCCTGTCTAGGGTTTGTGGTTAGCAGTGCAGCAGTCCCTATATTCCCTCCTCCCTTTCCCTTGAGTAAGGTTATAAGTACCTTAATTGGGGTCATAGGTAGATATAAGTATAGTTACCCTAATTAAAACCCTGGTTCCTAAGTCCCATGATCCGTTAAGTATATTCCCGCCTCCCTTTCCCCTGAAGCATCAGTAAGTGTCCGAGCCATCGTCATCGAGTGCCAGGCTGGCCAGGACAACCTGAAACGGGAGTTTAGGATTGTTTAGTGTTGAGGGCTTTAGGGCTGTAGGCTTCTAGGGTTTAGAGGCTTAGGGTTAAGGATGTTTGGCTTTGAGGTTATGGTTTTGGGTTTTGGGTATTGCTCACATGTGTTCAAAACATAGGGGTGGGTTGAGGGATCTTCTACGGGTTGCGTAAATGGGCCTTGCAGGGATTTTTGAAGGGCCGGGCTTCATGGGATGGTACAAATCGTTATAGGTTTCGCGAGGTTAATAACAGGGGGTCGTTCAAAAGGTCTTGAGCAGGCCCTGCCCTAAACCCCAAAACCCCTCCACCCTGAAACCCAAAACCGATAAACCCTAAACCCCGAAACCTCCAAACCCTAAAACCGTGACACAATCCTCAACCCAAAACCAGTGTAGATCCCAACCAGACGCTAAACCCTTAAAGCCCTAAAATTGTGTCAACAACCCTTGTAGATCTATAGACCACTGTACCAGAACCCTTATAGATCCCTTTGCAAAGGAATCCCAAACCCCTCAAGTCCTAAAGCTGTTTCAGCAACCACCCCTAAGCCCTAAACCCTAAACCCTGAATCCTAAACCCTAAAACCGTACATCCTAAACCCCCAAAGCCCTCAATCCTAAACCCTTAACGCCCTACATCCTAAACCCTTAAAGCCCTCAATCCTAAACCTTTGAAGCCCTCAATCCTAAACCCTTCAAGCCCTAAAGTTGCTTCAGCAGCTGCCGCCTCTTTGTCCCCGGCCTCCTTCTTTCGATACCTAGTTCATGGTTGGGATAGGATCAAAAATGTACATGTTTATTCCTTACTGGGTTTAAGTACCCACAAACATGTAAAAACGTTACCCAACTATGACAAAGATACCTCGGCCCGATGTCTCTGGCAGCTGGAAGCTCCTTCGTGGCGGCGGCAGACCTCTTCCTTCAGAGTTTAGGGTTTAGGGTTTAGGCTTCAGAGTTTAGGGCTTAGGGTTCAGAATTTAAGGTATAGGGTTTTGGGTTTCCCTATCAGCCCTTAGGGTTTACGGTTTATGGTTTACCTACCAGCCCTTAGGGTTTAAGGTTTACCTATCAGCCCTTAGGGTTTAGGGTTTACATATCAGCCCTTGGGGTTCTGGGTGTAGTTTTTAATCCCATTCCTACATTAGGTATTCCCTTCAAGAGTTCAGCTTTGGGATTATAAATTATAAACCCAAACAAACCTTACACCCTTAACCCTAAGCCTTATGCAAACCCTAAACCCTAATCCTTCTGTGGTAATCATCCCCAAGCCAAAGAAATGACAATCCTAAACCCCCAAACCCCTAACCCCAACCCCTAAACCCCTAAACCCCTGAACCCCAAAACCCCTAAACCCCTAAACCCCAAACCCCTAAACCCCTAAACCCCAAACCCCTAAACCCCCCTAAACCCCTCTAAACCCGTCTAAACCCCTAAACCCTAAACATCTAAACCCCCAAACCGGCTCCACCAACCGGCAAGGCTCTCTCCCCATGAAACCGAGACGAGGCCGGCGAGGAGCACCGCCTGGGCTCTTCTGAAGGAACTCTCGGGTTTAGGGTTTAGGGTTCCTTTAAAAGGGATCTATAAGGGTTCTATACTATAAGGGATCTATCGGTTTTAGGTTGGGTACGGCCCCCACTCAGTAATAGTTGAATAATATTCATAATATAGATATATTAGGACCTTAATAGTAGCCCTATGATAGACTCTTACTGTAAGGGGGCAGTACTTAAGGCTTAGGGTTTAGGGCTTAAGATTAAGGGTTTCAGATCAAGGGATCAGGGTTTAGGGTAAGACTAAGGGATTAGGGTTTAGGGTTTAAGATTAAGGGATTGGGATTCAGTGTTTAGGGTTTAGGGATAGTTTAAGATATCTTCACGAGGAAACTCTGTGTTTACTGTCATCGTTTCTATTACTATCATTACTAGTATTCACGATGGACCCCGATTGTACACGATAGACGGCAATATTGACGATATACCCCAGTTATTCACTATAGACCCCAGCATTCAGAATATACCCGTATGATGTACCATGCTATAGAACCCGATTTCTTAAGAATTATGTACTTTCGACCATTATTATCTACGATAATTCCATCTTATGGCAACTTCCACAACAAGAACCCAGCCGCGCCCACCACGGACACCGACATGGCGTTGCCCGCCAAGAACCTGGATTTAGGCTTGGGGGTTTAGGGTTTAGGGCTTTTAGGCGTTTAGGGTTTGTACTGTCTGGTTCTTAGTAGGCAATGGGGGAATGGATTGTGGAGACCATTATTGGGGATGATACAGTGACTACTATAGGGATCCATTCCCCCATTCCCTACTAAGCACCAGACAGCGTAGGGGTTTAGGGTTAAGGGGTTCAGGGTTTGCGGGGGCTTAGGGTTTTTGGGTTAAGGGTGTATAGGGGCCTAAGGCTTAAGGTTTACAGTAGGGTTTATGGCTTTGGGTTTGAGAGTTTAGGGGTTTAGGGGTTCAAGGGTGCTTGTTCAGGAACTTAATTTGTAGCAAATAACACGGTTCCCTTTTAATGGCAAGTTTAAGACCACATAATGGGGATTTATTCTGGTAAATGATATCGCTTCCTTTTCGGGGTCACATAGATTAAGTTCCTCAACAAGAACCCAGGAGCTTCAGCTCGTTGTCGGTAAATCCTTCTAAATCCAGGTCCTCCACCGGGAAGCCATTCAGTCTCATGCACTCCTCACCCAGAATGGGGCGGTGGTGATGGAAGCTGTAGAGAGAACCGGCCGTCGTCAGGGTTGGGACGTAGCCATCGTCTCTCCAGCAGCCCCGCGAAACCTGCTGGCTAAGATCCGCCAAGAGGAACTTGAAGTCCAGGGCCCTCTTTTCCGCAAGGGCGTGGATGATGTCAAGCTGCTGGACCATCTTCTCCGTCGCCTCGGGATACCAGCCCCTCGGCCGCCGATTCGTGTAAGGACGCTCCGAAGGATCGAGACCATGCTCCTCTATCTGGTTCTTAGTAGGAAATGAGGGAGTGGATTATGGAGACTGTTTATTGGGGATTATATAGGGACTACTGTAGGGATCCACTCCCTCATTCCCTACTAAGCACCAGACAGTCCTGGCGCGTGGCCTTGAACAAAGCCTCTGTGAAGGGCGTGCAAGGCTTACGCTCGCTGTCACTGCCTCCTTTCGCCAGCTGCATCGCTTTGTTCAGCCGCAGGTGGCCCTCGGGATACAGGAAGTCGTTGCAGGAGCCACAGGGGAGATGACCTGCGCACGCATGGAGCACCTCGAAGATGCGGTCTGCAGCTTTTTGCCCTCCGGCATCCTCCCTTACCTGGGCTCTTGTTAAGGATGCTTAACTTCAGGTGCCATGATAAGGTTCTATAGCAAAGAAAATGGCTTCCTTATTATGTTAATTTAAACTGGATTCCTTTACAACGGTTGATGATAGAAATCCTGCATTACCTTAAGGGCCCTAGACTATGGGAATTATGGTATATTCCTTATTATGGGTAGTGCAGGATTTCTATCATCAACCGAAGAGCCCAGTTACCATCACGATGTAGACTCGTGGACGCCTCTGAGGCAGGCCCCAGTCGCAGGAGTAGAGGAGGTCCCAGTGGAGCCCGTAGCCCTCGATGAGACTGAGACCCCACCTGGGTTCTTGTTGAGGGATTTAATTTCAGATACCATAAAAGAAGAACACATTATCAACTATAAGTCCCGATCATGGTTACTTAAATAGAGAAACCTATATTATTTACTATAGACCCTAATCTGGTAACTTCATGATAAACCCCTTAACCAGAACCCAGCCACTGTGCACCGGGCTCGGTCCCCTGGTAGCAGTGCTCCGGGTCCTCCTAGGATACCCAGTAACCTAAGAACAAAAAGGCCTCTCTTTTTGGTATTGGGTAACTTTACCCTAAACCCTAAACCCTAAACCCTAAACCTAAGGAACCTAGGACTACAAAAAAGGAATAAGGGTACTACTGGGCATCCTAGCCCCTAATTTTCGGAAACCCTAAACCCTTTATAGAACCCTTATAGATCCCTTTAAGGAACCCTTATAGATCCCTAAGGGTACTACTGGGCATCCTAGTCATAGTACCCTGAAGGTATCCCTTCTAGAAACCCTCATAGAGCCCCTTTAAAGGAACCCTAACAAGGGTACTGCTGGGCATCCTAGTCTCTGGGTTCTTGCCACGGAGGATGAAGTCCATGGGAGTGTCTTTGGTCTCCGGATTCGGCGCCAGGAGGCCCCGGACGTTCCTATACGGTTTAGGGTTTAGGTTACTATAAGGGTACTATAAGCGTTCCTTTAAAGGGCTCTATACCGATTTGGGAGTTTCCGAAATTTGGGGTACCTTATTTAAGGGTCCTTATAATAAGGATTCTACTATTTGGGGTATTATATTGGGGTCCCCTATTTTCGGAAACTCCCATACTGATTTTGGATTCTGATCCCTACAAACCTGAAACCTCAAACCTAAAAACCCGCAAAAGAAAAGCAACAACCCTGAAACCCGAAACCCTGAAAATGCCCTGGAATAGAAACGATGACCTTGAAACCCTAAACCCTAAAAGCTGTTTCCAAGTACCCCCACTTGGAGGATCATGGGACTTAGAAAGTAAGGTTATAAGTACGTTAATCGGGGTTATGAGTAGTAATAAGTATAGTTCCCCTAATTATAGCCCTAGTTACTCAGTCCCGTGATCCTCTAAGTAACCCTAAAACCCCTCTTATGGAGCCCTTAGAATTAGATCCGCCCTTTAAGGAACCCCCCTAGTTACTAAGTCCCATGATCCTTTGAGCAAGGCTCTCCAGGATCACCAGGCGCGGTCGCCTCGCAGCGATGAACTTCCGCATCTCGAAGAACGGCGCGGCTGCCGGTTCCGTGAAGCAGTTTCGCTTGAACCTCTTCGGGTTGCACAAGGTTTCGGCATCAGGGGTCTTCTTCGGGTTGCGCAAGGTTTCGGCTTCACAGGTCTAGGGGTTTAGGGGTTTAGGGGTTTAGGGATTTATGGGGTTATGGGGTTATGGGGTTATGGGTTTAGGGGTTTAGGGGTTTTAGGGTTCAGGGTTCAGTTCCGCTTGAACCTCTTCGGGTTGCAGAAAGAATACGGAGTGCAAGGAAACCCGCCGATGAAGATGTCCACGTCCTCCTTGGTTGCCCAGTTCATGCGTCAGCGGAGGCCCCGAAGTCCTACCAACGCCAAACCCTAATCCCTAAAGCCTAAACCCCAAGCTCCTATCCCTGCACCCTCAAAAAACCTAAATCGAATTCCTGAATCCTTAAAAACAAAACTCTAATCTCTGAACCCTATCCGCAAATCCCGAAACCTTGAATCCTATCCCTCAAAACCTGAACCATATCTCTTATCTTTAAATCCCTAAACACTGAACCCCGTCCCTAAACCCCGCAACCCTGAACCCTATCCCTAAACCCGTAAACCCTGCACCCTATCCCTAAATCCCTGAACCCTAAACCCCTAAACCCTAAACCCTACTCAAAACCCCTAGCAGATTTCCTTAGATAAACCCTTAAAAGGGTAGGATATTCCGGGTTAGGGTAAACCCGACTCAGAACCCCAAGCTTCCTTCGGGACGGGGCAGAAGCCACCGTGACGGGCGCAGGAGCCGCGACCGTCCATGACGTGCTTGACATCTTCAAAAAGATGCTTTTGCCCATGACCTCAGGTTAAGGGTTCCTTTAATGAGGATTTTCTCTTTTTTGAGTTGAGTTGACGTTTTTTCTCATTTTCTAGGGTTTGGGGTTTAAGGCATTAGGCTTGAGGCTTATAGGGTTTAGGATTTTAGACCCTGAGGGGTTTAGGAGATGCTGTTGCCCATTACTTTTCAAGAACTTAAGGGGTTTAGGCTTCCTTTAAACGGATCTATCAGGTCTCCCTCAAAGCCATCTATAAGGGTTTTAAGTTCAGGATTTTGTGGGTTTCAGGGTTTAGGGCTTTCAGGGTTGAAGCTCGAGGGCTTGGGACCGTATACCTTAGGGCTTTGAGGCTTAAGCTTAGGCATGTAGCAATGCAGCATGTTAGGACATCTATATGTGTGAGTTTCCGAAAACAGGGGACCCTGATATAATACCCCAAATAGTAGGATCCTTGTTATAAGGACCCCAAAACAAGGTACCCCTAATTTTCGGAAACTCGCATATGTAGCATCTTGCGCTTCGGGCTTTGGGGGCGCCGGGCTGTCGGATTGGCGTTTCGGCCTCAGACTTTAGGGTTTAGGTTTTTTTTTGAAGGCCCTTTTACCGTCTGCAAATAAGTTTGCTACAGGGTTTAGGGGTTTAGGGTTTAGGGGTTAGGGGTTTAAGGGTGTTGGGCTTTGTTGGTGTGACAACTTCCCACTAGGTCGAAGTCTATCTCACAACATAAGCCCCCTAAACCCTGAACCCTGAACCCTACATCTCCAAATCTGACGCGGCCTTGAGGGCTTCGTGTTTAGGAGCTTAGGGCTGTGGTCCCCAACCCCAGACTCACGCGCCCCTCGGTGCAGATCCTACCACACGGCAAACAAATCCAGTGCAGCCTTTCACATTCTTCTAGAACCGCCCCTCTAAAGAAAGCCATATTACAGTTCTTCAGCATACCAAAACACACTTGTAAGAGATCTCACGAGTGTGTTGAATGAAGCCCTTCAGCACAGAATACCCACGCCCCACAGCAACCTCATGCTGACCGTATCAATGCCCTACTGAAGCCCCTGGTGAATACTATTTAGCACGATTGAAGAACCCAAGGTGAACTTATTCAGGACGCCCGCCTCTACTTTGGAAGCTGCTTGAGGGCTCCAGTTCTCTGAAACTAAAACCTTCTCGAACCCTCAACCACATGGACCCTCCAAAGCCCATTAAACACAACGCAAAGTACAGCTCCTAAACACAATCATAACCCTCAACCCAAACATAAGCTATCATAGCCCTATCAGACCCATCAAAACTCATAAAAGGGCACAAGCTACAGCTCTACAAGAACACCTTCAAAGCCTCTGATGCCCCACTGAATCAAACCCTGAGCCCTGAGCTAAACCCTAAAACCAATCCGAGAAACTCGAAAACCCTAAACTTAAGCCTAAGGCCAACCCAGGAAACCTGAATCCCTCATCTAAACCCGAAACCGCTAAACCCTAAACCCTAAACCCTAAGCTCCAATCTAAACCCGGAACCGCCAAACCGAAACCAAGGTACAGTTCTTCAGCATGAAACGGCGTGGAGTCTCGTTGATGTCGGAACCGAACAATTGCTCGAAACCTGGGCTCTAGTGTAAGGTAGGGCTTTTAGGGTTTAGGGCTTTCAAGGGTTTAGGGGCCCCAGGGTGAAGGGCCTTCAGTGTTTAGGGTTTTTAGGGTTTAGGGTTTCAGGGTGTAGGGTTTAGGGTTTCCGGCTTAGAGCCTCGGGTCTAGGGTTTAAAGGGCTAGGGTTTTCAGATCCAAAACTTACATAAGATTTGGGTTCTAGGGTTTCGAGTCTCGGCCCAAAAACAAGGCAAGCACAGGGTTCCTCGAAGCCTAGCCGAGCAAACTCCAAAGCCCGTTCAGTAAACGAACACACCTGAAACTATATGTAGGACGCCGTATAATCAAAGATAGATGCCTTAATCTAGAGGTAAGGGCTTGAGAGTTCCACACTCTGCAGTTCATGCTTGAAGGTTTAAGTTTACAGAACTGAAAATACCAAAACCGAGATTTAAAAAGACAAGCCCTAGCCTTCTTGATTGCTCAATACTCGCTTCTGCAAGGCAATAGCGCCAAGACAAGCGCTATTGGTATCATATTGATATTATTACTGTTATGATTGGTTAGTTACTATGACGATTTTTGCGTCTACTAGTACACGTACCAATGCTTCAGAACCCAGTGGCCTTCGCGACCCACAAGCATGCGCAGAGCAAAGTGAGGTGCTTCGGCGCCTGAGCAGCCAGTGGCGAGCTTGAGGGGCCTCGCGGAGAAGTCGAGCCGGGCGCCCAACAACTCCTTCAACCTTGGCAATGTAGGAACCTGATTAAGAAACCCTGGGCCTTTTTTAGGGTCCCTTTAAAGGGGTCTATAAGGGTTACTATAACGGATCTATAAGGGTACTATAATAATGTAAGAACCTGATTAAGAAACCCTGGGCCTACAACCCCAAAATGGTAGGATTCATATGAGGAACCCTAATAAAGGCCCAAGGTTTGCATTATATTATGCTATGTTTGTAATCAGGAAGCCACCAAACAGCACTGGCAATTATGACGGCTTCGTTAGTCTGCTTAAGGCACTGTTCGCGAGCAGTTTTTTGACATCTTACCCTACCCTACGGCCACGCTGCCATACCCTTCCATACCATACCACATTGTACTGTACCATACTGTGCTGTCCTGCGCTAGGCTGGGCTACGCAATGCTGTGCTGTGCTCTGCTGTGCTGTGCTCTGCTGTGCTGTGCTCTGCTGTGCTTTGCTGTGATGTGCAATGCTACGCCATCCTATGCTTGGCTGTGCGTTGCTCTCCGTGCTTTGCTGCGCTGCGCTATGCTGTGCTGTACTATGGCGTGCTATGCTTGCTATGCCTGCTATGCTGTGCCATGCTGTGCTATGCTGCGCTATATTGCACTGTAACACACAAATCTGTACTGTGGATGCACCGTTCTTTGCTCTATAATACTCTACTCTACACTGCTCCACTCTGCTTTGCTCTGCTGTACACTACCGCACCTCACCGCACGGTACTACACCAGCACGAAACGAAGCTATACCATACTGTAGTATACTTTACACTGCCCTAAACCCGAAACCCTAAACCCGAACGATGACCGCTACATGTTTCCTTCAGGATTCTTGTAAAATATTTATATAAAATTAGAAACACCAAAATCCTAGTCTGAGTATTTCTTAAGGCTCCTAACCTGCTCAGCACCCAAGCAGCTGCCTGGCCCAGTCATCAGCTTTCCATCCCCCCAAGCCTCGGTCCCTGCTAGGATGGAAAGACAAACGGATCGCGTTTATGAGCTCTTCTTGTCTTTCAATCACGAGGAAGCCCAGTCTACCAAAAAGAAGCAAAAAGGAATCGCTAACAATGACGGAGCAGCTCTGGACATCAGGACGACGAGGCTGGCTGGTCATCGAAACTCGGGCCTTGATGTTGGCCAGGTCAGGCCCCGCCAGCTTTTCGAGCCTCTGCTGCAGCTTTGTGGTCACCTCCTGCACTGGGTTTTTAGGGGTAGGGTTCAGGGTTTAGGGTTTAGGGTTTAGGGTTTAGGGTTTAGGGTTTAGGGGGTTCGGGCTTCAGAGCTTTGTAGGCTCCAGGATGTTGCAAGGCTTGGAGTTCGGGTTCTGGTATGTGAGGTCCTTCGTCACCTTCTCCGGGGCAAAGGCGTGCAGAGACTTCCGGTTCTCCAAGTACGCCAGCCGGATCGTCACTGCCTTATCCCCAAAGACTCCAAACTCCAAAACCCCTTCACTAAAAACTATCCTCAAATCATAGTAGGGTTCCTTTTTCTTTTTAAGGTATTTTTCATTCAGACAAGCATCCCTCAAATCATATTCATTGGGGCTGCTGTGACAATTTGAAACATATTCTTTCACGAATAAGGAGTTTGGGAGTCTATAAAAGGGGTTAGGGGTTGAGGGTTTGTTTCGGGCTTAGGGCTTAGGTTCCCTAAACCCTAAACCCTAAACCTTTGGTCCGCCTTCTTGGCATCGGGACCGAAAGACTCCACGCACCGGTCCCAGGAATGCGCCAGAGCCTTAGGTGGAAAATTTGGAGTCTATAAAGGCTTCCATAGGGTTCCTTTAAAAGGGATCTTCTAAAGGGCTCCATAAGGTTCCTTTAAAGGGATCCACTTACTTGTTGCTTGGAGTTTGGCGGGTATGGCTTTTTACGTCAGGTGTAAAGAGAATTGGATAGTTAGTTTCTGCGCATGGCGCCTGTGCAAGAGAGCTCCTCGATGCGCTACTCCTGTTGTGCTGCGGGGCAAGGCTGGTTCTCGAGTCCTTTTTGAGAGGATCCGTGTGCACGAGGCTCCTGCCGTGGTGTGGTGCATATTTCGCGTTCGCGTTTCGTTGCATCTTAAGGTCCGTGTGGCCCCGTGTCCTCGGAGAGCCGGACCCGTTGAGTCAAAAACGTGGACCTCTTTTTCGCCTCGCAAGTCTCAAATCGCAGCAGATCGCACCAGTAAAGACAGGGAAGGATAGGCGCGGTGGTCCCGAATCCCAAAACCTAAACCCAAAACCCTAAAACCCTATCGGATTATCGGACTAGGTTACCCGATATCCCCTGAAGCCTGAGGGCACCGTTGGCCCTGGTTCCGAGTATTGAGTTTGAATAATAGGGACACCCGGAGCGACCGAGATAAACCCTCAACCGGAAACCCTCAATCTCAACAGCCTGAACCCTGGGTCATAATACAAGTCCTGAGTAATCTGTAATACGGCTTTGGGTAAATATTACTAGACACTGTGATAGGAACAATGCTAAGAAGTAGTACTCTCAAATGCGGGCGTCAACATTAGAAGCCTTAAAACCCCTAAACCCTTAAACCCTAAAACCCTCCCTAAACTCCCTAAACCCTAAACTCCCTAAACGCTGAAACCCTAAACGCCCAACCCTTTACCCTAAACTCCCTAAACCCTAAAACCCTAAAACGCCAAACCCTGCACCCTAAACTCCCTAAACCCTAAAACCCCAAAACGCCAAACCCTGCACCCTTAACTCCCTAAACCCGAAAACCCTAAAACGCCAAACCCTAAACCCTAAACCCTAAACCCTAAACCCCTAAGGAACCCTATAGATCCTTTTAAAGGAACCCTTATAGATCCCTTTAAAGGAACCCTTATAGATCCCTTCAAAGGAAGCCTTGAAAGGAACCGAGGCGCCACCCGAAGGATCTGGCTTTTCTTAGCCTCCCCGTTGCAGGCCTTTGGGTCTCCGGTTTCGGGGTTTGGGGCTTGGGGTCTAGGATTTATAGGAAACTCCAGAAAGTTGGAAGATGGTTTCATGGTAGGATCCCCTATAACTTACCATAGAAGGGTTCGGATCATCATATTCCAGCTTTCTGGCTTTTACCTTAGGGTTTAGAGCCTCGGGTCTAGGATCTGGGGTTGGGTTTAAGGTTTCAGATTATTCAGGGCTTGGGTCTAGGAGTTACTTAAAGGATCATGGGACTTAGTAACTAAGGCTCCTTAAAAGAGCTCCTTAAAAGGGATCTATAAGGGTTCTATAAGGGGGATTTAGGGGTACTTAGAGGATCATGGGACTTAGTAACTAGGGTTATAATTAGGGTAACTATACTTTTTACTACTTATAACCCCAATTAAGGTACTTATAACCTTACTTACTAAGTCCCACGATCCTCCAAGTAGGGTCTAGGCTTCAGGGGTTTAGGGTTCCTTTAGAAAGGAAGCCACAAGGCTTCCTTTTAAAGGGATCTAGAAGGGTTCAAGATGTTTAAGGGTTTGAAGGGATCTTGTTTAGGAGTTCAGTTTAAGTTCAAGTTGTCATGCTAAAGAAAAACCAGACTGTTTGCTACACATCCAAATTATGCTAACTGAAATTCACTTCTTTAACCCCTAAACCCTCATAGAACCCTTAAAGGAACCCTAAGTTATGGTAACTTAAACTACATTTTCCTAACCCCTAAACCCAGTCTAGGGTTTGAGCTATCGCTGAGGTCCTTGAGGGCGGCGTCGATGCAGCGACTGACGTCTTTGCGTTGAGGCATCCTGGAAGCCTCGGCTTGGGATGAAAACTTCAGGCTTTGGAGTTTGGGGTTCCTTTTTAAAGGGATCTGTAAGGGTTCTATAATCCTTTCTAAAGAGATCTATAAGGGTTCTATAATCCTTTTTAAAGGGATCTATAAGGGTTCTATAAGGACATCTATCAGGGGGCTTATGGGGTTTAGGGTTTGGGGTTCGGGGTTTGCGTAGGTCAGGTCTTGGGGTTTTGAATGTTTGGAGTGCAAAAGCTGATGGTGGTTGTGGGATTTAGGGTGTTTGGGGTTTGAGGGTTCAGAGGTTTGAACTAGCGGTTGAGGGGTCTAGGGGCTTAGTGTTTATGTCTGGCGTCTGTGAGGGTGTAGGTTTGAGGGTTTAAGCGGCGTCATCAGATCCTACACAGTTGGAATTTGAGGCTCCCGCATGCGGCAACGGTCCATCCGCGGAAAGACTTTCAGCGACGCCTGGGGCAGAGCTGGAGGTCTTAAGATTGGGAGCCGAATCCTGAACAGGAGCAAGTAACCTGAAATCCTAAACCCCTAAACCCCTAAACCCCTAAACCCTAAACCCTAAAACCCCAAACCCTAAACCCTAAAACCCTAAACCCTGAACCGCAAACCTTGCAAACGCCCCAAGCAGGATCTGGTTCTGGCGTGGGTTAAAGATCCTGATGCTGCTCTTTCAAATTCGACCGCGGAGTTTAGGGCCACCATACGGGAACTTTAATGGTTGCTCTAATTTGTGAAGGTTTCATAAGGGATACTATGGCATACTATGGGGTTTTGTGAGGGCTTCGGGTTTAGGAATTTGGGGTTTGGGTGTGGGGCTTACAGGCTTCCAATAACTTGGGGTACCTCTTGTGATCCTTCGTGCCATTCCAAGCCAGCTTTCCAACGAACCTTCAGCCACACCTAAACCCAAACCGCCTAGTAGGGCTTAAACCCCCGACCTTATGACCAATAAGTACACCCTCAGGCCCCCAAACCCCGGGTCCCAATTCCCAAAAACTCAAATCCCCAAAACCCTAAACCCTAAACCCCTGAACCCCTGAACCCCCAAAACCCCTACACCCCTAAACCCCTAGAGTTCCCGACCTTCTAAACCCTAAACCCTAAACCCTAAACCCTAAACCCTAAACCCTAAACCCTAAACCCTAAACCCTAAACCCTAAACCCAAAGCCCGCAACCCGAGCCTCGAAGATAACCCTCGAGCTGCCCGCGCTCTTCGGCCACAACGGCGGCCGCGGCTCCCAAAAGCCGAGCACTCACTCCTCGGTGTAGGGTTTCCTTTTAAAGGGAAATAAGGATCTTCAGGGTTTAGGGCTTGTTTAGGGTTTAGGGATTTAGGGGTTTAGGGGTTTAGGGGTTAAGGGGTTTAGGGGTTTAGGATTTAGACTTTAGGGTGTCGGCAGAAAGTGCTCCTTCCTGTTGGGTAACTGAAGGGTTCCTTCTAAAGGGTCGCTGATAAGGGTGCTCCGGTTGATAATATAAATCCTGCATTACCTCAAGGACCCTAAACTATGGGAATTATGGTATATTCCTTATTTTGGGTAATGCAGGATTTCTATCATCCACCGTCAAAGGAAGGCTCGCATGGCTGGAGTTCAGGGTTGATCTGATTTCAGGTCGTTTTAGGTTCAGGAATACAGAGGCTCGAGCTTAGGGCTGAGGGATCACAGATGCCTCAACACTAGACCCTAACAAAAGCCGAAAACCTTGAAAGCTTGAAACATTGAACCTTGAAGCCCTGAAACCCTAAACCCCAGACCCTAGGGCCTCAAAGCCCGGAAACCCTAAACCCCAATATCAAAGCCCTGAACCTGAGCTGTCAGAGGGCGCGGTGCCAAACTTCGGGCCATTGCTCGGAAAACGTCCTCTCCAACACCAGGGTTTTGGGAGTTGTAGGGCACATGGCTTTTGGGCTTTGGGGCTTAGGGTTTCGGGGCTTTAGACGTTCGGGGTGTTGGTGTTGGAGACAGTTGGGAAGCAGCAACTCAAAAGACCCCGAGGATGTCCTGCTTTAGACGGCCTCGGCTGCACCGCTGTTTGTGCATGTAGGCTTTGTATGTATGAGGCTTTGTATGCATGTATGTATGTGTATGTGTATATATATATATACATACATACATACATACATACACACATACATATGCATAGTATAAACAGTGTGGACATATTTCTTCTCTATAGTCACACGTATGCATGCGCATTGTACATATACATATATATATATATATACGTATATGAAGATGCACATATACGACCTTTGTACGACTACAAACTGCCCGAGTTCCCGCACCTGGAACCCAGAACTGAGGCGGCCTCGTACCCTACGGTTGATGATACAAATCCTGCATTACCTTATAAGGGCACTAGACTATGGGATTTATGGCACATTCCTCATTATGGGTCATGCAAGATTTATATCATCAACCGTAGAACCTAAACCTGAACCGAAACCATAAAACTTTTAGCAGGTTCTTGGCGGTGGAGGGTTGGAGGGCTCCTTTCGTCCTTGCCTAAGGCCTAAGTCTTCAGAGGGGATTGCTTCAAGGTTCAGTGTTTAGGGCTCTATGATGGTAGCCACCGACAACAGAAGGCAGTCAGGGGTGCCTTCCAAGAAAGGCCCTCAATCCGAAACCCTCTGGTCTAACTGCTACAGTGGCCTCCATACGGCTGAATCTTAAAACTCCAATGCTTCGCCCCAACATTCCGCCCGAGCCTCCGGTGTTCGGAGGAGCGGGGTTCCCCCCATCAGCGTCTCCACCGACTCCTCGAGAGATCGCACCAACCGTTTCAAGGTCCGGGTTTCAGTGTTCTGTTCAAGAACCCTGAAGCCATAACCCTAAACTCGCAACTCTGAAGCCTGACCCCCGAACTCAAAACCCTGCTCTCAGCCAGGGTAAAGACTGAAATCAAAACAAGCATCGCTCTATCATTGAAGGTCTGCTGCTTAACTGAGTTGAGGTCGGCTGATGGACAAAGCCCGGCCATGTCCGTAACAAGCAACACACCATACTTCTTATCACCACGTCAGGTAACACGATTTTCTTTTCCCTAAACCCTAAACCCTAAACTCTAAACAAGCAACACACCATACTTCTTATCACCACGTCAAGTAACACGACTTTCTTTTCCATCAGCGCCCTAAACCCTAAACTCTAAACCATCAACACCCTAAACCCTAAGACCCTAACCCCAATCGGAGTCTTAGGGCTGAGTAAGCCAGGCTAGATTAGGCTAGCCTTCTAAATTCCGCCAGGGATATATACGTACATGAAAAATTACATATATATATATATACATACATACATACATATCTGCGTATATGCATATACATACAATATACCTCTGCTTAGGGGCATAAGGAAAACTGTCACTGATACAAAAAGGGTACTACAAGGGCTATACCGTAAGGGATACTTTAAGAGATATTTACAAGGTTACTATAAAGGTTCAGCGGTCTCGGCCGTTCAAGCCTACAGTGGGAGGGTTCGGGTTTCGGTGGGTCCCGGGTAGAGATCCTTGAAGTTCCACCTTCAGAAATCCTGAACCTTAAAGCAGACTCTCACTGAAGCGTTCCTCCAATGAGGAGGCATCAGGTCCCAAGAAGCAAGGGTGTGTTGTGCTTTCAGACCTCCCCTATAATATCCCGGGGGATGATGTTGGGAAGCACAGTCCCAATTTCAGAACCCATCCTGACTGCACTGACAGCAAAGAAAACGAACTTCCGGGTTGGGCGCTGGTTGTAGCTACCATCAAACCTCAACCGCGGATTCCCTACTTAAAGGATCATGGGACTAAGTAACTATTACTATACATATAAGTACTTATAACCCCAATAATTGAGGTACTTCTAACCTTACTTACTAAGTTCCCTGATCCTCCAAGTAGACCCTAAACCCCTATAGATCCCATTATAGGAACCCTTCTAGACCCCGTTTAAAGGAACCCTAAACCCTAGAACTCCAAAACTTTTCGTGCCGTCGGGAAGCCATCTCGGCTGCCTTTTTGACGCCCAGCTTCCCGGCAAGTCGCTCCAACTCCTCCAGTAGAAACTGCCGGTCCTCCAGCAAAGGTTTTAGGGTTTTAGGGTTTGTGGGGTTGAGGGCGTTTAGGGTTTAGGGGGTTTGAGTTTAGCTCCTCGGTTTAGGGTTTCCTCTTCAGGGATCTACAAGGGGTTCCTTTGAAGGCATCTATAACGGGGGGCTCTTTTAAAGGGATCTATGAGGGTTCTATAACAAGGATCTTGAGGTTTTAGGGTTTATGGGGGTTTAGGGTTTAGGGCTTAGGGGTTTAGAGGTTTGGGTTTTTTGGGTTTAGGGCTTTTAGGGTTCAGGGCTTTTAGGGTTTTAGGGCTTTTACTTTCACCTGGCGAGCCGGCTCCTGCTACGCCACTCGTCGGTGCCAGAAGTATCTTTTAGGGGTTTGGGGGTGTAAGGGTTTAGGGTTTAGGTTGTAGGCTTTCCGGTTCTACGAGGGAGCGTTTAGGGTCTTTAGCTTGGGTGGGGTTCTACTAGGCTTCGCCAGGAAGTACTTGGTTGTCGACTCACCCTAAACCCTAAACCCTAAACCCTATAAACCCGAAAAACTAAACCCTAAACCCTAAACCCTAAACCCTAAACCCCTAAACCCTAAACCCTAAGGTTTGTGGCTTCCGTTCAAGGCTGAGGCTTAGGCGTGCATTGAAGGATTATGGGACTTAGCATCTACCTTAACCCTGAAATCACCTACCTTTTTAGCGCCCCCTAATATGATTTCTTTGTATAAGTCCCTAAAAAGGTAGGTTATTTGGGGTTAAGGTAGGGCTATAAAAAGGACATATAACTGTACATAGAAATATGTTTAACCCCAATTAGGGTACTTGTAACCTCACTACTTACCAAGTCCCATGATCCTCCAGGGATCCTAAGGATGCAGAGTGCGGCTTCACGGGTCGAAGGGTATACTGGAATGAAATTTCAGTGGGAGCATTAAGGAGTACTGGAACTAGTCATTCGGACCCTAT